TTTAATTTGATTTCTATAATCAATTGCTCGATCTTTATAATACTATTGAATTCTAATAATAATAATTCGATAATTTGTTCTTTGATAAAGAGATTCAATTATTTCTATTAATGTTTGTTTATATTTAATAATTGATAGAATATAATAAACAATAATTCTATTGATTCTATTTGAAAATCTCGATAATAGTTCTAGTTTGATACTTCTCTATTATCTCTATCAATCTTTTATCAAATACAACGAATCCTAATTTGTAATAGGATTTCCTATATTTCTTCAATTTCTAGATTACATTCGCTATATTCTTATACTTTATCGAAAAATAAAGAATTTATATTTGCAATATACCTCTTAGTATTATTTGCTCCAGTATTTTTTTTAAATATTATATAATAAATATCATTATATACTACTATATAAAATACTAACAAAATAAGATAATTATAGATTTTATATTTCTCAATGAAATCAGATTTCTTCTTCTTATAATAATATCATATCCGTTTCTTATCTAAATAGTTGATTAAATACCATAACTCATTTTTCTAAAACAAATAACAAAACTCAATTAATTATTGATTCTCTTCTAATTCGAGATTTTCTAAAAATTCTTTTTTGTAATCGATACTATTTTCAATATTAATTTTAGAGTTTTGATTATTGATACCTAATTTCTTTAATTATTCGAAATTGAATTGAAATAGATTTCTTTCTAGTAATCCCATTTCCCTCGAATTTCTTTTTAGAATCTCTATTTCTCAAAAATCTTATCTTTTGTTTCTAAATTTTATTTGTTTTTTACTCTTTACAATAAATGATTTCTTCTTTTGAAAACAATTTTAGAATATATATTCATTTTTCCTATAAATATAATATAAATTATTCTTTTTATATTTTTTTTTCTTATCAATACTTAAATTGTTTAACTTTATATAATATCGTTCAATATCATTCAATTCCATTGGATCGCTAACATTATAATATCTATTCTGATAATAAGATTTTTGGAATTTCCTACTTTCCTAAGTGATTCCTTTCTTTTTCATTTGTTGTTTATAAAATTGATTGTTAATAAGAATAAAGGTTTCAATTAATTCGGAAAACTTAAATAGTTTCGAAGCTTTTACTAATTTGTTTTTAATAATATCTTTCAATCCTTTATAAAATTACAACTTTAGATAATCATTATCCTAGATAATATATCTAGTATATTATTGAAACTTGATAATATAAATTATAACTAATTCAATCTATCTGAATTATCGCAATACTCTTTCAGCTATATAATCGAAGTCTATTTTCTTGAATACTTTATCGAATCCTTATTTAAACAATTCATAATTGAAAAAGAGATAATAAGTCTCAGATTTTATATTTTTGTTCAATTGATTATTAATAATCTTGATCATTAGATCATTAAAAAATGATTTAATTTAATTGAATATAGTTCTTTGGAAAAAGAAGATCAATTATAAAATCCTTTATATAGAAATCAAGAAAAATTATTTATTAAAAATATAATAAAGATTAGTTTATATAACAAAAGCTCAATATTTATTATAATCTTTATAAAATAAATCAAAAATAGATATTTGAATTATTCATTTATATTCTATAATAACGATAATCTAAACAAAAGCCTCGATTGGATTAAATAAAGACAATTCAGTAAATTATTGATTGGAAAACATTGTACTATATATAATTTAATTATAACGATATTCAAAATATAACAATCTAATCGAGATAATAATTGTCTTAAGTTTTTGTAAAATTGATAATTATAGATTAAAACTAATAATCATTGATTATCTATTCGAAAATAAATATATTACTAAATCAATTGGAATATAAATAAACTAATTGATAATTAAATTGAACACAAAACTCTTAAATTATAAAACTATTCTAATTATATACTAATGAATATAAAGAAACTTTGTAAAACTTTAAAACTTCAAAAAGCTCTTGAAGTTTTAGAAGTTTTCGAAGCTTCAAAACTTTTATTATATAATTAAAATCAGATTATATATCCAAGCTTACTAAAGGTGAGGAGATTATATGAAATGATTATTATACAAATTTGTATACAAATCGTCTTGCTTTTCTATAAGGCCTAAGCTTATATAAATACATTGACTACTGCCCCTCAATATATCCTTATCTTAATCGTAAATCGTGACAATAGTCCTCTTATCTTCAATAAACTTAAATATATAATCTGATTCTAATTATATAATAAAGAGCTTTAGAAGCTTCAAAAGCTTTTAAAACTCTAAAAACTTTTTGAAACTCTAGAATTCTATAAAATTCCTTTATATTCATTAATATATAATCAAAATAGTTTTATAATTTAGAAACTTTATATTCAACTTAATTATCAATTAGTTTACTTATATTCCAATTGATTTAATAATATATTCACCTTCGAATAAATAACTAGTAATTATTAATTTTAATCCATAATTACTAACTATATGAAACCTCAGGCAGCCGCTGCCTCGACCAGATTGTTATATTATAGTTTTATTCTTAAATCTTTCGATTAATTCGAAACTAATTATAGATTTAATAACTTCTAAAATTATCTTTTCGTTTCGAAGATATTCAAAGGCTTTTTTATTAAATCAAATAATTAATTTAAGATTATAAAGCTTTTCTTTATCATTTATATATAATGATTTATTTGAAGAGGTTTCAGATCTATTAATATAAAATATAAAATCATTAATTTTAAGAAATAGATTAATTTTATTTATCCATTCAATATAATTAGATCTCCTTTTTAAGAGTTCTCTTTTGAAGATTATATCAAAGATCATTTTTAAACTCTTTTTGAATAAACTATATAAACTTTTAATCTAATATATATATAATATTGAGTTTTTCAATAAATTTCAGTATTGTTTTGAATGAATTCAGATATTAATTCAAATAAAAATCAAATTTAGATAATTTTGAAGATAATAAACCAGCCATATTTTAAATTAGATCTTTTTTTTAAACAATATAAAATAAAGTCTAAATAAGCTAGGGCACTTTAATATAAAGAAAATTGATATATCATCTATTATAGATAATATATCACTTGAATATATCATTTAAGAACTTAATTTTATTTATTCAATTAGATTTAACTTCAGGAATACAGGCCTTAAGATTTATTTTAATATGTATTGAATATAATTCAATATATTATTGATATTATATCGATTTAATAAGATTTAATAGCTCAATAGCTTTTATTATAAAACTTTAAATCAAATTAATACTCCTTTTTAAACTAGTAGTAGATTAACCAGGCTTATAATCTTTCAAAGAAGGTTAATCGATAATAAATAATAATTATTATAATAATAATATTATTTATATTAAAAATGAAAGACTTAATCGTATTTAAACTCAATAGGGTAAAGTCAAAAATAATTATAAATTGAAATCAAAGGACTAAAGTAGAGATTTTTATTTTCTTTTTCTATTTTATTCTTTTAAAGAATTCTTTGAAGAAAACCTTTATATTTATAGTATTTAATAAAATTCTAATATATTCTATAATTAATAATAAAATCAATTTGAATCGAATCTTATAAAATCATTTTATATAATAAAAAGAAATAATAGTTAATAATATTCAATCTGATAAATAAGAAATTCCATACGCTTCCATTTCGTTCTATTTGTAACGATCTGGTCGAGGCAGCGGCTGCCTGAGGTTTCGTATGGTTGGTAGTTGTAGGTTAAGGCTAATAATCACTAGTTATCCACTTGAAAGTGAATTCGTTACTAGATCAATTGGAGTATAGGTAAACTAATTGATAACTAAGTTGAGCACGAAGCTCCTAAATTATAAAACTATTCTGACTATATACTATTCTCCTTCCTTGTATGCTAGCTATGCTAGCTGGCTAGCAGAGCTAGCATATCACGTGATTGATCCTGAAGCCTCTCCCATCCTGAGGCCTTTCCTTTCCTGAAACACTTGTCCCAGAAGCTTTCCTCCAGGAACTATAGCCCTAGGATACGATATCCTCTAGGGTGATTGTCCTATTTCAGCCAATTAGATAGGACAATTGTCCTATTCTACTATGGTTGCCTAGGATACTTAGGACTCCTGAAAGCAACGGTTAAATCACACCCCCCCTGTAGTCGGCATATAAATCACCGACATCAATAATACTACTATAATAAAAACCGTGAATCGTGACACTATTCTCGTATAAATCAATCTGATATAAATTATAATCAAATTTTCATATGATAATAAAATTTAATAATATATATGAATATTATCAATGTATCATGTGATCATTCGATCATTGGTTCGGCTAATATTATTAAGTGATTTAATAACTTATTAAGAAATCTTATATCTCTATACAATATGATCTGATTAATAGGAAAAATATTTTACAATAAAATAACCAGCTTTCATTTAATTACAATATTATATTATATATTGATGTAAGGATTTCGATGAGTTTGTTAGATCAGTATAACGATTATATATATTATATATCTATATTTAGATTGATTTGTAAAGAGAAGGATCGATTTCTATCAAATGTAATTATATTAGATAACAATATATATGAAAATAGAAATGTTATAGGTTCTTCTAAGTATCTTATAAACCGAATACGAAATGTTGATATTGATAGAATAAATCATAAGTAGATAAACTAATATAAAAGATAGATTATACAATTTCAGAAGAAGCTCGATCTGTAGTTCTTATATATTGAAAGGTTGGATTTTGTGATTAAGATTGTTCTGAGAATCAATTGATATAGAATGTTATTTATAGTAAGACTTCTATAATACTAGAATAAATATAAATTTCGTTGTAGAGTCTCATTTTTACCAAGGGAAGATTGTTCGGATTCAACTATACAGGCGATAATTGTAAGCTGATATGTTTTTCTAAACCGATTTATCTTCAATCTCCCCTTACATCGGTTTTGCTGTAGCTGAAAATTTCGATAGTATTGCCTTTCTCAAACTACAAATCTTGATTTCGTATTTTGATCTCGATACTTTTGGCTGTTATAATGACGAGCAATCAACTCACCCGTATTGTTTACTAAACGAGATACAAGGAATATAATCATAATCACCAAAACCACCTCGATGACCCTAACTATGGAACTCTTTCTGTAGGATCTATTTTCGTTCACAATCTGCCTTGGATCCTGGGCTAATTTGTGAGGAGAACAGCCGATCCTTATCATGGCTATCTACAAGGGGAAGGTCGTATGGCCTCGGAACAAGCTCTATTCGGGGCCATGGTTATATTACAAGGATGGACCTTACATTGAGCCTAGAAGGATGACCAGCTCAATATCCAAGTTTTGGTAAGATAGTTTGTTGGCGCCAGCATGGATATACGATCATCTGGAGCTATACGGTTTCATTTCTACGAAGGGAAGGTTCTTTTGGCATACTGGGGAGACGACAAGGGGCCATTGGGAGTATGTATGCTTTGTAGCCGATGATCGATAAATGGTGCTAGGGATATGTCTTGCGCGGGAAGGGCTGTGTCAGGACCAAGGTGTTTGTATTATGGGAGTGCATGGAAAATTGCGGAGGACGGCCTTTCTAGCGACCAAAGTCAAACTGCTACTGCGAATTCGACAATAATTGATTTCTCGGAATGGCAGCAAACAATTTTGATCGCACGAGCCAAAGTACACGCTGAGGACTACAATGAATTCGCCTCGGTCCTCCTTGCTGTTGCACGTCCCCAACCCCCTCTAGTATGTTCTCGATAGCGCTGGTGATAAGGGGCTTGTTTCGGTCTTTGCTTGCCCCTCGCAATGTATTGCCCAATCGCAAAAATGCCTCACAATAGTGATAAACCTGCTTAGTTGCTCAGCCCTGTTACGAATCGCTTCATCGTAAAGCAGAAAAAATCGGACAAGCTTTCCGCATTCCGAGACGAGCGATAGGCGGCCTATACCTTGATTTGGGCTGAGTTATGATGAGACAGACCTATCGCTATCAAAGATCCTGCAGTCTACTATGGGCTTCAAAACGGACAACCAGACACTACAAGCACCTAAACCGCATATTGGTGATTACAAGAGATGTGGTAGGATCTGGAAATAGATGAAGGACGTAATATACTTGATCCTTCAGCTGGAATTTAGTTTGCTTGGAACTACAGTTATTTCTGCAATCGGACTATCCGCCGGTTGTGATCTGCATGCTACAGGCTGGGATGAGTGAGAGGATGAGATATGCAGCACACTGGGTGAGGGTAAGTAGAATTAAAGGATTTGGTGGTGGACGAACTTTGAAAGACGCGTCAGTTTATATAAGTATGAAAACAAACAGTTTAGTCAATTTCCGTCTAGTAGAAATTTTGCAACAATAATAAATAGGATTGGTTGAGTAAGTTAAGCCTATAACAAACTGTTAAGATCCGTCCGATATCTCTTCACGTAAGAGGCTATTGGCATAGTTTTCTGGGTTTCGGATGCTTATCAAAAGTAATGCAGTGATCATGGTAATCTCAAGAGTAAGTCAACGTATGAAATATAGATGTGATTGGTAAAGGTATACTATAAAAGTATGAAACAAGCTGAGCACGAAGCTACTATCTAATGGGTGACGACCCAGAGTTATATAGAATCTTCCTGCTCTCAGATCCTGAAAGGATCCTAGATCCAAAAGGATCCAGCACGTGACCATAAACTATGAAATCCCAGGAGGGTGCCAGGCCATACAGCCGGCCCTCCTCATGCGCGTACAACCTTCAGAGTCACATGTAATGTGTTCTGCCAGGTAAGGAAAACGTGATCACCGCGTGATCGTAATATAAACACAAGAAGTATTTCACAGCACGTTCCGCTTAGCCATAGCGGCTTTCATTGATTTCTGCAGCTCAAAAACATTCTCCTGGTTCATCATGGTGTAGTGGGACCCCGGGACATCATGGAACTCGACATCGCTCCGTACGAAATCGTTCCACGCGAGGAGATGGTCTTCAAGCCATTTGCCTTTATCGCGGCCCACGGCTATCAAAGGTACCGCGTAGAAGACATCCATACGTTCGACCATCCCCGACGGATCGTAATCGTGAGCCAGGCCTTGCAACTTCGAGGAGAGTGCTGCCCAATGCTGCAGCTTCTTCTCGTTCAGGTCGAGTTCAACCAGACGGTCCTTGGGCGCCACCTTCATGATTCTCGACAACACCTCTTCCTGCGGCAATGTGTGCATTTCGGGAGACATGGCGTGAGCTTCGTCTTCAGTGATGAAGCCAAGGAAATAGACCAGGTTGAGTAAGAGCTCGGTCCAGTCAAGCTCGATCATTCGGAATTTGATGTGGGGTGGGAGATTCAACGTTCCGATAAAGCCGACTTTGCCGCCGCTGGCCTCAATCTTCTTGGCAATCTCGAATGCGATCATGGCGCCGAATGAATATCCTACGAGCACATAAGGACCTTCCGGTTGCTTCTTGCGGATGGCAGTGAGGTAGGTGCTATATACGATTGCGGTTAGCTATGACTATAAACAGGGGGATCTGAATAGCCTACTCGGTCATGTCATCAATTGATTTATGCATTTCTTCACCAGGGTTGAATCCCGGTGCTCTGATGGCATATACCTGACGATCGGAGAAGAACTTGCTCAAGTTCAAGAATACCAAGATCTCTCCCAAACCAGGATGGAAGAAGAAAATTGGGGGCGAGTTGGATGTCCCATTCTGAAGCTGCACAATTGGGTCATATGCTTTAACCCCCTTTTCCAATTGCAACAGGACTTCTGCCAAACCCTTGATGCTTGGGTTTTGTAGGAGGGAAATCATGGGGATTTCTTGATCGAGCTTGAGGTGATCCTGCACCAGTGCCTTGAACCGAATCAACTGAATACTATCCACACCCATGTCTGTCAAGCTATTCTCTACGCCCACCTCATCTTTGTCTAGTCCAAACTCCTTTGCAAACACTTCAATGAGTGCCTTCTCTGTTGCCGTTGTTGGTGCGACCCGGGAACGCTTTTTGTAGGCCGATACGCGCGCCTTAGCTGCGAAGCGATACTCGTCATACCTGCCGGCTTCGTAGGCAATCTTTGATTTAGGGCGGGACAACTTGCCGAGGGCGGATTTAGGAAGAAGTTCGAGAGGCAGTGGGATGATGTCTATAGGATTCTTTGAGCAGTAGAGGGCTGATTGCTTGCCAATGGCGTCAATTGTGGCAGCAAAAGCTGCGTCGTCATCTGCAATCCCCGCTTCGGGGAGGAAGATAATGACCAGCTCCTCACTATCAGCGCCCTTGGGCCAGGTAGAGAAAGAGGCCGTAAAAGATGGAGTTACGCCCGGGATTTTGGCTCCCTCAAGGGCCGACTCGAGCTCGTGTGAGAAGTATTTCACCCCGTTAATGATGATTGAGTCCTTGGCTCGACCACTCAGAATCAGATTTCCAGAATCATCAATACAGCCTTTGTCGCCCGTCTTAAACCAACCATCGGGCGAGAAAGACGATTCTGTAGCCTCAGGGTTATTGTGATAAGCCTTGAACACTGCAGGCCCAGAAAGCTCTAGGTTGCCGCCTTCCCCTGGGGACATAACGTTTCCCTCATCATCGGTGATACGCTGCCGAACGGAGTTTATAGTACGACCGACAGAGCAGAATTTCAAATCCGCGTTTTTTTCCAGGGTCGGGAAGTGCTGGTGGTAGTGACTAGCGGCAGAGGTCTCTGTCATACCAAATGCCGTCTGCAGCGATGTAGCTGCCGCACCCATGGACACTATGATCTGGGTGAAATCCAAGCCAGTGGAAACGACGTTGGCCTCACCACCACTTACGACAGTGCGAAGAGATGAGAGGTCGTACTGCTCAGGCGGGTTCTGGCTCCTAATAGCCCTGACGACTGTGGCAAGGAAGAAGTTGGGAGCGAATGTGCGACTCACAGCGTGCTTCTCTATGACTTTAAAGAACATAGGAGGAGCGCGCAAGAGTTCAACGGCGGGGACGTGTATCTGAGTTGCACCGCAAAGCATGGCGTGCATATGAATTTCCGTCAAACATGCAACGTGATCAAACCCTATAATTCACTTAGTACAAGATATAATTTTAGTTTCAAGGAAGTGTGGCTACCTATCCAATTGAGGAAAACATCTTGACCTGCGGTACTCGTTGCAGCTGACTTCCCCTTCACGGAAGCTAGGATCTGTTCATGCCTAAGTTCTACAGCTTTAGCATTTCCCGTGCTCCCTGATGTTAACATTAGTAGAGCTGGCGCGTCCGGGTGCCCATGGTAACCATTCGTGTTCGCCTTGCCGTTGACTTTCACTTCGTCAGTCGATTTTCCATAAAGCGAAAGTGCTTCGATAGAAGTCACATCGAGCGCGGGAACAGAGCTGAGTTCTCCGCGGATCCTCTCGCTTGTAAGGACCTTGGGACTTTCAAGAATATTCTCTAGATGGAGCAGGTGGCGTTCTCGAGCAACCAAGTCCGATGCGAGAGGTGTAGACACGGCAGGAATGGCGCCGGCGGCAATGACGGACCAGAACCACTCAATATAATCCACATGAGAGTCCAGATGAAGAAGGACGATCGAGCCATTTGCAGCAATGTTGCTCTTTTTCAGAATATCGGCATTGAACTGTATTAATTGTCAGGACATAAAGGTATTAAAGTACGTTGTTATCAGCAGTTTAAAGGGTAGACATACCTTTGCCTTCGCTAATAACCCTTGGTACGACAAAAATTGAGGCGGTGATACCGATCCGGCTTTGTAGAAGTACAATCCTTTATCAGGGGCATTCGAGGCCGCATCCTCTAAGAGGTCAAAGATATGGAATGACATAGATAAGGTATGATTTAAATGAGACAGAAGGTGAATCGAGCGAAACTGTTGGACTCTTGTAGAGAGGGAAAGTGTCAGACTTTATGCTTCACTTAAGCACCTTGCCAGCTGAATTCTATACATGGTCTATACATGGGTTTTACACCATTAGCTTTCTGCATGGTTCCTGCCACGGTATCTGCAACACTTGAACTAATAGTCTAACGTGATGGAGGTATCCACCTGTGCCAGCAGTGCCGGCTGCAGCACTGTCGGACTCCACGGCAGCAGCGGGTGAAATGCGGACGGGGTCACATTGCAGCTCATCAGACCTTCTGGAGGTCCAAGACCAAGGGTGTTAAAGCTTAACTTTTAAAATTACCTTTTTAAAGGACTCAAATGAGATTATACTTAGCCTGAGGTTAATAGCTTTACAATAAGTAGGTAACGTACTTGACAAGCGAGCTGCGCATGCAAGCAAGCTTGAGTCTCTTAACTAAAGTATATATATATTTGTTATCATGAATCTATTTATACTCCCTTAGAGTTATTACTACTATTATTTACCTTTTATTTGCATTATTATTTTGTGATTCCTCTTGCTGCCCTTTAGCTACCCTATAGCTACTATAGCCTTATACTACTCGAAGGGGTTTTAATATATAAAGGTTACTCTCCCCTAATTCTGCTTAGCTTATTAAGAAAAACAGGAGGGAAAACTAGAGAGGTTAATAGAGTTCTATAAAAAAAAGGTTTTTACCGCTGTCGATGGGATGATTTTTAGATGTTGAGACCCCTCTTTCGTACATATATACTAAGGCGCAGCAATTTTGCACTTATGTCGGTGGCCGAAAATTAAGTGACTTAATAGTAGGCTCGAATATTTGGCTCTTAAAGGCTTTTCTACACCACAAAGTAACACCTATACAATTTCATTTCTAAAGGAACAGCTATTGAGACTATACGAATTTAGGCTGAGCATATAGCGCTGAAGTTTACAAAAGTCTATCTACAATCCTTTATATAATGATAGTAGCCCTTCATTCAATTGTTCAAACTCCACCTAAACTATATGAAGGAATAAATAAAGACGGAAAGCTCCCTCTTTGTAGGGGTCATGTTGTCCTTACCCGAGCTTTGATTAGCAATTATAAGAACAAGAAGATACTAGAAGCCATACCAAACACACGGGCGTTGCTTGCTGGGAAGTGTTTGCCGCCTTGCCCTTTACTTTCTCCCTCTTCACAGTTTCCACATGTTCGGAGTTGACAGCGGTGCTCGCCTTCGGCGATGGCAGTGCGGACGAATCTTGGGGGGAACAAATCTCGGACATGCTAGGTATGTGGTAAGATTATCGTAGCATAAATTTTTTTGGAATTGTAGTGAACAGAGCCTGGTGAAGAAGCTGTGTCCCTTATATACGGAGGTACAGCCCATAAGTTTTCGTATAGCGCTAGTTGGGAGGGTTCGCGTACGTGCGTTTGTTTGCACCGCTTTATTAGTCTAAATAATAAGAACTACCCAACCACGATATCTGATACTCGATCAATTAAAGTCTAACACTCGTCAGGGGTCCATTGCTAATGCTAAACGAAAACTTATGGGTTATGCCCGTTCTTTGTAAACTCTATTTAAGCGATTGCGTTAACAATGCTTTCTACCCGCTTTCGGTCGTTCTGCGAACAAAGTTTCGAATCGTACGTTTAGGTTTTGCGTAACCCCCTACACCGCCTCAACCCTTGCACCCTCGCTATTGCCGTCGCCTTTGCTTTCTGTCGGATAACGGCGGCTCGGTGTTACAAAGAAGCCAGGTCTACCCACGTGTATTAAAAAATAAGAATAAAATCGAAAATCAATTGATTTTCCAGAAGAGGCACCCCTTTTCGGTTAGCTTGGATCAGCTTAAGTACTACCCCCTTCCCCTAATAATCAAAAGCCAAGGGTACTGTGTGAATTAGGTGAGTTGGAAGCTTCCACGCTCTTTCTATTAGATAAAACTTGTATATAAATGGGATGGTGCTCCAGGGCTCATGGCGACTCCTCAGTACCAGCTAGCTCCCTTCCAAATCCATCTAATCGCTCTCTCTTATCTCGTACGCCGGCAAAAATGCAAGCACGTATAGGGCTCTGGGTGTCTCGGGGCGGCCATCTCGACATCCGCCAGCAACTCCCCATCAGTCCGTCGATGCTTCAGCCGGACGAATACCTGATTCGCGTCCTTTACAGCGGGCTCAATCCTGCGGACCAAAAGCATTCAATTTTCCTGGGCATCTGCGACCTCGTTGCTGGGTACGACTTCGCGGGCACCGTTGTGGCCCGGGGCTCTGACGGGCTGAGTCTCCTGCCGGGGGCTTTGGTCTGTGGTCTGGCGCGGACGGGGCTTTGCATTGGCAACCAGCAATCAGGGCTCCACGGCGCCCACCAGCAGTTCCTCGTTGCCACGGCGAAAGGCGTGTTTCCGCTCCCCGCCCAGACTTCAGACGCAGAACTCCAGGTGTTGGCAACCATGCCTGTCGTTGTCGCCACGGCCGCGGACTGCTTGTTCGGGCTGCTGGGGCTGGATGCCACGCCCAGCGCGAAGAACAAGGTGCCTCTGCTTGTCTGGGGGGGCAGCTCTGCCGTTGGCCACGCCGTCATCCAGTTTGCACGCGAGGCGGGAGTAGCGCCCATCCTTGTGCTGGCATCGCCACGTCATCACGAGGCGCTGAGGCGTCGCGGGGCGACCCGCTGCTTCGATTACCGGAATATCGACACCATCCGCCACCAGATCGCAGTGGCCATGCGCGAGCTCTCCCCCGGTAGCGACGGTGACGGCTGTCTTCGCCTCGCCATCGATGCCACGGGCATGAACCATGTCGAGATCCAATCCATCCTCGCCGATGCGAGCGCGGAAGCGCATGGGTCTACGGGCCGTGGCGCGGCGCGAATTGTGTCCACCGTGGGCGGTTCCGGGGATATTCTCAAACCCTTCGCGGGGGTGATCTTTGAGGAAGATGTGCATCTGGGCGGCGGCCAGGTGGTTCGCGCACGGGTGGCGGACGGGGCTCTCGTCGCGGACAAGGTTCGATGGGCCATCCGGCACTTGGGAAGCCAGTTCCACCAAGTGCCGGTCGAGGTCCTCGATGGCGGATGGCCCGCCCTGATCCCCGGCGTGACACGAGTCAGCGCTGGTGGCGTGTCCTTTCGCAAGCTAGTTTTCAAAATGCCGCAGGAGGAGGTAGAAGGAACAGGCACGGTTGCAGGCACAGAAAAGCTGGTATGACGGGAGGGACGAATGTTAAGGGCACACGCAGACATGTAATCTAAACAGAAACATTAAATCGGTGATATTTAAGATAAAATATGAACATGTTACAAATTTACTATTAGTCGCTATTACTCCTTCTATTCAAACTGGAATACCTTCTGTCGGAAAGATATTTTATAACCGTGCCGAACATCACAGGAAGAAAACACTCCCTGACCCTAGTATCGAAAGACGATGAGCCTAATAGCTGGTTCCCCTCATGTTGCGGTAAGCGAATGTGCAACAGGAGGGGAACCGGTTATTAAACCGTATTAAACCTTGGTATGCAGAAACAGGCAATATAAAATGTCGGTGAGAAGAAACGGATTTTGTACCCTCGACGGAAGTACTGTACGTTGACTCAAGTATAGGGTCGTCCGGTTGCAGGCCGGCCTCCCTCGTATCACGAACTCTAGCAGTAACAGGCGCTCGAAAGGAACTTTATAAATTTCGAATGAAAATTGAAATTATTATTGATTATATTAAAATTCTAGTTACAGGGGATAAGCACTAAAAGTTGATTACCGTGACAAAACAAACTCGATTTCTAATATAATAAATTATAATTCGAATTTCCATTTTCAATCTATAAAAATTACATTAATCGATTCCTTGAATTCTGATTAATAATTATATAGCTTTTCTTTTTATTTTTTGAATTCCTTTAAAGTTGTATACTAGATTGAAAAGCCGCTTAGTGTTACAAAATGCTAGTTGAGGTTATATTAGTTATATTTTTGATGTATAAGGTATCAATACATGGAATGATGCTATTTGGGGTTATTACCGTATTTTTATTATTATTATTTACCTTATCTATCTTAACTCATGTCTACAGGGATGGCCTCGAAGTGTTGCTCTAGGTGCGCCCGTACTCTCCCACTCTCGTCCTTTCTAGCAGACCCCTCTGACGCAAATAGCCAGATTCGCGTTACCTGTGATAAGTGCCGTGGTTATGGCAGGAAGAGTTGGCATAAGAGGATGGCTCCACAGCCACTCGATCCGAATGTCTCTTCTGAAAGACCTGCTCGATCAGTTTGAGGAACGAGGTATGCGAGGAGTATATCCTACGGGATAAAGGTTCCTAAACTTCTTTTTCTGATGGTCTATAGAGAATGACATGGATCCGTAACTTTCGAACGCAGTGAGGCCCCGGGGTTTGGGGGCTGGCCCCCATAAACAATATCTATAAAGCACAAAAGCTACGCTTTCACCCCCCAGAAATACTCTATTTGCGGCCCCTAGTACTGTACCACCGCGGCGTGCATGCAGGAGGATTACCCGGTACGGTCCTAAAGGACTCACCAAGTTTGCACCATGTCCTGGACGTGCTAGTCACGTGGGGTCCAGGGCTGGGCTGTTGACAGGCTCAAGGAGCCAGTAAGAAAGAAGAGCCGGCAGCAGACTTGAAACGCAGTCAAAGCCCTCGGGGTACGGAGGCATAGCCCATAAGTTTTCGTATAGCATTAGCAAGAGACCCCCTTAACGAGTGTAATGTTGAAGACATGTGTATCCACAAAACAGCGACATACGCTGGCCTGATTTCTAGCCAACTAGAGGCCCGCTAAGACTGCCGGGTAGCTGGATGGCAAGCCTAAGGATGAAAGTTTATAATTTACGGCCGGACAACAATTAAAGTTTATAATTTGCCGCCGAATAATAATTAAAGTTTATAAATTGCCGCCGAATAACAATTAAAGTTTATAATTTGTAATCAGACAACAATTAAAGTTTATAATTTGTAGTTGGACGACAATTAAAGTTTATAATTTGTAGCCAGATAACAATTAAAGTTTATAATTTGTAATCAGACAACAATTAAAATTTATAATTTGTAGTTGGACGACAATTAAAGTTTATAATTTGTGGCCAGATAACAATTAAAGTTTATAATTTGCCGCCGAATAATAATTAAAGTTTATAATTTGCAATCAGATAACCGTTAAAGTTTATAATTTGCAATCGAACAACAATTAAAGTTTATAATTTACAACCGGACAACAATTGAAGTTTATAATTTATATCCAGATAGCAATTAAAGTTTACAATTTGCAGTCGGACAGCAATTAAAGTTTATAATTTGTGACCAGATAGCAATCAAAGTTTATAATTTGTAACCGAATGACAATTAAAGTTTATAACTTGCAATCGGATAACAATTAAAGTTTATAATTTGCAGCCGAACAACAATTAAACTTTCCACTATTTGCGTCAACAAAGCCTAGTACTAATATCGCTTAAACTTACTTAGATAATAAGCTGAATAATATCAACATTAGAATAAACACTCCCGAAGTATCTAAAGGCTTGAGCACTATACCTCTGTATTCACACACAGCCAGTGCAAAGCATATCATTCAATGGTTGCTACTACTCTCCCCTCAAACGACTTTCGTGTGATTATAGTGGGAGGTGGCATCAGCGGTCTGGTAACAGCACTCGCGGCCAGCCGATTCGGCATTCGTGTTGATTTATACGAACGAAATACTTCTATTACAGAGTTAGGTGCTGGAGTTGCCATGTCCGTTGTCACGCCACTTTTACAATTGAACCCATAAGTTGAAATATTCTACTGACATTTTTCTGGCAACTTAGCGGTCCTAATGCGGCAGCTCTCCTCGAGAAACTAAATGTTGGCGAGATATTAGATAACATTTCTTCTCGCCCAGTGGACCATGTCAATCTCATTTATAGGTAGGTCTCTCTTTTTGTATTTGCAAGTAAACTTAGGATCCTCAACCTAACGCCTCTCAGATATCATGACACTGGGGAGATCGGCTACACAGGAAAATTGAACACTGCTAAACGCAGCTTCTACTGCCACCGCGCCGACTTCGTCCAAACGATCGCCAGCTGCCTCCCCAGTGACCAGATCCATCTAGGTAAATCCCTCAAAAGTATTTCTCAGGACCCTCACTCTGTCACGGCCTTCTTCGAAGATGGTACCTCGGTGACTGCATCTGCCCTTATTGGCGCAGACGGAATCCGCTCAAAGGTGCGCCAAACTTGGAATCAGGAGAAACCCATCTTCTCAGGCCAGATCGTCGTGCGAAGCCTCGTCAAAATGGCAGCTCTCCCGCAAGAAGTCCAAAATTATTGCAAACACGGTAACGTATGGGTCGCACCAGGGAAAAAGCACATCGTGGCGTACCCCATCCAGCGTGGGAAGACGGTATGTGTCGGGGCTATCATCCCGGCTTTTGGGGGCAAGGAATGGGAAGAGTCGTGGAAGGCAAGGGATGATAAGATCGATATGGAGAACTTTATGTCCACCATTGAGGAGTTTCACACGGATCCCAAAACCATGTTTCAGCTGGGCGAAAGCACGACGATTTTTGGGCTGTATGAACGAGAACCGATAACGAGCTGGAGGAATGGAAGGATAGTGCTTATTGGGGATGCAGCACATGCTATGTTGCCCCATCAAGGTATGTCTATTCACTAATAAGAGGGATCAAACACGGAGACCGGACAGAATCGTGTGCTGACTTTATTATCAAAGGCCAAGGTGGCTCGCAAGCAGTCGAAGACGCTTATGTTTTGGGCGTTCTGCTCGCTGCAGCGTCGAACAGCCATATGCCAGGCCTGAACATTACGAACTGGTTTGATGTTTTCGAGCAGATCCGCAAGCCTCGTGCCGAGGCAATAGCCATTGGGAGTAGAGCAATGGGTCAAGCATTCGATGACCTTCAATTGAGCGCAGAAGGAGTGGAATTCCTGCGCAAAAGCTACTCATGGATTTTCATTACTGAGGCCTTGGATGGGTGTGAAGACCAGATGAAGAAGTCTTTTGGGCCAAATTCGGTTGAATGGGAAAACCTTCAGAAGATTTTGGAGACGAGTCCGTGTAGGGAGTGGACCGAGGACTTATCGACATGGGGGTCAAATCCCAGTCAGCAAATGAACATATAGTATAGTGCATCTCAAGTCAGTTGAAGAATCACATGTTACGAACTATCGTGAAGCATCTACCGTTGATCCGGGAGACGTCTATCGAGAAACTGTTCACGCTTATTAAAACTTATTGAACGAATGGTTTATGAGTGATCATATTGATTGAGTTGTTCATTATAAGAGAATCCAGCTAGAGTAAGACCATTTTATCCTTCGGGATATCATCACGTGATCGGCCTGGGTTGCCCACCCTCCAATATGCTCTCTGTATCTGCGTTCGCCGAGTTGTTTGGGTGTTTAATCACCTGTTGTGCATCGCAGTCTCGATCCACAGTAAGTGCCGGGGTAGTATGGCTCGATTGAAAAGCCGAAGTAGGGAGTGTCTCGTCATCGTCGTTAAGAGCAAAATAATCGTCATCCTGCATTACTTCGTTTGTGGGTTGAGAATTCGGTCCTGTCGGTTCTGTCAACTTCAAATGAGCACAGACTGTTTCACGTAGATGAGTCGTGAAGCAGGTCTCTTGCGGGAGCATTGATTTTGGGTGCGAAGATGGTAAGCCTTCAACAGATAGCGTATGACCCTTCGCAGAGTGGAGGTTTGACTCGCTGCTGCTACTACTGATTTCGTTTAGAGCAAGGACTCACTTGAGTTCCAGGCTAGTGATCCCCTAATCAAAATCGCAAAATCGCTTTAAAAATCACAACACAACCAAATACTATTATTTTATTAAAGATCTTATTGAAAAACAATTAATTAATATTAATTATATCAATATTAAAGATATAATGACAAATAGATTAACAAAGTTATGTATTAGAGTAATATTTGAAAAATATAAAGATGTATTAAGCTTTATAGCAAACTAAGATTCAATTACAAAAGCTAGGAAAGAATAATCTCTGTAAAGGAATATTAGTGTCACGGGGTCGATCACGTCATGTCGGTACTCTCCGAGGGGATTAGGAATAAGAGCCTGTACTCAGTGCGCAAGCAAGCTAGAGTCGATCGGGCTAGCTTGCTTACGAAAACCCTGTATATCTTTAACTAGAAAGATCCTATATTGTAGCTCTTGGAGCTACATCTTAATCCTTAATCTGAACCTATTATTGAACCTGATGTAACTGTAACGATCTGGTCGAGGCAGCGGCTGCCTGAGGTTCCGTATGGTTGGTAGTTGTGGGTTAAGGCTATTAATCACCGGTTATCCACTTGAAAGTGAATTCGTTACTAGATCAATTGGAATGTAGGTAAACTAATTGATAACTAAGTTGAATACGAAGCTCCTAAACTATGAAACTTATTCTGACTATATACTAGGTTCTTCCAGGAGCCTCGAGGAGCCTACGCTTCTGAGGGCTTTAAGGAGTCTAAGGGAGTTTACGCTCCTGGAGGCTTCATTATATGATTTCTATCCTGGTAGATTAATCCTAGCAATCTTTTCTTATCGTAATCACCCCAGGATAATCCAGAGTAATTTTATCAGGTCACATGTACGCTAGTTTAGTTTAGATCTAGTGCTGATCCGGGTATAAACACCCTGTCAGTTCTATTCTTCAATCTACTCATCTCTTTTCTCACAGGGCCCACCGTTGTCTCCGCGTTCAATTAGCGTCCCCTAACCCTGTCTCGGTTCCAAAGCATCGGGACATCTAATTCCTAATTTGAACAGGCCCTTACCGTAGAACATTGGTACCCCGAAATTATATTCAGATCAGATGATGGATGAAGTATACCCATACTTTCCTTCAGAATTCATCTATCCCTCACAAGCTCAATACGATCCCTCTTATTTCGTCCCGCAATATATGGCCCTTCAACAAGAACTGATTCAGGGGGCTTTTTACAACCATACAACATCTTTGCTTCCTTCGCCTTCGCCTTCGCCTGATTCAACATTTTTATTATCTCTCTCTGCCTCTATTTGACATATCATCTTCACCACCTCTTCTTTCATTCGACATGGCATGGCATCGTCAATAAATCTACCTACATCTGATATGGTGAGATCTTCACCTTCATATTCGCCTTTCGCAAATAATGCCCCATTTATTCACTGGAGAGAGAAATTTCAGTTGAAAATTCAATTGATGTATTGGAAGAGGGAAAACAAAAACTGGAATTTGATAATAGATGAATTTGTCAAGAAAGGTATTAAAAGGAATAATATCTTATGTTGATATTTATACTACAATAGAACCCTAAAGGAGGTCAGTATTCTTATATTCAATTTGTATCAAAATAACTAATATTTACTTAGATGAATCATCTTAAAGATGCGGTTCAAGCAGATATTGTACACAAATGCGAACGTTTAGGAGAGTCAATTTTAGACCCATATATAAGGCAGGCGGATTATGACGGATATTAGGAGAGAATTTCTGTATTGATGGAAATGCATTGTAGTAGATGGACTGCAGCTCGAGTCAAATATACATGGACTCATGGTATAGCGGATCTTTTTCCCGACCTTGTATTAAGTTCATGATGATACTGGTATTTCAATTGAAAGCTTCATTGTTTATTATTATTATTTTCGTTTTCTCAACAAAGAGAGTTATCGCATGATGATTAGTAACTAGATGATTGATTTTAAAAAGCATTAACCGTGTAACTAGACGTTAATTAGTAGTTAATTTAGAGGAACACCTTTAGATCTATTTTCCTTCCTTTAAACAACTTGATTTTGTAATTTCTGAAGTTGAATGTAGATAGAAGAGTTTATTCCATGGCTGGGTATACTTTAGTGACAAAAAAATGCATTGTGTATCGACTTACGAAAAATCGACATGTTTATAGTTAGTTATTTACATATTATTATCATGCATCTATCGCGGAAGCATCTTTTTAATTCTGACTTCTCACTTTAGTTGGTTGAAAATTGATTTTAACCGCTACAAATTGTGGATTCTTATTTTTGTCAGTTGGTCGACGTCTCACGCCGAGCTTTCTTTATTGAATTACAAATTCTATGAACTTTATAAAGAGTAACTGCGACTTTATCAAAAGATACAAAGGTATCAAATCATTCATCTTTATTGTTCATCTCACTTTATATTCAAGTATGTCTACCGCAGAGTGTTGTCTTTAGCGTTATTCGCCTCGGGATCATTAGTTGGTCGTTCTATCGCGTACAATATTATGAACAAAAGCTATTTCGATAATAATCCCCCCCCTATATATCCAAGCCGTATGTTTGCATGCCGACAAATGCTTCTTTCTTATTGGAAATCAGGAATAGAGAACTAATATATGTTACAGCTATCGGCACCGGTACTCCTTTATGGAAAGACTCTTATGTGAAGGCTATGTCCATGATAGATCATATGACAACCGAAGAAAAGGTTAGTCATTCAATCAATATTCTTCATTTTTACGGTAGATGTTGATAACCTTAGTCCAAACTCACCACAGGTGCCATGAACACAGGCAATGGGTGCTCAGGAATCATCCCAGCGATCCCACGTTTCGGTTTCCCAGGAATGTGTTTTCAGGATTCGGGCAACGGTGTTAGAGGTGTAGAGTTTTCAAGTAGCTTTCCGAGCGGTATTCACGTTGGAGCAAGGTAATTGTTCTCAGTATAAGTGGATTTACTCGTGCTAATTTACTAGCTGGAACAAAACACTCGCTTATCAACGAGCATCCGTCATGGCTGGTGAGTTTCGCGCACTTGGTGTCAACGTTGTACTCGGTCCAGGTATGTGATTTTTTTAATAGCCCGAAACAAGTTCTTCGACTAATATGAGCAGTTGTCGGGCCACTTGGACTCAGGGAGGCAGAAATTGGGAAGGTAAACTCAATATTTCAGTCATCTCATCACTCAAAAAGCTAATTTTTCCCCGAGGGTTTTCAAATGATCCTTATCTTTGTGGTTCATTGGCTTCCGAGACAGTTCATGGAATACAAGCGCAAGGGCTCATAGCTAGTACCAAGGTAGGCTTTTACATCATGCGTTTTTCTAATACATGACAGATCTGACTTCTTGAATTTGTAGCACTTCATCGGTTATGAACAGGAGACTAACAGAAACCGTGTCACCTCTATGCCTGGTCAGAATATTGAGTTAATTTCTTCAAACATTGATGATAAGACCATGCACGAGCTTTATTTGTGGCCTTTTCAAGGGAAGTCAATCTCATCTACATGTCAATTTTTTCTAATGCTCTTCTAGATGCCGTACACGCTGGTACTGGCAGCATTATGTGTTCTTACAATCAGATCAATAATACCTACGGCTGTCAAAACAGTAAGACACTGAATGGGTTATTGAAAACAGAGTTGGGATTCAATGGATTTGTGGTTTCAGATTGGGATGCTCAGCATTCAGGATTTGTATCCGCACTTTCAGGCTTGGATGTGGCAATGGCATTACCAGGTAAGAACGAAACATGAAGTACCTGGCCTTCCTCTGAAACATTTGAGAAATAGGCTATGAAGTATTCTGGGGCCCAAATCTAACAGCGGCCGTCAACAACAATTCCATGCCGATATCAAGGCTAGATGATATGGCTACAAGGTGAGATAGAGATACAATAGGCTATTTGAAACACTTACTGAAACAGCAATCAAGGATTTTGGCAACGTAGTATCAGATGGATCAGGATGAAACTTGCCCGTCACCTGGCAACAGCATCCCGTATGATCTTCTCAAACCTCATACGCCAATCAACGGAAGAGACCCCGCCTCGAAGCAAATATTGCTTGAGAGTGCAGTACAAGGTCATGTATTGGTGAAGAATGTGGATAATTCCCTACCACTGAGGTCCCCAAAACTTCTTTCGTTATTTGGCTACGATGCGAAGGCCCCTGATCAAAATAATCCCGGGCCGGGCTATTCATCATGGACATATGGGTTTGAAGTTGCCGATATAGATGAGGCTCTTCCATATTTTCTTGATTACCAACCAGATACACCATATCACAAATTGCGATAAACGGCACACTGATCAGTGGAGGCGGTTCCGGTTCTAATAACCCCTCCTACATCAGTTCGCCTTTCGATGCAATACGCCAGCGGGCCTTTGATGATGGAGGTAGCATCTTCTGGGACTTCATCAACGTTAATGCGACAGCAAACGTCGACCCGGCATCAGATGCATGTTTGGTGTTTATCAATGCTTTTGCTAGTGAAAGTATTGATCGGGTTGATTTGCACGATGATTACTCCGATGCGTTGGTCAACAATGTAAGCTGAATACCATCACACTAGACCAGGGGTGTAATTCAAACTGACATGTAGGCAGATTGCGGACCAATGCAACAATACTATCGTTATAATACATAACGCTGGTGTGCGCCTCGTAGATCAATTCATCAACCACGATAATGTTACCGCTGTTATATTTGCTCATCTACCAGGGCAAGAATCTGGTCGCACTCTCGCCTCTATTCTCTACGGAGACACTGCACCTTCTGGTAAACTCCCGTATTCTATTCCTATGAATGAGTCTGACTACGGATTATTTTTGTCCCCCTCCCTTCCGGAACCTCCGTTTGAGTACTTTCCCCAATCGAACTTTACAGGAGGCATTTATATCGATTATCGTGCTTTTGACTTGCAAAATATTACTCCGCGGTACGAGTTCGGCTATGGGCTATCATATACCACTTTCTCGTACTCTAACCTATCAGTTAAAAATTTTTTACAATCGCCGTTACCAGAGTTCCCTTCCGGGGCGGTGAAGGAGGGCGGTATGGAGGACTTGTGGGATATCATTGCACAAGTAAGTGTACAAGTTGAGAATTCAGGAATCATGGATGGCGCAGAAGTCGCTCAGCTATACGTTGGAGTACCTGGTGGGCCAGTCCGACAGCTTCGAGGTTTTAACAAAATTGAGATCACACCACGGGAAAAGGTGACAGTGGGCTTTGAGTTGACTCGAAGAGACCTGAGCACCTGGGATGCTAAATCGCAAATGTGGAAGCTGCAGAAGGGGACTTACAATATATACGTTGGTGGGAGTAGCCGAGAACTGCCACTTTCGGGTGTGATAAACTTATAGACGAAGAATTTGGGGTAGAGGACTGATATCAAGGAAAGTTAGTGGCACGTATAACATATTATACACTTTTCTGGGTAGTGATCATGTTACATAGCTAGCGTTAGCGATAGTAGAACCTCAGTACCACAACGGATAGCTGTCATACTCTTAGCTTCTAACTCCTTAAGCAATATTAAAACAGTGCGAAACATGTTAACCCCATGGTGACAACAATAGTCTCCTTTAAAAGAACATACTGTACTTACATTTTTTTATAATTAATTCTTGTAGATTCTATGCTTATTTATCTTTCCTCACCTGTAAGTTCCAATTCAAGTCCTGCTTATTTACCGTCCTTTTTGCAATTTCTTTTACTTACAAGTTCCTTGTTCGGGCACGATCTAAGGAAGTTGTTAGAAAGTATGATTGGGTGATGATAGAGAGTAGGCGGAGCTAGTTTCATTCAGCACAAGTGAGAACTCTGGTCATTGGAAGATTCAGGGACCTTAGTAGAATTATAATCTCGAAATGCCGTCAAACTCTACCCTCAGCTCCTCATGAGTTCTAACCTTAGTAGAAGTTCTCACTAATTTCATGTATCTCAAATATGATTTTGATAAAAATTTTGGTAGGAATTTTGATAGATCGATTAGTAAAAGATTTCCATCATATCAAAGCCTCCAATCCTGCGATCTACAACTTAATCTTGTGACTCTAACTAATTGCTCAAAATGAGATTGATTTGGAACGATATGTGATTATTGATATGACGCCTGATTTTGAAAAAAGCAATCGATCGACATGATCTGACAATGTAATAAGATCTGAATGTCATGTTATAATCCTATCTTCTATGAAAGGATTAGTCTTAGTATCTTCTCTATTACTACCATCACTTGTTTAGGCCATCTCTTATTTTGACACACTATCTAATTTAGCAGAAGCTTTTGTGATATCTTGTATAGGACCGTATAATACACAACTCCACGCTACATACACAAGATTTCTAGAGCATGAAGCACGTACCATGAGACTAGTCTCAATGCAAAAAATTGCTTAGTTCTTATCAGCCCCTTGATCGACAACTCTCATACCTCTTATTTATAAGATCTTTATTAGCTATTAGTTTATCTAAGTCTTACTCTCATATTCTGTATTATGACATGTCTCATTCTAACATCCCCTATTCTAAAATTTCTTAATCTAACACCTCTTCAATTGACATCTGTCTTGTTTTAGTACTAACATTGTAATTACCTAATACCCAGAGACAATACTTTGAAGCCATTTCTACTTCTAGAAGGAAATCTTTAAAGCAATCCAATTAGATCGGATCAAAGAATCTATATCAGATATCTACAATCCCCAATCCCTGGAAAAGATTAATTACTTCAGATTCTCTTTTTAGGAAAAAGAACTTTTTTATTGAATAAATATTAATCATTTATTTAAAGAAGAAATTGTTTTGTTTTATAATCTAATTAATAAATATAAAAATATCAAAATATTGATTATTTATATAAATACATCTTCAATAGAAAAAAGAATTGAAATAAAAGTAGATCTAGTTGTTCTTAATCCAAATAAAGAAATAAATCATTAAAAAGAATATAATATTGAAGAAAATCAACTTATCTATCTCGGAGGAGGTTAATCGATAATAAATAATAATTATTATAATAATAATATTATTACTTATATTAAAAGTGGAAGACTTATTCGTATTTAAGCTCAATAGGGTAAAGTCGAAAATAATTATAAATTGAAGTCAGAGGAATAGAATAGAGATTTTTATTTTCTTTTTCTGTTTTATTTTTTCAAAGGATTCTTTGAAGAAAACCTTTGTATTTATAGTATTTAATGAAATTGTAGTATATTCTATGATTAATAATAAGATCAATTTGAATCGAATCTTATAGAATCATTTTATATAATAAAAAGAAATAATAACCGATAATATTCAATCTGATAAATAAGAAATTCCATACACTTCCATTTCGTTCTATTCTCTTATAAATCAATCTGATATAAATTAGAATCAAATTTTCATATGATAATAAATATAATAGTATATATAAATAATAATAATATATCACGTGATCATTCAATCATTGGTTCGGCTAATATTATTAAGTGATTCAATAACTTATTAGAAAATCTCACAATTTATTTAAGAGATTTCTTTATCTCAATCATCTTTCAAACATTATTTTATATTATAAAGAATACAAGATTATATATATTTAAAACAACAAATCTTTTACAAATTATTCAGAATCTTTATATAACAATAAATATATAAAATCATTTTAATATCAGAATTCTTAATTTCAATTATAAAACAAGACTTCTCTTTATTCTTTTGATGAATTTTGTTAAATTGTAAATTATTTATAATAAAAAGAAGATTTAAAATATAAAACAATAAAAACTAATAAGTTATATATTGGTTATAAATAATCGAAAACGATATTTAATTAAAAAAAGAATAATATTATAAATCATCTATATTTAAGATTATAATAATATTATAAATATCGATGATTTAATTATCGATTACAAAAGGGTTCTTTATTGTTACAATTAGGAATTTAAAAATCCTAAAACAAGTATTCTAAACAATTATAATATAATAGAGCAAGTATTCTAACTTTACAAAATATATTAAAATAATAATTATTCTAGAATATTTATCTTGGAGCAATTATATTAGGATATCAATTATCCTAGAGAGGAGATTATCTTGAAATAATTCTAATAAAATGAAATTGTTAAGATTAATCTATTAAGATAAAGAATCATATAATGAAATCTTTAAAAATATAAGCTTTTTTAGATTCTTTAAAGTCCTCAAAAGTATAAGCTTTTTGAAACTCCTAAAAGAGATTAATATATAATCAGAATAGTTTCATAGTTTAGGAACTTCATACTCAACTTAATTATCAATTAGTTTACCTACATTCCAATTGATCTAATAACGAATTCACTTTCAAATAGATAACTAATGATTAATAACCTTAACCTACAACTACCAACCATACGAAACCTCAGGCAGCCGCTGCCTCGACCAGATCGTTACACAAGTAAGCCTCATATACAGCAAGGTTATAATGTCGGCAAGCCGACATTATATTAGCTTACAAAGTATTCGGTATAATCCTTAACAAAGTGGGGTATCTGCTATCAGGTGAGCATAACACTTAAAAACCTCATCATATCTTCGTTGTTCTATTCCTTATTCTTTTTATTAAATCTTATACCCACTATTATACTATATTGAATACTCGTCTCTAACTCAAGCCTTCAATATTATTTATCAAACTTTATCTCAATAAGAAAACATCAACTGTATATATTTATCTATATATATCTACTGATATCGCTAACTGTATAATAGCCAAATCCAAACAATCTCGTTTCAAACCTTAAGGAATACATCTATCTATATTCTTTGGCATTTCTTATCAACCTCATCATTGTAATATCCCCTTAAGCATTTCTGCCACTTTCGCTAATCTGAATCCAGTTTCGTTATTAAGCGCGACGTCCTACTATCAGCAAGATCCTTCTCCTCATCCGCGATACCTTCTATCCGCAATATCATTCTTTCACAAATATCATCTGGTTAACACCATCCACCTACAGCATGTCTGAAGAAAAAAGGGATTTTCATGCTTGGGCTATTGAAACAAGCGATCACGATAGGAAGATTGAGTTTAGGGGTGAATTGATATTGATTTATAATGAAACAACAAAGCATACACCGGTGGATAAGCTCTACGTTAACAGCAGGGAAGAGTTCATCATTCCGAAGCATTACAAATGTAAACTTCATGGTGCTGGTATGGGGTCTTTTGCTAGACTACATGATAAAATAGAAGAACAATCAGAGGTCTAATTCAAGCCTTTGTAATCCAAACATTTCTATCAATTCGAAACCTGAAACCTGATCAATTATAATATGCCAAGCTTTTTGTTAGATTATTTACCGGGGTATTTTAGACCAATCAGATTGTCAGGATCGCGACTCACTTGAGCAAGTTTCTTATTTTCTATCACCCATCAGGTAAACCTCGCGTACAGCAAGGTTATGGTGTCGGCAAGCTGACAATAAAATCGAAGTTTAATTATCAACTTGAAGTTATTTATATTAATATCTTATTATATATCAAAATCCTGTTTTATGATTGAACAAGCCACAGTCTCAAAAATGGGACCTTGACTGATTCGCTGCTCCTATAGGGTTTGAATAGGGAGTCCGCGTTTCTAGATGGTCTACATATTCACGATAGACCAACGTAATGTGCCTCACCAACCCAACCCAACCCATTGGTTTTGACAATTCGACCAAACAGCTAGATTCCAGCTAGACATAGAACTGTGCGAAATAGATACCAATGTATGCGTGATAGAGTTGCACCGTCTGCGCCCTGGTGATGTAGTATTAGGGACACGGAAAGACTGTAGTAATTGGAGTATTCGTTGTCGATATTATTGTGATTGCAATTGATGAGCTTGTGATCGATACATAGGAGCTGCAGCCGAGACAGTGGTAAGTAACCTTAACCCAGGTGACTAACTCCAACACAAACTAATCTATATTTCGAAGCCTCAAGATCTGTGTAGTCCGAGCAATGGGGCTTCACTCAGGAATTGGTGCAAATCACTCGGCAGGCGTAATGCGGTACGTATGAGTTAGCGAACCCAATATATAGAATATCTTTAGAGATGAAGTAGGGAACTTACTTGGATATGTAATGGCAGGATAATACATATAGTTTGGCAACACTCTTTCTTAACTTCATACAATAATACCACTCTTTTGTCTGTTTTCTCTCACCCTCTCCCACACTTAACGTCTTCTGCCTCAATCTAACTCCCTCCCTCCCTTTCGACCATCATCAAATCCCCCTTTAAATAGATAGATACCTACCTACCCACCCACCAACCATCCCCAAATCCCCCTCAACTAACACCTACTTAAATACCTACCATTCCCAACTCACCAACTCACCAAGTCCCCAATTCCCCAATTCCTCAAACTCCCCAACAACACAACATCTAATAATCTAACACATACCACACACACTTTCAAACACTCACACTCACACTCACACTCACACTCACATACCCATATACATTCACAAAAATCCACAATTAGACTCCTTAGATCCTTTAGAACCCATACATACATCAACTCGTCATATTATACTATACACCCTATACCCTACCTACACTCTACACTCTCCCTCCATCATCCTTTCCTCTCCCTCAATCACAACCTTTTCTCCGAGTCTCTCATTCCCAAACCCTAAATTCCAATTTCCAATTTCCACAGGTGATGAACCCATGTAACCACGAGTAGTTTGTGAAGAAAAAACATAATTTTACATTTTTGATTGTGCTTTCTTTTTACCTTTCTTACTTGAGATCAAATCATGGGATTCATCGCATGCATACATGCCATTCAATCTCAATCCTTTTATGCTGTCTTTCATCTCAAGCCCTGCTTGCGCACATCCATTCGTGATAACCACATCAACGTATCATTATTTCACCTCTCTTCACATCACCCCTCTCATTAATGCTTGAAAATTAACGCATACCAGCTCCTCCGAGTCCGCTCATACCTGCTAATCTACTAGCCAATTGTGGATATTTCTCTTGAACTTCCAATTGTGTCCTCGTAGCCTCAGCATAACTCAACGCATTAACAATTTCTCCTTCTGTTCTAGATAATTCTGCTGCTCTCTCAAAGTATTTAAGAGCTTCAGTTACCTTACCTTGTTGAAGGAGAAGTTGTGCCATGGTTGCGACGGCGATATCACATTCAGGGTCGACTATTAAGGATTATTAGTATAAGGAATTGAAGACAGGGGAAAGAAAAACGTACTAATAAGAGCCTTTTCACAAAGTTTTTCTGCCTCTCCAAAATCTTGCTTCCATTGGAAAAGAGCAAGGGCTTTGTTAATGAGTGGGAGAACACTCATGCCTAACGGTTTAGTTTGCTTCTCTAATTCAACGGCCTTTTCGAATTGTGAGATGGCTTCATCATACTTCTGTTGATCTAACAAAAGCTCTCCGTAATAGTTGTATGCATCAGGTACATCTTCAAATGCCTTGATTGTGCGTCGGAATGTTCCCATAGATGATGCGGTGGAACCCATCTTGTATTGTGTAACACCAAGTTGAATGTGTGAGAAGATGAAGTCCCGGTCGAGGTCAATAGACTTTTGGTAGTCCTTTGCTGCTTGTGAGAGTTCACCGAGGATGAAATTGAGTTGGGCGCGGTGGTAGTAGATATCAGGGTCATCATCATGTTGTTCCATAGCCTTGTCAAAATCTGCAGCAGCGGCATCCTTGTCACCTATAGATGTGTTAGAAAGTAATCAAGGGTTTCTTATGTGAGAAACCAACCAAGTTCCAAATGCATGCTAGCACGCTTGATATAACTTTGTGTATAATCGGGCTCCAATTCAATACTCTTGCTCAAATCACCTAGGGCGTCCAATTGTACTCCCCGGAGATATCTGAATGTTCCGCGCATGTTGTACGCAAAGGCTTCATGTTCACCAAGTTCTCCCAAATCCAAGGCCTTCTCAAATGCAGCTGAAGCATCTTCATACCCCTCATTAGTCTTCTTTGCCATAGCTCGAAGACCGAGTTGTAATTGACCCTTTCCTGTTTCCTCTGATATTTCAACACTATCTTCTAATCCTGCGGGCGCGGGTTTTGATCGGAAACTTTGTAGGTAGTTGGTGACAAATGTTGGACTTGGAAGCTTCTTATCCTTGGCCTCGAGAATGACCTTTGCCTTGGACTCCGCAACCTTTTTGAGTAATCTTTCGACAGACTGTGCGCTTTGTTCATTTCGGAACCCATCGATAATACAACTGGCAGTGAAATCGAGTAAAGCCTCGCTGTATTTCTCGGTATGTTCATATGCGTTTGCTCTACGGTTTAATGCCTTTACATATTCGCTATCGAGATTAATCGCAGCAGTGGTATCCTCAATAACTTTCTCGAATTCGCCAAGGGCATTGTAACATGCAGCACGGTTTGAATAGAAGATAGGATCTGGCTTGCAAAGGATGGCTTTACCGTAAAGGTCGATGGCTCGAGGGTAATCCTTGGACCCGTATGCAGTATTACCGGCTGCCTTCAACTTCGCGGCATATTCTTTTCGTTGTTGCTCCGATAAATTTCCAACAGTGGTTTCGTCAACCTCCGGAAGCTCATCCAAAGTCTCTGCTGCTGCTTTGGATTTTGTATCTGGTGTTGTGGTTCCCTTCTCTAGATCGGCTTCTCTCTTCTCGTCCTTCTTCCGTCTCTTCTTCTCCTTTGATTTCTTTGATACGCTTTGGGTAGACGTGGAATCCTTCTGTAATAAGATATTAGTACCTGCAGTGATGGGACGATTAGCAAACTAATGGCCAAATGCGACCTACCGAGTCTAATAAGTAGTATGCAACTCCAGCACCTGAGACTACTACTGCCACACCAGCGATTGTATATACAACTGCTTTATTCTCTGAAGCCCATGCTGTTATGCGATCCCAAACTGATGATTGTGATGTCGATGCCGCAAAATTTGGCATGGGTTTGCCCGGAGGCATTGTGTTTGGTACAGACATTTAAAAAAAAGAAAAAGTGGTAATTAAAGAAAATAAAATAGGATATTGAGGAAGATGATGAGGGGTGGTATAGCTGATAGGTGATGTTGTCAATCTTGATGTTCAAATTGAAGGTGGATTCATCAACAGCTCAAAAAATCTTAGTGATACCAGTTTAATCGTCAAGAGAAGCTTTGGCATTGGTCATCATTAGCGCGGTGCGGCTAAAGCGGCGTTCTTTCGTCATAGTGGACTCGGACGAATCGTCGCTTGGAAATTCTATATAATCCCCGCCGCCTTTGGGGAGGGGTAAATGTGACAACACAACTTATTTCCCAACACCGCAGTAAACATTTGCTCCAATATTGGCAAAGCACGTTTATAAGCCTTCAAACATACATTTGTGGTTGGGTACTATCTCGTGCGGGTTCGAGGATGTATAAAAGGATAATGGTGAATGCTGTACTTACCAGAGGGATAGAAATTTGTATCCTCATCCATAAGACTTTGATATCCATCGGAGAGATATCCAGTAACTACATAAGAATACCCTGATTTTCTTATCCCATCGTCAAATCAGCCTGAAGTGTTCGATCCAGATGGATATCAAAGACAATCAATACCTTCTTAGTACCAGCAGCACGGAAGGATGGCCAAATAATCCAGACTGCAGTCGAACCATCAGAGAGCGTTGATACCTGAATCTCTTCTATATCTTGTATCTCGACTTAAACATTAAATCTATTGAGACATTTGAAGCCGTGGATATCAAGCATCACATGTATTTGGAACAATAGATCTACCAGAAGAATTGAAAGCTTCGAATCGGGACTGCAGCTCTGACTATATGACATGGTTACTTTCTCAGATCTTACCAGCTATTCGTTTTACAAAAAAGCATCGTCGTATCGATCATATGGCTTCGAATCAAGAAATACTCTAAGCATTTAAACACCACTAAATACCAATTTCCAGACAAATCAATCCCCTTCACCCTGGACAGCTTTATATCGCAACATCACATTACCTGAAAATCGCATATCTGCCCCCCTCCAGCAATATTCATTGGTCACCCAGTGGTTCATAGCCGCTTACACTGTATTTGCAGTACAAGTAGACTTCCATCCTTAAATCTTGGCCACCACCTCCTTCGCCATAAATGCCCTTAAAATAAAGCATATAGCTTGCACGAAGACAAGACTGATTAAACGCCATAAGAGGAGAGCACCCTGAGTAACATCTAGCTAATATCCTATGACCACCTGGCTTTCATGGCGTATGTTAAGGAACTAGGAATTTTAGTTGTAAAGTATGGTGCTTAGTATTAAAACACGACATGAGGCTCATTTCATGAGTACCGTAAGGAGGTTCAAAGACGAATATTCAATGATAGATATCTTATAGTTCGAGGTCAACTGTAAAGCATTTAGGGCGGTTGTAGCTGATGCCATTAGCGAAGTGGTACGCAAATTTCTCGAGCTGTATAAATCTCGAATTCTTCAATTCTGCTGCAACTTTCCCTGTATGTCGATGTCTGGGATGGCACTATAAAGAATGCTATCTCGTCCGGCCAGTCAGCGAGCAGTAAACCCAGAATATAATGAATATCTTCGAATTTCCATTCTTCTGATGGTCAAATTCGTGCCAGTTTCATTGCCGACATGCACCATAAAATAACTCTCGCAACTCGTAGTAGATTTGATCGTACGATTTGAGTAAGATGAGTTATGCCATCAGAATGTGTATCCATGAATGCAAAGACACAACCTGATGTTTCGTCCTAGGCCTAAATAGATCGACTGTGGAGGATTAGTTACATTCCGAGTATACCAGGCAGAATGTAATGTTATTTAATTTCTTTCGTCTCATACCGGGAGCTAGCTAATGTTTAGGAGATTGCATTTTTTTTATGTAGCTTAATGACTTAGTGTGTTCGATATTCAGATGGATAAAGTGTGCCAAATGGTTTCATGGAACCGATTGTTCGACTGTAGTTATGACAAGTCTGAATCGGAGGTGCTATGTAGAAAGTCTGCATTATGACGATACATAGGAAACCGGGGGCTATTCTGATGGGTTCATGTTTCCTTTGTGGGGAGGATCGTATCTGAATATAATACCTTCATCACAGCTAAGCTGCAGTTGTGAATCAAGATTTCCAAGTGATACAAGAGATGCGATCCATAATATCACTGGCAGATGCCGAATACATCCATTGAAAAAGAACACGGTTTACGCGCCCTTTGACGCTGAAGTAAATGTTTATCCAGTGTAAAACTTGTTTGAATCTATACTGAAATTACAAAATCACTTGTTTCCTTTGATACCTGTCCCTTCGCCTTAGTTAATCTGGATCGGGAGTTGTTGGAATTGAATAGGCATCAGCGGGCTCTTTGGGTGGGACTAAAGTTGAGAACGCGAAACCTCTCACAACAACTTTCTCTAGAAGTAATTAATGCAAAAGGGAAAATTCAAATACCAGCACTACATTTCACTAAGCGTGAAGTGCAACCATCTATTGAAGCGACCCTGAGCCTGAACCAATATTGCCGCAGCATGGCTCACGCAGTGTAAATGATTGAAAAGAACAAACATTTTGAAGACTTCTGATGGAAATGTGCTTCACTGCACATTCCCACAATAAAACGAAATACAGTACTATACAAATCAGATACTATCTGATCTGTCAGATACATGCTCCCCCATTGTTCAACATAATTTTTGTCTCCAAAATTCATATCATCTTGCTTGCCAATGAAACTTCATAAGACTGGTCATACTCGAGACGATAGATTGTAACATTAGTACGGTGAATAATGAGATGGAGTGAAGAAATAGCCGAATAAATCCCGCCAAACATCTCCACACACGTGATACATGCACAAGTTCCATTGTCCAGCAAAGCTCCCAGCTTTATCTTAGAACTGATCGAGGATCTCCGAATAGTACCATTTTCGATAAAAAGAAATTAATCACGTATAAACACATTGTAAGTAAATCTCTTTGATATCATCGTGTCATTTCTCAATCCTAGCTTTCAAAACTACCTAGTACACATTTAGACAAAGCACGGAAAGTATCTGTCCTGCAAACTCATGCATATTCAGCCCTACGAGCTTAGTGGATACTAGGTAGCCCAAGAAATATATTATTTTGATTGAACATCTAGTGGTTGTTCAATGGATATAGAATAATCCGTCGGGGCACCCCACGTTTCGACTTGGACTTAAGTTATGACTCAGAATTCCATATGGAGCTTGAAGTTTCAATATCTTAAGTCACCTAATATATCTATTCTAGCTCTGCTTTTGATTCATGCGACGAGATAAAGCACAAATCAAATCTAACAAATCTTCAGCTCTTCTCACCCCGCCCAGCATGTCCTCCTCAAAAGAACCAGAACCAGAACCAACCTTCCAACTCTTCACCTCCCTCCGCTACGACCCAATCCTCCTCCAATCACCTCTTAACATCCAATCCTGGCCTCTTCCCTCCCCCACCCCATGCCCCTTCTACATGCTCCCTTATCACCGCGACCGACTCCAACAAGCCGCTACCCACTTTTCCTGGCCCATCGCCATAAACGCCATATCCGGTCCCGACGGATTCCAAAACCTCCTGACCACTCTCTCCAAAACCATCGATACCAGCTCTCCCACCCCCTTGCGGGTACGGGTCGTTCTCGATCATCGAGGAAATCTAACCGTAGAATCGAATCCCGTCCCCGCAGTCTCACTGTCCAACCTCTTTCCAACCCGTCTTCCACCCCCATCCACCCTCTCCCACCCAACACCCCAAGCATCAATATCCCCCCTAACAGGCGGCGCCCTAACCCTCGGCACTACCGACCTCCTCCCCAGCGAACCCCTTAAATCCTTCAACTCCTCAACCCCCTATACCATCATCCCAGACCCATCCCTCACCACCCCCTCCCCATATACATCCTTCAAAACCACTTCTCGCACCATGTACGACACCGCTCGGTCACGCGCCCAAATTCACACATTTACCGAACCAAAAGAAGTTCTCCTAGTATCCCCCAACGGGGAAATAATGGAAGGATCCCTCACAACCCCATTCTTTTATCGCGATGGAAAATGGGTGACGCCTTCCGAGGGATGTGGCGGTCAAATTGGTACGACGAGACGATGGGCATTAGAGAAGGGGTAAGTTCTTTCGTTTTCCTTTCTTTTCTTTCTATTAATATAATCATCTCCACCACATCACAACTTCACTACATCCATTTCTAAACATCACTCACCCATTTCTCATTTCCCAATCCCATCCCCCATCCCACCCTACACCCCATCCTCCTCACTCATCCCCCCAACCTCAAAATAAATAAACAAACAAGAGTAAAAACCCCGTAATCTAACCCCACCCTAGCATCAGCACCCAAAGCACCATCTCCATCGACTCCCTAACCGAAGACGAAGAATGCTGGATCAGTAATGGAGTAAGGGGATTTACTTTTGGGAAGATAAAACTTTTGCCTTGAATATATTTATCTATTGACTTATCCACCCATTTAGACCTTTATTCATTTATATGTATATAAATAGCTACCTGCCTACCTGCCTACTTGCCTACTCACCTACTTACCTGTCTATAAACTAAAAATCCAGAAATCTAGAAATGTTATTTTGTTTTATATATTGATATATTGATATATCAATACCTACTAGACCAGAAATCTATAAGACGTATACATCCATCCATTAATCCAAACCACACCCACAAACCCCAGCCCTTTAAAATCAATCTCAAACCCCAAACCTCAAAAACATCATCAAAAAACCAAGACACCAAGACACCAAAACACCATACAAAAATAATTCATTTCTATAAATACCTACAAAATAGCATTAATAAATTATATCACATCGCTAGCTATTATAAAATCTTTTTATAATCTCTCAATCTCACAGAAAAATCAACACCAACAGCACAAGAAACACAAAGTGGTGGGACAAGATAACCCAAGGTGGTTTGACATTGACAAAAAAAGAATATTCGCTGTTGCATTGCTATAGGTCCTGCCTCAAAGAAACTACGTACATTTATTAGACCAGACCAGATGGACCCCAGTCCTTTCCATTTTTCCAATAATCAGGTTAAATCTTCAAGAATTAAAGGATAAGAAAATATTCGCAATGCGCCAAGAAATTGATTCATGCTTGCTTTGGGGAATCTTGCATCGTACGCTTATAATCCAATCCCTATTGATCTTTTTTTCTTTAATCCAAGTTTGAAATCAAACCCCTCACTTCCCAAGAATCAGTATTGATAAGACAAACACTCTCTATGATCGCATAGCATCCAATCCACCTTGTAAATCTTGTTCCAGATCATTTGGTCCTTGTCCATAAGCTTCTTGTGGTCTTGGATCCTCAGCCCTCCAGCTTGCTTGATCCTGTGGTATAGGTACTTGAGGTCCATTACTTTGACCCTGTTGACCAGGTTGAACACGGACATGTTGTCTAAATCGGTGAACTTCTTCTAAAATCAACTTTCTGATCTCACCAACATCTTCCACAACTTCAAAATCGAAGTTGAATGTTGTTGGACATCCGGGCTCATCGGAAGCATCGTGCCAGATATGAAGGTATGGGTGTTCAAGAGCGGTTTCGACATCAATACGGGAGGATGGATCGAATGCTAACATATGATCAAGGAGGTCGAGGGCATCTGGATTGGCGTTGGGGAATAAAGTTGGGAAAGGTCGCTTGGCCATATATGGTAAGTTTCGGACGTATTCTTGTGCTCGTGGAGATCCAATTCGTGATAATGTTTCTTCATTAGGTGTACCAAGGATGTGCAAAATTTGGTTGAGTTGATCAACATAATCTCTTCCCTTGAAGAAGGGACGACCGCCAAGTAATTCTGCGAGAATACACCCTACTGACCATACATCAACTAATTTAGGTTAGTGACATGTCACTTTTCGACCCATGATGGTATAACTTACTAGCTTTCGTATAGCTCTGGAAGCTCAACATAATCTCAGGGGCACGATACCATCTTGTAGCAACATATTCCGTCATGTATCCAGCATTCTCTTCAGGATCAACGGAGAAACCTCTTGCAAGACCAAAATCACAAATCTTCAACTCGCAATCGGCATTGACCAGCAAATTACCGGGCTTCAAATCACGATGAAGAACATTCGCAGAATGAATATATTTTAAACCACAAAGAATTTGATAAATGAAAGACTGAAAATGTGCATCGGTGAGTGGTTGACCAGATCGTACGATAGCAGCGAGATCACACTCCATAAGCTCTGCGAAGAAGAAATTAGTATGAATTGAGTATGGGAATGAAAAAGTCCATCTTACCTTCATAGAGGTATGTCTCATTGAAGTTATCTGGTCGAGGAATGTCCATATCATACAGACAAGTAATCTATCTAGGGTCAGCACTACCCCACCACCATCATGAATATAAGAGTCGCATACGTTACGATGACCTCTGAAATGTTGTAACAACTTTATCTCTCGTAGCGCACGCTTTGCCAAAATCTTCTTACTAAAGACATTTGTGACCTTCTTAATTGCGACACCTTCTTGTGTTTGAGAATTGGTAGCGGCACTGAGATAAAGAATAATGTTAGCTAGAGGTTTATCATACGGATGTGCGCATATGCAGGTAGGGTCGAAAAGAAAGTAACATCGTACCAGACGATACCATAAGCTCCTTGACCGAGCTCCTTGGTTACTGTATATCTCTCATCGACGATGAAGTCCTGATTGAAGACCTTGAATACCTTTCTTCCTTGAAGATCCGCCATGTTTGATTCGGATGTTGTGGAACGCGTAAGTTTCGAGGTCTTGATGAGATCTAAGAGTGATTGATCTCAAAGTGGGTGAGGTTGAAGTGAGATGTTTCCTTTTTGAAATGAATGTATATCAATGATACGATAAGAGAACGAATATAAGTATGGGAGATTCGGAAGATGTTAGTTGCTCTCCTTATGATCTCCCTAGCCGCCGACAAGGAAGACAAGGAAGACAAGGAAGTTGAGGTTGGCCTTCTAAAGTTATGATGGGGCTTTGCGGAAGAGGCACAGCTCGTTCGCAATTTAGAAATTTTGGGGTCCAAGGTGGGGAGAGAAGGGGGAAGAGGGAAGAGGGAAGAGGATACTTTCTTTTATCTTAGAACAAGGAATTGAATACCAAATCTTTTAACGATGATAGGACCAATTATCAATTTACTAAATATATCCAACTTGTTTGTCCCGTGTTGTGTGTAGGTGCTAAGTAAGATCTCACCTTTTTTATCATTAAAAAAGAATGACAAATTGATAACGGACTCTGTTAACTATTGTGAAAAATATCCCATCTAATAAATATATAGGTTATATACATAACCCCACAAACTGAAAGGAAAGAAAAGAAAAGAAAAGAAAAGAAAAGAAAAGAAAAGAAAAGAAAGAAAAGAAAAGAAAAGAAAAGAACAAAGTATTATACAAAGCTGATATAAGTGCCTGAGTCCTTGCTTCAACCTGTTTACTTATCGATATTACCTAGTAGGTTGTAACTTCTCATCTCTTTGTCCTTCCTTCCTTCCTTCCTTCCTCCCCTTTCCTTCTGATATTTTCATATTCTCTCCCAAGACAATGAGGGGGATGACTAACAAAACTACCAAGGCGGGAGGTGGGGAGCTTAAGTAAGCTTGAAGTCGGTTATTCTGGCCAATGATGTTACTTAATTGATAGATATGGGCAAGGCCAGCTCCTCTACCCATCCGAATCTTATATCAAAACCGACCAGCCACAAATATCTTACAACTTTCTCTTTGACCTGGCCATTTCAATGGTCTTCATTTCCTACAGCGCTTGACGCAAGCTATTTGGGCGCATACCAGCCGACCGGGAAGAGCCTTTTTCTTACTGCGTATATCGGATTTGACGCCCGATCCCACCAGTTTCATACATAGTCCATTTCAATTATCCAACCATCCCAACCATATAGACGGAGCGTAAAGCTTTCTTCATCATCCAACTCTTTTATGGGGTCCTCCTGATATCATCATTTTTCCATTTTACTACTACTACAATCTGCAATCAAATATCACAAAAGAATACTCTGTGACGCCAATCGCGTTAAAATGTATGGAATTCCTTGCTTGAATATTTAAATATCCCTTCGTTCTACTTAGTAGATTTGTTCTAAATTACATATTGCATTGGAAGTCCTCCATCCATACTTCAAGCATAGGATACACGCCTGTTTATCATAAAATCACGATAATATGTGATAAATTCCAAATGGTTTTGATTTTCCAAAAACTTTTTTTTACCACTTAACATACCTCCACCGAAGAATCAGTCATCATCCAGTCGTTGACTAAAGTGCCCTCTCTCTCTGCCAAGTTCAATTCGTTTAGCTTATTGTGCATTGCCTTTTTGTAGTCGATAGCCTTGTCGAACTTCTGTGTTGCATTGTATGCATCGATTGTCTTGAAATTTTTATCAACCTCACTTGTATTCCAGAGTGGCATAGTAGACGAAGTGACCGTAGAAGAGTCAGACCAAGCGGTCAGGCTAGAAGAAGAGGAGTAAGTAGAGTTGGCTGAAAGTCTGCTAGCTGTATCAGAGTTGAAGTTCCAGCTCCATGGATCTTCATCCTCAGGCCTGAGGAAGTCATTGAATGGATATCCTTGTCCGACTACAGACTTAGGCTTGAGAATGGTAAGATCTGGTACGCTACCGTACCTCCCTATATTATATCCGTCAGTTCATTGCCATATCATCTTCAACATCTTGAGGTTATACTTACAATCGTTCTTGTGGTACCAGTCCGCTTGCAACGTACTTTTATCCTCCTCCGCTCGGATGAACTCTTCTTTTTCTTTCAAAGCCTTGTTCAGCTTAATAAATTGCTTTTTCTGCCCAACTTGCCATTTCAATCTATCAACACCTTCTTGATCTACAATTTCGAATACTAGGCCACGACCTTCCAACTGATCTCGAAGACCATCATGAAGTCTTTGAATCCTTTCACTCTCCCAATCTAAACTCCACAAAATCAGCTTATGTAATGAATGTATAATCAATAACCACAAATTTTCAGGTTCACAAATACTTACTAACAGCAGCTACCCATCTCCCACCACCCCTCATTACTTCTTTCTTCTCAATTCCCTTACACCACCAACAAAACCAATAATATTGTTCTTCTTCATTCAATCCTTCCCATTGACAGTTCTTCTGACACAGATCCTGGTAGGAATCTGGTGACATGTTAAGAATGATATCAGTAATAATTATGTATGGTACTGGAGGTATGATACGATGACGGAGGAGGATAATGAGGAGAGTTACATCGCGTCTGGTCGGTATAATGTTAGTCAATGTACATGAGCTGAAGTATCAAGTGATGCATCCTTTTACTCAAGGACAATCAGAAGTATGATAAAGACTAAGAATAACAATAGAACGTAGAATCCTACTTATCGACCTTCAAATAAGTCTTGGGGTACTTTTGCTTGCCCACGGGCGTTTTCCTGTCGCCCACAGGGCCTTTCTTGTCACCCATAGATCTTCTTTCATAGCTCATTGATTTTCCATGTCCAGCCCATGGCCTTGGCCCCATCCTTGCTCTGATATATCTTCCCATAATCACTGCTCCTCACAACTTATACAGTGACATCCAAAGAGCAAGTGTATGAACCAGAGCAGTATTGTAAAATCTTACTTTACCACAACACAACATAAACTTCCCCGTCGATCGCAATTATAACCTCACAAAGCAAAGCCGGTTTCTGAAGTCCTGAGAATGGAATCGCTGAGCTAGCTATGTTAAGTCGAGATCAGATCAGATTAGATCAGGTCCGGTTAAATCCCTGCACTGAGTAGTTGGGAAGATGGATGGACTGATGGATGGAAAGATGGACTGATGGATAAGTGAATAAATAGAGAGATGGGTAGATAAATGTATATATTCCAACAGGTTATTCAATAGAATAAGTGATTCAAAATTCAAAATTGGAAATGTGGTGAGTCAGTGTGTGAGTGTGTGAGTGACTCGTTGGTATTTTGTATGTATGTATGAGTATATGTATCTACATATACATAGATAATAAACAAATCCAAAAATCCAAAATCCAAACCAAGTCATACCCGGAGTGAGGGGGTGTGGTCTTTCGAGTCATTCGAGTCATTTTTGTCGTACGAGGGGTGTCTGAAATTTGGAGTCTTGAGTCTTAAGTCTTGAGTACTAAATATAGATGTTGATGTTGATGTTGATATAATATAATATAATAATAAAATAAAACAATTATCATTATATTATTCAAATACTCTTAAATTTATAGATTATAGATTTTATGCACATGATTTTTCTTTTTTTCTTATACAAAAGTAGAAATGCAAAGTATAAGGACAAGTAGAAGTTATCCGCTTTGTCTTGATTATCTTGCTGGTCTTGTCTTGATTACAGTATCTTAGTCTCTAATTCAAAGAAAACAAACGTGGAAAAAAAGAAACTGGCTGTGATTGTGATCTGAATTTGTGATTTGGATTTGTATGATTACTTGTACTTGGTTAGTTATTGTGATGAGGAGGATGGGAATACTGAGTAGCTCAGGAGGATGAGGATGCTGGGTGTGAGAGTATGGAGTTGAGGGATTGGATAGTGGGTGTAGGAAATAGTTGGGTGGTTGAATGGCAAGTAAGGTGTAATTAGGAAATGTTATTCAAAAATCCGAATGGATTGATTGAGTAGATGTAATGTATTATTCATAGCATTGAGGAATAGAGGAACATAAAGTGGATAAAAACGTAAAGGAGGAATAAAGGTTATATGAATCACAGTTCTTGTGATCGGAGTTTGGAGGGTTGGAGGTTGACAGTTTGGTTTGGGGTTTGGGAGTTCAAGTGGAGGAATGAATATAGCTATGAAGGATTGAAATGATCTTTGAATTATTAGTTGATGCCGGTGGTGATAAGCTTACTATACTAAGTATAGGAGTATGAATGGGTTGGGTTGGTGTGGATATCACTTGCTGGAATGGGTATGAGTATGAGTATATGAGTAGATAGGCAATAAAAAGTATCAACTTTCAAAAGGTTCGTTGTTTCTTGTTCAATATGTTGGATCTGGATATGGATATGGATATGCTGAAAATGTATGATGATACTATGAATGAACTGAATGAATTAACTTGAAGTGTAAGGGAGTGATACGAGAGGATATGATAGGATAGGGCAAGGAAGTCACTGATTAGGTTGAGTTGAGTCTGTTTTATTTTCAATTTTTAGATGTTTTTAGATCGAGGGGGAGTGGTGAGGGGGATGGATGAGGGTATGCAGTTAGAGGGAGAGGGAGGGAGTGCTAGGAGGGAAGTTGTAGGGAGTGAGAGGAGTGCTATGAATTTGGTGGGAGTACTAGGAGAGGAAGTGGAAGTGAATATTGTGTATGGCCTGTGGGTTTTGTATGAGGAAAGAATAGAGATGGGATGGAATAGGATGGATTATTTATAGACGTAATACAATATAATCTGATTTTATACAAAAGGGTAGGATGGTATCATACCATTGACATGATATGATATAGTTTATTGGGATATAATAGTAGGATATATTAGTTTATCATAAAAGGGGGTAATATCAGGATAGTATACTAGCATAACACAAATATTAACAGAGATATATTTTATCTACTCATATAAAACATCTATTTTATAACTATCACAATTTCTTCTCTTGTAAACTTTTCGTGCTTTCGTTCTCTTATTCTCGTTAGGTTGTATTATATTGTATGCTTAACCTTAATCTTGACCAAGACCAATATAGAAAACAGAAAGCAGAAAGCTAGATTCGGTATTGATTGCATTGCATTATATAGCTCGCATGTATAGTTTGTATTTTATGGTATCTTCATTGATCTCCCTCCTCTCTTTCCTCTTTCCTTTATCTTCCCTTCCACCCACAGCCACCACCCACCACCCACCACCTCTATATCCAACTTATGCACCACCAGCCTTAGCAGCTGCCTCAGCAGCAGCAGCCTTTTTCTTTTCCTCAATTGCCTTCAACTTTGCCAATTTCTTCTCTTGATTCTTCGTTAATTTCCCCGTACCCTCTCCACTTCCATCTGCACTTCCTTCTCCAGTTGTTCCAGCCGCAGGAGTAACAATCCTAGCATTTGGATTTCCACCCCAAATTAACTCTTTCTTTGCAAAAAAGTCTGCTACAATCTCATCTGTAACCTTTGCTCTTCTCTCTTGAAATTCCTTTACATATATTTGTAATTCTTTAATACATCTTGCTTTTAATTCTCCTGTCAGTAATTCTCCAGATCTATATGCCTTCTTAATACTTTCTAATTCCTCGTCGTCTTCTAAGAAAAATGTTAAATATTGATATGCGACATCCTTCTCTGTATCACCTCCTTTTTCTCTTTGTTCTTGCTCGGTAACTTGTCCACCACTAAATGCATATTTGTAGATTTTATTTTTAATCTTGTTTGGTTCATCATACATGAAGATCGCAGATGTATCAACTGAAGCGCTCATTTTAGAACCAGGGCCTTGAAGAGCATCAAGGAAACGAGCGTGGATGAGAGCTGGTTTCGCGAAATGAAGACGTGCGGCAACGTCGCGTGTCATGCGGAAATATGGATCTTGATCGATAGCGCATGGAATTAGGGAGGGAATTTGAGTGGTTTTAGATTCATCTGTGCCGAAGATATGAGGGAAAGAGTTGGCGAACGAGGTTGCACCTTGGACAGCTCCAAAATGGATTTTGCCTATGCATGAACTGGGATTGTCAATAAAGTATGTAGTCTCTTGTACCAGAATATCTTACCTTTCATTGAAACCAAAAACAGCTCGTGCAACATTCAATGTAACGTGCTTGGAGATTCGAGTAACGTTTTTATAGAATGCCCCTCCCATATAATCATAATCGCTGAATATAAATGTCTTTTTAGGGTCGAAACCAACAGCAATGATATCTTTCGCATTACTATTGGTATAGCTTTGCACTTCCTCAATTGTACGTTTCTCTGAAAAGATATACTTCTCATCGTCCGTAAGCATGATGATCAATGGGACATCGAAGACATCTTGTAGCCATCTATGAATGAGTCATCAGTATGATGCAGAGAAATTGTAGGTTCTGACTGCGACATGCTTCCAGTACTCGCAGATTGTGTGAAACTGAACCTATTCAAGACTTCAGAACTTACTTGGTAAACTCAAAAGGAACAGTATGCCCAATATGCATACTATCACTGCTTGGACCGCGTCCCGTGTACAGGAAAAACGGTTCTCCTCTCTCATGACGATCCAGCATAAGATTTAAATCGCGATGGCTAAACACGATCCCTCTCCTCATAAATCGATGAGGTTTATGACCAGTCACTTCTTCGAATCTTTTTAAATCTGCCTCCTCAATCTTCTTGGTACCAAACTCATCGATCAAAGTCAAGTAATTGATAGCTTTTGCGACTCCATCTGCGCCAATTTCTCCAGCGACATTATAGGGATCAACGGTTTGCTTGGTGGCAGGAGCATCAGTTGCCAAGGTGGCGGCGAGAGTGGGTTCTGCGTCGGTCATGGTGGTGAGGATTGGGGAGTCAGTCAATATTTTGATCCGGAGGAGGGGTTATTTGTTCTTTATTGATGGAGGGGAAGTTATTGCCATATGACCCATCCGATCTTGTAAAGCGGTGAAGTTTGAGAGTAAAGTCACGTGCACGAAGATCTCCGATTAGGGTTGCTTTGTTTTAGCTGACGACTGACGTCGATGGGCTTGAACATTAGAAGCTGCGGGGTTTACTAGTAGCTTTTATGCATCTCTCGAACTATATATCCTCAAGTTATTTCACTCCAATTTCAAATATTATCTGATTTAAAGTCGAAAGTCATCAAATCATCTCGATAACAAATCACAGTAAATACTTCGGCCAACTCCATTACACTAAACCCAAACAAATCGCAAATCCGGGGAAAACAATCAGGCGAACAAATCCCTCCAGAAGCTCCAATTCACATCGTCCAAGATCAACAATCATACCACCAGCATCCAACATTCGATTCCTCATCTGATTTTCTTTCCCTTCATTGCTCTACACCTTTTGTACCATCGCAGAAACCACATTTATATCAAGAACAACTAAACATCACATCTAATCAATTTTACAAATAAATTCATCACCATGGTCAAATTCTACGAATCCTCCTTCTCTTATGATTACTCTTTTCCTGCCGTTACTCTCGCCTACTTTCTTCGTTACCCAAATCCACATAGCACTCATGTGCTCTCCACCGATGTGATATCGCGCACCGTATGTCCCGAAACAGGTCGTCTACGGACCCTGCGCATCCATCGCAAATCCACTCGTCTACCATCAGCAGTTCTCAAGCTCCTACCTAAAAGTGTACTGGGTAATGTGAGAAGCGATAGAAGCGAATCATACATTTTGGAGACATCAGAAGTGGATATTAAAGAAGGGTGGATGAAGACGGAGAGCAGGAATTTGGATTGGACGGGTATTTTAAGTGTGGTTGAGAAACAAAGTTTTCAGAGGACGCCTGGGAAGGAAGATAAAGAGGAGGAGTTTAGTGTTGGGCCGGGAATGACGGGGGTGAGAACCCAAGTTATGTTTCGAAGTCGGCTTGGTGATCGATTGAGGGCGATGAGGAAGGGGGAGGAGGGGGAGGAGGAGAAGAAAGGGTGGTTGGCGAATTGGAGTACGAAGGGAGTTCAGAGGAGTATTGAGGCGATCGCCAGTAGGAAGACAGAAAATCAATTGGGAAAGAGTAAGGAGGGGATGATGGTTGTATTGGAGAGAATGAGGAATGGGGGTTTGGTAGCAGTATTGGACGGGATGAGAAGGGATAGAGAATTGATTTTTGCAGGTATGGAGCAATAAATTTTGAAAGATTAATTATGAGAAACGATGGCTGCACATGAGGATACCATTAGGAGGTGGATGAATATGCAATCAGATACTGCAAGAAAGCAACGACGAGATAAGTGATGAGGGAACGCTCTTTCACGTACCTTATTGTCCTACACTTTCGTTGGGTGGCGCGCCTTTGTATCAAAGCACAAATGAAAACAATTGGGAGCGAAGGAGTTTTGGGGGACGAAGTATAGGCGTTATTCGGGCAGTCCACTCTCATTTGATTCTATCACATTGTATGGAAATGTAATGTATCAAATCTTGAACAGCTTTATTTTATGCGTACGATCACTTCTGCGCATGCTGGTATCCTGGTGGGCGCGATGAGAACGAGATTTTGACATGCATGACACATTGAACGTTTTTATCAATCTTCAGCGAAACATTATACTTCATTTAGCTCACAGGACGGGTGTTGATATATATCCCGATGGCTCACAAAATTAAGCAATGTTGGATCAATTGAGCGAGTTGACGCTCCGCGGGAGGCCACTGCCGTGGAGGCAGACTATTTAGGAATTTCTAAACAAAAACACCACCAGAATTAATTAATTTAAAACAATGTCTGCATTATTACAATTTCCAATTAGCTCCGCAATAAGTTTTCTAATCACAACAAACTCACGCCATAAAAAGTCACTCGTTCCAATTCAAGTAGTTGGATACCTCGATAGGTAGTATCATATGTTCATTTTATTATCATACACAACATTATCATCTCACTCCATTTCCATTTCCTCCTCATCCAGCAATTACTTTTCTCTCCAGGGAAGTCAGAGTCATTTTATACTCATATTTATATCTTTATCTTTATCTCGACTTCTCGACTTCTCGACCCTAAAATTCCATACTCCCAAGCTGTCTCTTAATCGGAGGCGCAGTTCCATTATCCATCGGCGCATCACTCTGCGCCACATATTCTTGCGTGGTAAACGGCACCGTACTAGAAAGACTATCGATCCTCCCCAAAAGATACTCGACCGTGCGATATGAAGCACTAGGCGCATATTGTGGCACCATATGACCGCTCAAATCCACATACACAAACGTGAGATTTCTCTCCGTGTGTGTGGTTCCCATGATTCCGGACCCGGCAAGTGTGGATGCGGACAGGTCGTCGTGGTACGGTACGTAGAAGGGCTCGGTGGGTTTGCTTTGGAATCCTTGCGCGCCGTTCCAGGTCATGTTTTGGATCATGAGTAGGGTGCCGTTGGCGATGAGGACCATGTCTAAGGCGCCGTGGCCGATGATGGTTCGTTTTGAGCGTTCGATCACGGAGGGGAGGACGGAGAGTCCTGATGGGTCCGAGTTGTCGGTTCCGTTTACGAAGACGTTGATATTGGAGCAGGATTCCCATTCCATTATGGGGGCGTTAATGGCTTTTTGTACATCAGTGCGGTTGAAGTAAATGGTGGCGCCTTCGGGGAGATAGGTGCTAGAGCCGGGAAATCCGAGAACGTCCCAGAGTTGGGGACAGGTGGTGGCTACTTGGTAGATATCCCAGCAGGGGTTTAGGTTGAAGATTTCGTTGTAGATCAGGTCGAAGACGTCGCATTCGTCGGTGGTGGAAATTCCATCTTCGCTCGTGCCGGGGAGGATGGATGGGAGGGGTCCTGGGGGTGGGTAGGTGAGGTATTTGGAGAGGAAATCAGTGTAACCGCAGGAATCGGATACGTTGTGGATTTGCTCCTTGAAAGTATCGTTGAAGGGGAATAGACCACCCCAGTAATCGACGAATTGGACGGCGGGGATTTGTTCGTGGATGGCATTGTAGGTGGTGGCGGGGTCGTAAATCATGGTTGCCTCGAGGTTGTAATACTTTGATCGTTCATTAGCTCAAATGCATACCTCCTGTCCAATGCATCGATAACTCACAGTAGATGTATCATTCTTATTAAACATGGCATCGGCAATATACGGAACATAGTAACCCGCATAAGATTCACCAGTGATGTATACCTTTCGCCCTTGCAAAGCGAAAGTATCGACGAAATTCTCCCAGAACCCGAGGAACTGTGCCGCGACATCTTCCTCGCTGGTAGCAGTAGGAACTCCTTGAGAAAATCCAGTACCGACGGGTTGTTCGACCCAAACGACGTTGGTGAGGTTCACCCAGGTCCAGGGGTTTGGAACAGGTTTGTAGGTTCCGTATTGCCAGATCCAGGGTCCGTTTTCTTGAATAATTCCTTCGAGGGATGAACAACCGGGCTAATTGAATGATTAGTTGAAAGTTAAGTGGGGGGAGATTGTGCTACTGTCACTTACACCTCCATTAAGCCAGATGAGAATTTCATCAGAAGCTAATTCATTTGTCGAAGGATAGAACCAGAAGTACAATTGTCTAGATTCATCTGCATCTTTCGAAATTGGCAATAAACCAGCATATGATTCACCAGCATCAAAATCGACATCTGGAATTGCGGTACCATTTACACTGAATTCTACAAATAATTAGTAATTTTCCTTCAATAGTTGTACCTATTCAGAAGTAAAACTTACTAGCAGTAGAATTGGTCAAATATGAAAATTTATTCGCATGTCTTTTCTCGTATTGCTGTGGTTTCCTAGGAATTGGCTGTCTGGCTTTATGCACATGCTTATCCTTCCTTCCAACATGCTGTAAGCTTCTTCCAGAAGGGAAAGTAGCATCTGCAATTCCACCTGCAATTGCAAGAGTCGAAACCACGGTTGAGAAACGCATCTTGACTGATCACCCAAGTAACCAAACTCGGATCGTATGAAAATGGCAGATAGGGAGGTGGGTTGGTAACAACAAAAGGATCCTAATGAGCTGGGCTTGGAGAGCTTTATGTCTTCCAAGTCCTAGCAGGTTTTCATAGTATTGAAATCTTAGAGCTATTGGGTTGGATCTCCAATCTCATGTCAGGTCAGTTCCCGGGTTATGACGATGTACCCTAGTTGAATTCATGGGTCTTGATACCCATTCTTTCACCGTACCTTGCGACTATGTAAACTCGCTCAGTCAGTCTCAGCCTATCATGTAATAGATACAAGGTGAAAACTGAAAAGACATGGTGCAAAAAGGTACAAGGTGGGTGAATTGAGGCATTAGTTTATTTTCCCCGTTTTTGATAGACTTGGAGTCTTGGAGATACATATCGAGATATCGCTTCCGGCCCTTTAGCCTGACCACTCGCCTAGATTTTGCATTGCGACCTGCCCTTTGAAGCTTAGCGATGAATCACTTCTTCACTAGACAGCCCATTGTAAGTTTTTCAATCCGAGAATGTTATGATATCACTAATAATATATATTTATTAATCATATGTACGCAGTAAATGAAGAGAGATAGGAAGGAGATTAGGGCAATTCTCTTGCTTTGTCTTTCTTTTCCTACCTCCTTCCTGCTAACCTTACTTCTTCCCTTCGTTCTCTCCAGTGTACCCATTCATGTCTTTGAGAGGATTATTATCATCTGAACAAGTCATCCGAACAGTGAAGATTTATCAGATTGGTAATTACAGATCAAAGCATAGAACATTCACCGCTCCGTGCATAACTCAGGAACCGGAACGATTTGAACTTTTCAAAGTCCGGAAAGACAATTTATATCCTGGGCAAAAGTGGTCTTGGAGGCTTAGAAGTTAAAGTACATCATTTATCTTCCGGCGGGGCCATGAATCACCGTGAAATTACGTTACAAAAGTGAGTTGTTGTTGGCTAAATGAATAATCAAGGAGCCACTGGCTATGCATTCGTGGGTTACCTAGGTTACAACTTCTCGGTGGTGAAAAATCAAAGTTTTCGTTTGCCCGGTAGGTTAAGCCTCCTGGCCGAACCCTTTTTAACCTTCGCCCATCAGAGCGGCAAAACTCTATCGCGAAAAAATCACCATCACCATCGCCACAAGCACTCATCCAGGAGTATTTTAATGTATGTTGCTTTTGCTAAACGGCTTGAGACCAAAGCTCGGAAATTCAAATTCATCAAACATACTAGACCATTGTGTCCATGATTACATGAAGCATGGAAGCTAGACAAAATGGCATCAGGGTCCCAGCCAGGTGTACCAAAAATTAGGACCAGGAAAACACACGTCGTCGCATTCCAAGACCATGCCGGAAATCCAGCTCTGACGGTCTTTCGCGGTGAACAGGGCAATCCTTTACCCCGCCTTTACAGCTATTCCATCTACTTCACGCACCCCGAAGCAGACCCTAGCGATACTGATAGCGCAAGAAAGCTATATGAAACAATCACTCAAGGTCCACGCTACTATACAAATTCCGTCGTCTTTCGTTTAGACCTGTACTTCATTCCTAATGGCAGCCAGGACGACTGCGTTCGGCATTATCGCGCTGAAAAAAATGCGCGAGGCGATTTCAAGGCGCAAATTGATGCTGTTGCAAGAGACGATAGAGGCAAAATTAGTGGTGAATCGAAGATGCCTGGATTGGTCTCATCATATATTTACGACAAGGTTGTCCATCGTTATCATAGTCTTATCTACGTAAACGGCGAGGCCAATTGGCAGACTGGGGATCAAACAATGGTACGAGTCGAGTTCGATCCACTCTCAAAGGAGGAGTATGAGAAATATAGTAAAGATCCAGGCGATTCCAGGGAACCCAGCGAGCTTCCAGAGACACATGTTGAAGTGGAAGCTCTCAATGAGAGTAGTCCAACATTTGGTCGAGAAACTGGACCTGGGCGTTCTGTGGGCTCTATGGGGTATGAAATGTGGGATAGAGCTCCACGAGAACATATGGGCGAAGAGGCTTGGGAAGAGGCTCGGGATAAGGGATGGACTAGCTGGTGATGCGTTGAGAGGAAAATGAAACCGTGTTTACAAGATGGACATCGGTGGACTCAAATCGTTCATTCCGAGTCTTTTCAAATCAGAAAGCAAGGAGAGTTTTTGCGCAACGTTTCACGCTATTGATTTTAATATTTTGTAATTGAAGTTTTCAATTTGAGATTCGAGGTTTATCGGGATATTGGTAGTTACCTCCAACAGTATTTGAGATCGAAATTGCGAGACAAAATACATCAACGTTCATACATTTTAACTGATAAATATCACGAAAAAAGCCCAACACAATATGCATATCCACCCCAGAATCCAGTACCACAATCCGTGCTCACAGCTGGGTTCCTATATTTTACACTTTAGCACAGGCTTGATTATAATCAATGAGGAAACAATTTACCATGCGAAAAATTGTTCCAGCGTAATGCCATATTTGAGTGAGATGTCGTAGCAAAACAGGTCGTCTCCAGCTGAACAGACACGCACGATTAGTTTCAATATTCTCCAAGCAAAACAACTGGTGAGAGGAATTCATCACCTATATGCCATTTATTACAGGTTGGCGCTATGCCATCTTGCGTAGGAGCCGGTGCGGTCGCCCTCGAGCTTGATGCACTGGAAGTTGCCGACGAGGCTGGACAGCAATCATGCATGTTAGTGAGCGGAAATTTTCCCTTGAGGTAAGTTCTACTACTTTGTCACTCACTTGTACTGATTGATTTGCTTGTGGTAATACTACTGCTAGTTGATTCCTCTGGGTCAACAGGAACATCATCGATGCGGATGCAATATCGGTACCCTATATCGATCAGTCTTCCTTTGCAGTCATGATTTCTTCCAGGAATGTGTGTCTCACCCGACCAGAGATTTCCGCACTGCGGCCCTACGGCAGGATTCCTACATTTCAAGTCAGGCTTCTTTCACTAATGTCTCTTCGACGGAATGGTGTTTGTTCTTACCATGCGTAAAATTGCTCAATGGTAATAGCATTCCGATCGAGTATATTCTGACAAGTGATTCCAGCGATGACGCTCGAATAATCCTTACAGTCTGAAGTCGCGCCATCCTGGAAGCGGTACTATCAATTAAAAGCCGTCTTGGAAAGTCTGACATGGACGGGTAAAATACTAACTTACCCTGATGGGAAGTGGTGTACTTGTCGTAATGGTCTTAGTCTGGGTGAAACTGGCACCGTTCCATTGCGCCATACAATATCTTTGGCCAGCTTGGGGGGCACAGTCTGTTGAGTTGACTTGTAGTGACGGGTTCCTATATTTTAAGGAGAGGAGGAGTCAACATCAGAAAAAATACATAGAATCAAGCACGAAGATACCTCACCAGTTAGCCAATTCCTCTAGGCTTATATACCAGCCCTTGGCAATTGCATCACAAACCGAGGTGAAGAAGGTCGACGCAAGATCAAATGTCAACTTAAGCGAGTCTGCATTTGCATACACATAGCAGTCTGCTCGTGTACCTTTTGCTAAAGGCAAAACTTCCGGTAGCCCCGTAATTGTAGGCGCTGTAAAAGTCGCCTTGGGAAGACTGTCAAAGGGAATAGTCGGGTAAGTTGCTGTGGTGGGAACATAGTTGGAATGTGACGGGTACAGGTCTACTGAACCTACTGGCTTAACGCAATAGTATGTATCCGCCCACAAATTTGTGCAGCTACCATAATGATGACCTGTCAGATGATTCTATGTGCAAGATTTCGCACGGCTTACTTGGCATTAATGTGTTGATTCAGAAACAGGAAATCTTCCAGTGCTATACTGAACTTGATGACCAACAAGTTGCAGTATTCACCCTTTTCAGTCAGGTGGTATTGTGCACAATAATCCGTTGTACCTGGTGCTAGTGGTGTTGGGACAGGCACAGCTGTGGTAGATGGTCCCGATGTTGGAGGAGTAGTCATGGTCGGAACTGTGTAGTCAGGTTGCCCGGGAGGAGAGACGCAAATCGAATCGCCAACAGAAAGATTGATGGAGCGGCACAAATCACCGAGTATAGGATTCCCTAAGGAAACCGGAAATCAGATTGCTGCCCTTTATCCTGCTGGATAGAAGCGTCGATTATAGAATAACTTACATGTATTCACCTGAACCTGACTAAGATTTCTAGCACCGGCAATGCCAAGACAAGTGTCATTTACCTCCACCGTGTAAACAGAGCATCTATTCTGGATGCAAAGCGTACCGCTTGTGGGAAATCCAGCGCAAAAAGCAGCGAGGTTATTGTCGTACAATAGCCAGGCAGTACCTACACCCTGAGACTTAGAAATAGACCGGCACGTATCGCCTGCCTTTAGAGTATACCAATGACCGGTACAATTTCCTGCTGGATTTGTTGGCATTGATCTATAAGCATGTTAGTCAGACAGGTCCGATATGTTAGTCGTAATTGAGAGAACTCACTGCACTGGAAATGGAGTCGTCGAAGTGCCAAGAGGCATTCCAGTTTTCGAACAGCTCGCGGTGAGAGAACTGTACTTGGACTGCAACAAGAATCCGTCGTTGATGGGAGATCCGGCTTGAAATTGTAGTTGCTTGATGACACAGTTGTCACAAATATCTACAGCCAATTGTCGTTCTGAATGTCTTGTTAGAAATGGATCTTTATAAATCATTTCCTACACCACCACATGCTGTTTTGGTAGGAGTTACTTTTGTTGCTGACAGGCTTAGTCTCTTTGTCCGATACCAATTCAGCTATTGAATTGGTCATATTATTTTGGGCGAAACCTTTGTGGACAATGTTGCACCACCTTCCTTCGTCCTTGATACATGTTCTATTGAAGTTATAGAACATAATCTGTGGTATGAATGAAGCAGGAGCTTCACGATTTTCGCTAATCTGAAACGAATCATCATCACCACATGCTACCTCGGTAGCTTTCTGATATTTTGCAAGTGATAAAGAGCAGTCATTCGTGCACGCTCTTTCAAGTACTTCGATAGACTTGTATGTTCCAGGTAGGAATCCCTTGACTTGGCGTGCGCAGTTGACATTTGCTGTAAGCGCAGCAATGCAGTTAGCAGAAAGTGAATCACTGGGTAGCGTGTCCACAGTGATGAGTTGAACCGCGCTTGTGAGTTTTGTCCACTGTGTTGCCAAAATGGCCAGATGGATGAGTTTTACCGAGTAACAGACCATCATGGGATATGCCAAATGAATAAAGGTTTCCCGAGTTTGGGGCTGCCTGGGACAAGGAGGGTAATATTATATGAGCTTATTGTCAGGACCTATTTATGCGCAATGGAATGCTACATTATGCCATCATCTCTGCCCAAGTGACCCTACTGAATTACGCACTGAAATTCAACTGTGTATTTGTTTTTGCTTGTCATGAATATTGTCGAGTGACAAATCCGATCGGCGACATATGCAACCCTGGAAAAACTCCCGTCAGCCTATATCCCACGTCAATATACTGTGCCGTCGTAAGTCTTTGATTATCCCAACCCTATCAAAACATCGAGTCTATGCTTGTACTACCCTACGTCACTCAAATATATTATATCTTTGGAAGATTATATCTCATATTGGCGTGGCTTGGCAAGTTATGATGATCTCCAGTTGAATCAAGATATCTAGGAATATCCCATCGTCTCTTAATTTTGCACGTAAATATCACCCTACTTTTCCACATTAACATACTCTGAAACGTTGTGCTTATGTGGAATGATTACTGGCAGTAGTTACCCCGCAAGACTTGACGAATAGACCTTGTGGGCGTCTCTTGGCTCAATGTCAATGGCTTCGTCGCCGAGGCTCAGGGTTCATTTTCAGTACTTCCATCGAAAGATGATCTTGATATTGAACCTTGATAGTAGCAATGAATGTCTTATCCGTCTCTGCTGTAGTTATGGGCAAGCGCCCTTACCGGCTTAGTAACTCCTCTCAATCTTCTCCTCTCCTCTTTGAGTTGAAGTTACATCCGCTTTTATATTTTCACGATGGCTTTTCAAATTACAAGGAATACAGCATCTGACATCGTGTACGACCAAATCCATTCCATTATTTTTCCTCATTCGGAATTCATGGATCCATCTGCGTGCAGACTTTTACGTGTTTGTTGACACTATCTTAGCACATGGATTCAAACAATATCCTGATTACTATATCTGATAAAAATGGCACGGGATGAGCTAATTATCAATTACTGTATCTTTCCCGTTCCTCGGGAATTGCAATTAAAACGGAACATTTCTTGATAGTTCAAACAGCTATCAGTCTCTCCATTTGCTTTTTCATGGTGATCGAGCCAATCCATATGAAATCCCCCCCTCATCTCCGGTCTCATTTCGTCATGGCTCTTGTTCATTACTTGTACTTGCTTTTGACATTGGCCCTTGGAGTCTCTTGTCTACCAGTCGCATCAACGGAAACCTACGATAACGGCCACCAACTTATTTGCAAGCCTATCCCCAATGTTCTCACTTCACAGCAAGACTTTGCAGTCAAAGTAGCGGCCTCTGATGGTTTATGCAAGAAAGATGAGTATCAAACACTTCAATTGCGGTCGAGTGATTCGCTTGGTAAACGTCAGTCAGATGATCCATACGCGTGCGGTGACGGTGATCCTTGTGGAAATCATGCCTGCTGTGGAAAGAACGGCGTGTGTGGTTATGGTCCAAAGTACTGTGGTACAAATGGACAATCACCTAATGAAATTTGTTGGAGTAATTGTGATGCCCACGCCGAATGTGGTAGATATTCCAAGGTGCCAGGAACAAAATGTCCCCTCAATGTCTGCTGTAGTCAATTCGGCTTCTGTGGGACCACTGAAGAATTCTGTAAAGTCACAGATGACGATGAAACCAGCTGCCAGAGTAATTGTGCTCAACCTGACTCTGGATCTTCTGGAGGAAATGTACAGAAGAGAGTCATTGGCTACTATGAGGCTTGGAATTACAAGAAAAAGTGTATTGGAATGGGCATCCAGAATATTCCAGTGGGTAGCCTCACCCACTTGTATTACTCTTTTGGCTACATCACTCCTGATGATTTTGATATCATTCCCATGGACGATGGTAATCCTCCACCTGAGTCCACACTAGCTGAATTTGCTGGCATGAAAAGGAAGAATCCAGGTCTGAAGGTACTTATCGCTTTAGGTGGTTGGACTTTCAATGACAATGGTACTATCTGGCAACCGGTTTTTAGCAATGTTGTTTCAACAAAGGCCAACCGGGCCAAATTTATTTCGAATGTCAAATCATTCCTGATGCGATATGGTTTTGATGGCGTGGACCTCGATTGGGAGTACCCAGGCGCAGGTGACCGAGGTGGAAAGCCGGAAGATGGTATTAATTTCACCAAACTTTTAAAGGAAATGCGGACTGCGTTTGATGAAATGAGTGGCAGGTATAAGGAAATCTCCTTCACCGCTCCGACGAGTTACTGGGTAAGTCTTCTTTACGCAGCTTTTGAGTACACGATGGAGTCTCACGATCATCATTTAGTATCTTCGTCACTTTGACATTAAAGCCAGTGCTGAAGCAGCCGACTTTGTCAACATCATGGCATATGACCTCCACGGAATATGGGATGCTAATAATCCAATCGGCTCAACCGTGCTGGCTCATAGTAACATTACTGAAATCAACCTGGCCCTCAATTTATTCTGGAGAAATGACGTTCCGGCACCCAAGCTAAACATGGGGATAGGTTTCTACGGTCGTTCCTTTCAGTTGGCTGATCCTTCTTGTTCCAAACCCGGATGTATATTCAAGGGCGGTGCATCTCCGGGTCCCTGCACTGCAAACTCTGGCACTCTTTCGTACGCTGAAATTGTCGCTATTATTGACAAGAACAATCTCAGTCCCTATCACGATAAGGAGGCCGCAGTCAAGTGGATCACATGGGGTGGTGATCAATGGGTTTCATATGACGACTTTGACACGATTCAACAGAAGATTGAGTTTGCCAACTCGCTAGGTTTGGGTGGGCTTCTCATCTGGGCAGTCGATTTAGACACCAAAGAGCTAGAAGCTCTTTCAGCTGTTGTGTATCCCGAGAGCCTAGGGGTGCGTGCGGAGGAATCTACGGCCGCGAATAATTGGGCAGACGTAGATGGCGGAGCATGTCGTGTTACTGAATGTGGTTCTCCCCATTGCAGTCCTGGTGAGATTTTAATCGACACCCAACAATGCTCGGCTTATGATCTTTGGACTGATAGCTATTCTACTGCCGCAACCTGTTGTCCGTTGTCGTCGGCGCCGGATCCAAATGAATGGTAAGTACTTGGAATGTACTTGGAATGGAATTTACTATGCATGGTAAACTACCGAGATTTTGAAGTTAAAATTATTCGATGGATGAAATAGGATCAATTTAGTTTGAGGGATTGATCTCACTTGAGTGGTTACGTGGTTCAAATCATTTGAATGATTCAAGTGATTCAACTTATTTGAGAGATCCACAAATCCCTTAAATATCAAAATATAGAGCTTTATCTGGAAAGTCTCCTGGTAAACTGCTCTAGTCTGTTTTACTCCACATATATGTATAATAAATGCTGACTTATGATTTCCAGCACTTGGCGAGGATTTGGAAACTTGGGATTCTGCAATGGCTATTGTGAGGCCGGTGAGGTGGCCCTGCAGTCTTCCGTCTACGGCGACGATGTGACAGTCTGGTGTTTGGATGGAAGAGCTTTTCTGTGTTGTAAAGCTGAAGCAGCCGTTCCCGACTGTCGCTGGTCTGGATGCGGCAAGAGCTGCAACTCAGACGAAGATGACCTGACATGGCGTGATAGTGATTGCGATGATGATGATAAGGACAGATTCTGCTGTCAAAAAGAACAGCACTGGACTAATTGCGGCTGGCACGGAAAGCCTGGAAGTTGTTTCGATAACCACTGCGATACTGGCTGGCAAGTAGCAATGACCACTTCATATCAAGGCGAAGGCGAAGATTGTGGTTTTTGGCACCAGGATCGAGATCGCAGTTTCTGCTGTGACCCTCCCAAGGATCAATCACCATTTTTACCCGTCCCCCTCGATTATCTATTTCCGGATCCCCCAGACGAAAAAGATGCAAATACCAAGTTTGATCTTGAAGTTGATCCAACATATGGTGGTAGTATTGATGTTCCTTTTCAAGAAAGTCCAGCCAATGCCCCTTTTGGCTTTGTTGTCATGACAAGTCCTGATGAGATTCAAGTATCTCTGGATCGTCGTGATGGATCTCATTGGGAGGTGTTTGACTGTTTTGATGCGTCAACTGAGGGGGAACATACAGTACGCATTACATGCACTGATGATACTGAGAATTCCAACTGTGGTAAAATCCACTTGGGTCATGGTGCGCCTGGTACTATTATTCAAATGCCTGATGGATGCGGACCTGGAAAGTATGCCGTGGCAAAGTCCTTGATCCCGAGTAGAAACAAAACTCTACCACATCATCTGCTGATCCGTGATCTTCCTGAGACTTCAACTGTCTTTGATCTCACATTTGACTACAACTTTAGCAGAGTCCCAAGGGACATGGGGAACACGCAGATGCGCATAGACTTTAGCAATGAGCCAGAATATTGGGACAGGGTCGTCGATGAACCTGCCAGACGTAAAAAGGCCCGACGAAGAAATCTTTCCGATGTGTCTGGAAGCCACAAACGATGGCTGGAGGAAGAGTGGCGAGAGGATGCGCACTCTGGACATTTGACTCCTGAAGAGCTACACAGACGGTGGTTTGGAGAGTAAGTACATCTAATCAAACGCAATTACAGAAGTGTTTTGCTAAGGCACCAAAGTGACGTTATAGAATGGCTGACTGGACTTATCAATGGAGTCGCAGGGGGTCTTGATATCAGCCATTCGTACAGTGAGACATTTATTCTCAAGATTATCGACCAACGTTTAACTTGTCCCAATGTTGAGGCCAAGCTACAAGTCAAAGCAGAGACTACCGTCAACGTGGATGTGAACTACGGATTCACCCTCATCACCACCATAGGTGGTGATAATGGTTTAATAGATTTGAGCAAATCCTATCTCTATTTTCGCAACAGGGGAGATATTGCAGCTAAGTTTGTCATGGAGGCAGCTGTCACTGCTCATTTTGACACGAATGACATACTTATGTTTTCTGCTGATAAATTTGGAGCTGCATTTGCGGTACCGGGTGTCGTTACTATAGGCCCTAACTTTAAGCTCTTCGGCAGGCTCGAAGGCGAGGCGACTATTGGTAAGTCTTAATCTTTGTCTCGCGCTTATTCAATTGTAGAATTGGCAGGGTATTTGAGATTCAATGTTCTGTGTGACTTTGAGCTGCGATTCGAGACCTCAATACTAATATTTCCAATTCAGGCGTCAATTTTCAAGGTACGGCTAAACTTGCCAAATGGGACACGCGGCAGACGTATCCCGCTGCCAATGACGAGTGGGATCCCGAAAGCACCAAGCCGGATAAGGACGGTACACAGATTTTGGAAAAGCCCGAATTCGAGTGGGGATTCACGCTTAACGGGCACGTTACTGCACATGTCAAACCTACGATAACCTTTGGCATCGACTTCAATCAGGATTTTCTTCCAGTCGAAAGCTGCGCTGTCAACTTAGTCGCAGATGGCTATGTTACTTTCCACGCAGAATACCAGCCTCCGAGCTCCTTTTGCTACGGGGTTGATGCAGGCGCAGATTTATTAGCTACTATTGACGCTCCCAAAGCTTTCCAATGGGCCCTTCCTAAGTCTCCATTCCCCATCATTCCCGTTGACAAGGTGCAGATATATCCGACAGACGGCAAACTTGCTTGTTGGAATCCAGGAACTAACAAACCTCGTCCAAGATCATCATCTGATGTATTCCATTCATTGGAAAAACGAGCGCAGGTATACGGTCCCCTGGTACCGCGAGTGGACGGCCTGTTATGTCCAGGAAACGTAAACGTTGAGGACATTCCAGATTGTCCACTCTGTGGTGTCAGTGATGGAAAGCTAGGAAAACGTGAAGACGAATCCTGCCCATTTGAGCCCAGCTCTGAGCAAGCTTGCCCTATTGACAGCTCTTCTGTAGTACGCAGATCTGAGCTTTGGTACTCGCTGGGCTCGGCGAATAATACACTCATAGAGGCTCGAGAACAGACAGGTCATCTTTGGGAGAAACGAGCTGAGAAGACCGTGACGTGGTATTACAATGGTGAGAACCACGATCTCCCGTGTGGTAACTACGAGCACTGTGGTACTGCTAAGAGTCAGTCGGGAATTTTGAAGTGGTACGGACCTGAGGGTCTTAATAATGCCAGAGGTTGTGGCAGTAAGCAATCAGTTCACTAAACCTTTTATTTATGATAATTAGTTCTGTTCCCGATCTTGAACTTTATTTCCTGTTTCGATCTGTGTTTTCCTAATACAACTTTCTGTTTCTCAGTTTTCTTAATTTCCTATAAGATCTTTCCTCGTGTTGGCGTTCACTAACCCACCGATCTCGTAGTCACTATTACCAAGTTGAAAGCCCCCGACACCGACACTAGTCAATATGTCACCGAGCATATCTACGAGGTCCAACTATTAAAGCGCTTTATGCAGTTTTTAATTGATGGACCCCTGCCAACTGGATACTCACCCGCCACAAATGAGTGGGTATCAGAAGTTTTAATCGGCTTCCCTTCCGCCACTGGTGGGAGTCGAGCGCACGTAGCTCCTGAATGGGGCCAAGGTAGTCTGTTCTTCGAAATGACGATGGGTTTGGGTGGGAATCATAACAAAGCCGGTCTAGTGCTCGCGTACAAGGTTATGAACAATAGGAAAGAGACTTTCTTTGAAGGAGGCACTATTGATTCGAGACCAAAAGCGAGTAATCTTGCTTCTCGAAGAGAGCATCGTGATGTAAGTAGTCTACTAACATATCTTCTGTGGAAAGAACGTCACCAACATATTTATAGGTAGCCGGAGTCTTTTCATACATGCGACACGCTGATATTTGGCCGAAGTTTGTGGACTCATCTCAGTACATGGAAAGAGCCTGTCGCCAATTTGATCAGAGTTATACTTGGGGAAGCTCTAATGGAGAAATTGACCGACCGAACCGTGCGAATGGGCAACCGGAAGCTGGCTTACGTGATCTCTACGTTTACTGGATTGATAATGTTTTGAACGATATTGAGGCTCGAGCGGATGTCTGGTATCAAGCTACTGTTTCCTCTTATAAGGCGTCGTATGGTAGCGACAATGATGGCGTAGCCTGGTTGAAGAATGTGCTTAATCCACAAGGTGAAATTTCTACAACTTCTTTGAAGTTTTTGCATAGTCTTATTGGACATGGACCAGGTCCGTTTTGGACACAGAGCAAGTATGAGGATTTGTGGTTGACAGGACAAGGCTTTGGTCCTGCTGGGCCGTTCTAATATATTTATGTGTGGAAGAAAAGTTACTACGAATTTTCAATGGTTAGTTTTGTAATGTTGATTGTGAAGGATCATTTATTGCACTATCATCAATCATACTTAAGTATCCTGTCTTCTTGCCTCCAAATAAAGTTTGATCAGGTCAATGAACATGCACACCCTTGAATGATATTATATAGATTCAGATCATCCATTCTTACGTCCGACAACGAGTGTAAAATTAGGACTAGAACGATAGAGCAATGCATGACAGTACATAAAGATCCATCTATAGCTGCCAAAGTATTCGATAATCTTGCTCGAGATACCATCGTGACTAGAAAATATGATGAAATGAAAAGTATCAATGATCAGATAAGTCGGTCTAGTATCTCCACGACTAAAAAACGAATGGTAGATGGCGAATAAGATTGCAGTCCGAATTTATTGATAAATCTGGAAATAATGAAGTTTAGAACGAGCTGGACCGAGGGAAACATGGCGTGACCTTAATAGACTAAAGTTACAAAAACTACTATTGCCGAGGCTCCGATAAATGCGAAACTTGATGAAAGAGTTAATTCGCAGGCCCCGAGGGATGAGAAAGCTGAGAATAGATTTGAGTTGAAGATTTCAAAAAAATAAAAAAATACTTGGATCTAATATTAATAAAAGATCTTTTTTTTAATCTTTATATATAAATTGAAAAATTATATAAAAATTTTTATTTTCTCTCTCAAATCTCTTTCAATTCTAAAAACATCCTCTTAAAAACAAAACCTCAATAACTTTTCTATGATAATAAAATTATTGTTCTACACTGTTACACATTGTTGCACAGATGTTTAGGTGTACGGGTAGATACATCATACATCGTACATATGCGGGATGAAATGTCAAGTTTCGAGTAAAATATTTTTTGAGGGGTGATTGATAAATGATTGTTTGAATGTGTAGGAGGGGAAAAATAAAAGCAAACGCAGACAAGATTAGGGATTCGTCAAAGGCGTGAATTAGTGGCGTTGAACTTTTTGGGATGAAAAAGGAAAAGGGGGTTCGGGTGGCTGCTGGGATCGGCGGTGAGTTTGCAAGTAAAAAGTTAGAATGGGATGGAGTAATTCGTGATGAGATCGTGATGGATCTTGGAACTGGGATTCAAGGTCTAGGCTTTCAGTAGGTGAGGCATCAGGGTTTAGTCATTGAGGAAAAGTTGGATTATAGGACAATGTACGGATATGCGCAGGTACAAAGCCATGGAATTCGAAGAATCGCTAAGCTATGCTGCGAATAGAATGAACCGAGAACCTTGATATTTGCGTATGGTGTGTTGTCGATATTTATTTGGTTGAGCTGTGGAATGGGAGAGGGGTATTTTGCTGTAGACTGGTGGCGGGATATGTTGCGTCTTTTGGAATTCAAAATGGTATCAATGAGGATTTTTGTCGGAATGTTTTGATGGAGAGAGAGTTAGGTTTTGGATTTGATTAGACAGTGTGTGGTTATTTGATGGGTTAGGATTTCTATTGTATTTGTATCGTTTGATAGGTAAGATTCAAGTTTTCTCTTTTAACTTGCAGGAGTTAGGGATACCGACAGATGCGTCTTTTTTCGTTATTGGTATATGAGATTGATACGTCACGAGTTGTTCTTCTGTCCCTACATGAAGGGAGTCTTACTGATGCTTCTTCGATACACATAGAAGGGGAGGAAAATTGATGTGCTTGATAGATTGCAACTCGACGTCAATCGAAAAGCTAGATACCTAGACATAGTCTGCTCATAAACGCGCATCTCGAATAAAGACGACACATTAGACGTCACAATTTATCCTCACCCACCATTCCAAATTCAATCTACCTCAAAAAATGGCAAATCTACACGTCCGCTTCCACGATTTTGACATGAGACACGAGTATGAGATTCGTGTTGAAGATGATCATCTGGATGCGAGAGCTGCGAGGATAGAGATTGCAGAGCTGAAAGAGGAAGTTAGGGGAGTGAGGGGAGAATTGCTGCAGAAGGAGAGGGGGATTGGAGGATTAGGTAATGAAATTATGGGAGTGAGGGAGGAGGTAAGGAGCGCTAGGGAAGAGGCGAGAGGTACAAGAGAAGATGAGGGAGCAGAGGGAGATTTGGTTTGAGAAATGAAGGAATGCAGAATAAGAGGATGTTAGAGGCTTGAAAAGAAATCAGGGTTGAAGAGGTCTTAGAGTGGTGAAGTGGTGAAAGATATGAGGGGAATGAGAGAGAAATTAAAAGGGAAAATATGGGAATGGAGGAGATCTCTCAGGGAAGGAAGAGGGAAATGAGAAGATCCGGCTGAAATAAGGAGAAGGAGAATTAATGGAGGAAGAAAGAAGGAAAAAATGGAGACGGAAGGGCGGTTAATGGGCGAAATCCAAGATCTGAGAACGAGAGATGTAGAAAGAGAACAAAGGGTAACCGAACTCCTAAACGATTTTGATGATCTCAGAAAGAGACATACGGAAAGCGAGGCATTGCTAAACACTATGAGGGATGATATAAACAGCTTGGGACATACGGCCGAGGGATTGTCAGAAGAAAATAGGGGATTAATAGAGAGAGTGACATGGTTGGAGATGCAAAGGCCGGTAATCGAGGAAGAAGCTGAGCCAGAAAACGATATAGTTGTTGATGAAAAGGAAAGAGTGAAGAGCGGGAAAGGAAGATGTAAGTGGTCGAAATTCTATACTAGGAGGAAGAGACCTCGTACAGGAAAGGAACTGGCTTTGAGATTTATGGAGTGTACAATAACTTAATTCAATCTGCGCATTGTGTATCTGTTCGGATAAGGAGGTGGTATGCGAGCTAAGGACTTCTTATACTATCCAGATGTTCTCGGAAGACGATCAACTTTTCCGACTTCGCCGTGCAATAGAGATTCAACCATGAAACTTTTGACTTATCCTCTTTTGGACTCTTCGGAGCGATAGAGCCATATCAAATGCAGTCGCAAGATGTTCTCGGAGAAGTTGATGATCTTCTTTGTCGTCAAGCAGTAGAACATAATCAATCAAGTCACCAATCTTATGGCGTTTTGTCCATGCTTTTGATACAACCCACCATCGTGCAGAGATCTAGATGCTTTGAACTTTCCAACCCGGTTGCTACTCGGTCAATCCGATTAATCCGACCGAGGGAAAAAAGGAATGATACGAAGAAGCATTGAAATATTCACGTCCTAGTTTAAGTCTGGTCTTAAGAGACGACTTGCATTTTATGTATGAAACTCGTGGTAGTGGCTGTCATTGGCTACCTAGACGAGGACCTTAAAAGGCTTCTGCCACGTAACAATAAGACAAAAGAACCCGGTCGGTCCTACTATAATGCCGCGGTAAGAGAAGCATGATGTACTTGCATCATGTCACTGAGCTTTATAGCAAGCAGATAAACAAACAAAACAAACGACAAGATGGAAGTGTGCCTATATGAGTTTGAGATCTCGCTATGGCTTGATAATCCAGTGGCATTCTCAGGGATTGATGGATGCGGCGTGGAAACCAAACAAAACTAAATCTAAAGCGATATTTACAAAGATAGAAACGCCAAGTACAATAATATGTCGTGTAAGAGAGCAGCTCTGCGCCAACTAGAACCGAGCCAAGAAAACTTCATCCTGAGAATATTTTCTTGTATGAAGTTCAAGTATCCTTTTCTATTAAGACAAACGGAAAAGAAAATGCATAAACTACCACAAGGAAGTTATGCGAGTTTTGAAAGTAATGTTCGGATGCCCAGCGATCACGACATGATTCCATGTGTGACCAATAACTATACTATTGTTCAAACGGCCCCCGAAAAACTGCACGGTTTTGCACTGTAAGATTACAACAATTCGAAGTAAGGAGAAAGATTAGCTGATTTTCGGACCGATGTTATGTGCCAAGTATGTCGAGCCTCGAAAAATGCATAATGAATGTCCTGCTCGGCGTCAGCCATATGCGGCGAAGGAGTTTTATACTCGATACATAATCGTTGTATTGGATAAGTTTTGGCTGGGAAACTCCAAGGAATTACTCGCCACTTGTTCGGGACACGACATCCATGCGAGGTACAGAGTACAATGGAGGATTCATGTACCTCTTTTTTTAATTGTTCCGATACTGCACCATTTTTCAATTGAAGATTTAAGATATATCGTTGTCGACGTCGCCATCACAAAATTGAGTACAGGCTAAGCTACACGTGGTTGAATTTAGGTTTTCTTAGCGCCAATTGAACCGAGGACAACCTCTTCTCTTCTCTCCTCTCGTCTTCACAAACCTCTACAAACCTCCACATTTCTCATATAAACTTGGCCATAACACGCACGACATTATTGATCTCAAATTCTTACATCCTAAACTATCACGTTCACCTGAAGGACCGAATACTGGTAGCTAAGGATGCGAATAATATCGTTCAAATACGGCCCAGCGAGGAAAAATGAAGATGATGATCCAAGTTGTTGGGATGAGATCCATTCACCTCATTTGATATTACTCAATATATCATCAATTCCAAGAAACTTATATCAATTAACGAAGTCACACGACAGACAGCGAGACTCGAGCTGCATAGGAAAATCAATTACTATTCGCCATAATTGAACGTTGGATTTCTACCCCAGAAAGTAATCCTTACTTTCCGATGGCATCCGCCTTCCCCGCAATTGGTTGTTGGAGACTTTTGATACCTTTTTGACCCTTCAACCTGCATTTTTTAAGACTTTTTTATGGCTAAAAATGCCCTTTCGGATTCGGAAATCCTAGTAAGTCGTCAATACAAAGACAACCCATTCTTAAATACACTACCCAAACTGTCATCTTATTGTCATATGTTACGTTCTTATCCCGTAGGTAATTGAGCCAAGACCTGAAAATCAGCCCAGAAATTCGATCCCCCAGAATTTGAATATTCGTTGTGGTCTCATAGTTTGGGGATCATTTCGTTTTGATGTCACTTATTGGATGATTTCTATTCTGTCACATGTACCGTACCTAGGTATTTCCTTATGCAAGCCTTAGAGCTTTTTCTCCATGCATCCAATTAGCATTTTTTAACTACCAAAAGTAGTGAATCCCCTTGCTCGTCTCATGGCACTTTCCAACGGGTTTTACCCAATTACTCCTATTTAGATGCGAACCAGAATCGTTCCTGCCCTCCCCCTCCACATAAGAATAACCTCTTCCTTCGAGCTCCCAAATTCTGGACTCTTACACAACATTAATTACATACAATTTTTCCTCTTAATTCAACATCTCCTGCAGAATTCCTTTTGGCATATACCACATTCTTCTCATTCTTTAATCCATCCTTCTTGCTTGACCTCTTATAAGGATATCAATCAATAAGATGGGTATTTCAATCGTGAAGCCTAAGGGCGTTCCAGGCAGATCATGGCCAGCAGTAAGTGTCTACCTACGTACCATTTTCAACCATGATTAACGGTTTAATCAGATCGTCATTGGATGTTTTGTTGCATTTGGTGGTCTACTTTTCGGTTATGATACAGGTACTATTGGTGGTATCCTCGCTATGGAGTAAGTTAACGGTACATAAAATCACTTCAATGCATATTTTTACTAACACCTAAACTAGCTACTGGCAGAAAGAATTCTCTACTGGCTATGTCAATCCAAAGAATCATCTTGATGTTTCTCCTTCCCAATCTGCGGCGGTTGTCTCTATTCTATCGGCAGGTACCTTCTTCGGCGCACTCACTGCGGCTCCTCTTGCGGACTTTTTTGGTCGCCGTATTGCTCTGTTGATATCTTCCGGTATTGTTTTTAATTTCGGTGTTATCTTACAAACTGCCTCTACTGCTCTGCCAATGTTCATTGCTGGTCGTTTCTTTGCTGGTTTTGGAGTTGGTCTCATCTCTGCTTTAAGTAAGTTCTGTGATTTTGCCTCAATTCAATACGTTTTGCCTATTTCTAATTTCCAATTAATCCTATTACATGGACGGGTCAAGCGGTGAGCTAACACGATTTCTCCAAGTTCCACTTTATCAATCAGAGACTGCGCCTAAATGGATTCGAGGTGTTATTGTTGGATGTTACCAATTGGCTATCACAATTGGTCTGCTTCTCGCAGCTGTTGTCGATAATGCTACACAAGGCCGAAATGACACTGGATCATATAGAATTCCAGTTGCAATTCAGTTTCTTTGGGTTGGTCGCTTCACCTTGAGCTCCGCTTGTACTTCATTAACACCAGTTTAGGCTATCATCTTGGTCGTCGGATTATTGTTCTTGCCTGAAACACCTCGTTACTTAATCAAGAGGGGACAGTACCAGAAGGCTGCCCGGTCTCTCTCCAAGCTCCGTCGTCTCCCTGCTGATGATCCATATATTCGTGATGAATTGGCTGAAATTACAGCTAATCATGAATATGAACTACAACTTGGTCAAGCTTCTTATGCGGATTGTTTCAGAGGTGGTATGGCTAAAAGACTTGCAACGGGATGTTTACTTCAAGCTTTACAACAACTTACTGGTGTTAATTTCATCTTTTGTAAGTCTGTTTCGTTTATAAACGTTTGAGAGAGCATTGCTAATTTGGATCCCTAGACTACGGTACTCAATACTTCAAGAATTCTGGCATCACAAATGCCTTTGTCATTCAGATGATTACCAGCGCTGTCAATGTTTCATCTACTCTTCCTGGCTTGTACGGAATCGAAAAATTTGGTCGTCGTCCACTTCTATTATGGGGAGCTGTTGGAATGTGTGTTAGTCAACTCATCGTCGCCGTCTTAGGTACGACCACCACCGGACAAACAGCAACAGGTGATGTATTCGCAAAAAACGTTGCTGCCCAAAAGGCATCCATCGCTTTCATTTGTATCTACATTTTCTTCTTCGCTTCCACTTGGGGACCTCTCGCATGGGTTGTCTGCGGTGAAATCTTCCCCCTCAAAGTCCGTGCCAAGGCTCTTTCCATGTCTGTCGCCACCAACTGGCTTCTTAATTGGGCAATTGCATACTCCACACCTTATCTCGTCAACTACGGAAAAGGCAACGCTAATCTTCAATCGAAGATTTTCTTCATCTGGTTCGGTTGCTGCTTTGTGTGTATCGCCTTTGTTTATTTCATGATCTATGAAACTAAGGGCTTGACACTTGAACAAATCGATGAACTTTATGATAGCAATACTACTGCTAAGGATTCAGTTCATTGGAAACCCAGCAAAAATTTTGTTGATTTGGTGGATGGTCATGATCAGGTTGGTGATCTTGGTCATGATAATAATGGTGGTGTTTTGACGGATGAGAAGGCTACGACTACTCATTCTCAAGCTCATACTCCGGGTCATAATACTGGGGTTACTACCGGTCTTGAGTAAACTCAGTCGTGGGGTTTCTCATTACCGATTATCTGGGATCGAATTTCGTTGGTTTGTTGGTTGTTGGGATTCGATGTTATGGTGTTTTTCCTCTTTTTTTTTCTAACTTGCGATGATACCTAGGGTTTGTGGATTATGGATTATGGCTTACGATCAGATCAGATCTGTTGTCCGTTGTAGGTCAATCGATAGATCTGAAGGGTCTGTAAAAAAATTTGGGCAGCACGGTCCGGTTCGGTTGATGGTTGATGGACCGATGGATGGATATGCGTCGATGGAGAGAGAGAGCAGCTAGAGTATCTTGACTCGGGATTGGGATTGCGATGGATGATGGATCATGGGCGACTGGATGGATGGACGATGCAAGCATGCAAGAAGGAAGGAGTAGGAGTGAGTGAGTGTATATCTTAATCCTATTACACTATACACCTAGAGTACCTACTACCTACTAACTAGGTATCGCATTACCTAATCTAACCTATTTGCATTACTCTACTTGTTTAGTTTACTCTACATACCCTAATTACTCAACTTAATTAACTTAGTTTATTAACTTTATATATTATTTATTTATTGAGTAAGTGATCGATTAATTAATTAATTATTTAATTTAATTATTCAATCTTGACCTACTGTACTCTTTATACTAGATGTATTATTAATCTTATAATATAATATACTATACTATACTATACTATACTATACTATACTATACTATACTATACTATACTATACTATACTATACTATACTGTACTATACTATACTATACTTGAATATATAACAATTCAATATATCTAATATATATAATTTTAAAGATTTTAATATTTTAATATTTTAATATTCTCACAATCTATCTACACATTTCAAAAACCACAACTTAAATCCAAATCAAAAAATGTCAAGAATTATTAATCATTTCATTAATCATAAACAGAATATCTAAGTAATGAATGAAATGCATCACAAACTTAACCCCTTCTTTTTCATTCTTTTTTCTCTTTCCTCTTTTCTCCGTTTCCCGTTTCCCTTTTCTCTTTTCCCTTTTCCCTTTTCTCTTTTCCTTTATACATCTCTCTCATCTCAGCTCATTATACACAACACACACAGCACACACAGCACAAGCAAACCAAGGATCCTCTTTCTATCCATCCATTCAATCTGCATACAAACAAGCAAGGTTTGTTTTCCTTTCATGAATAATCTCAAGTCCAAAAGTCATGTATCTTTCCTCTCCTCTCCCGCTTTTCTCTCCACTTTACTCTCTAATTATTCTCCATACAACCACCCACCTACCCGCAATATCAAAAATCGACGGGATAGAAATCTTCCATTACACGGAGCCATCAACCAAACAAAGCCAGGGCGATTAAACCAAGCCAACGCATTCATTAAACAATTAAAAGTAATCTTCTTTTTCTTCCAAAAAAGCCTATTCATCCGTGCGAATACCATATCATGCAAGTCATGTGAAACCCAATCTATCATGAACTTTTTCCATACTTCATTCCATCAGTATCATAATCCGTAATCCATAATCCGTGATCCGTAGCCCATAGTCCATAGCCATAATCCATTGCATACTCCATTACACACCCTTCATACCCAAACAACCTCATCTCCACACACACAGCACCAATCCAAGCGCCCAAAACACTTCCCGCAACTAAGCACAAGGTACCATATAAAGACCAATAGCACTCGCCGCACTATTTTCAAAATACTCCAATCCCAAACCTCCTACACTCTTCGCGGCATAACTAATCGTCTTTCCAGTCGGACATGCAAATGTAGCAACCGTGTATCCATTTCCTGGAATAACTTGAACTTTTCCAAAATCTGTCTCGACTGCTGGTTGACTATTATAAGTCGTACCGACATTGGAAATACCATTCAATAGCGAGAAATCAATACCTCCATTCTCCTCGGTTTCTTCTTCAATACCCGTGAAATTGTATGTGCCAGCTTGAGTATTTGATGCGACGGGTAGAAGAAAGAGGAGTGCGCAGGTACCAGTGTAAGGGGCTGTGGATGGTACGTCAAAGTTAAAGATGGTGCTATTTTGAGGGGTGATATGCGCGGTGAATTGATTACCGAATGCGTAGTCTGGAGATTCAGAGGAGACTGGTACTATAAGATGTGGATATTCGAAGGGTCCTGAGGTGATATTCGTTGGGCATGAAGCAGTAGCAGAGGTGGTTGATGTAGCTACAGGAATTGTGGATGAAGCAGACGAGGTAGCAGACGCGATTGGAGTGGTAGAAGTACTCGTTGGTCTTCCCAAAGCCGCACAACTAAATCCTCCAGTAACTATTTGAATAGTTTCACATCCTGTCGTGTTGGTTTTTGCTTGGGTAAAAATATTATAACTTCCATCTTCACCTGGACCCGTAGCTGGACATGCTAGCCAATCCTCATTCGTATCGTTATATAGTAAATTTCCATTATTTCCCAATGTAAAAAGAGTAACAGCGGAGCCTTCAATACATTGAAATTGGGAGGTGGTAGATGAGATACTGCAATTATGACCTTCAGCATCGGTGAGAACTTTAGCATCAATGCTATAGACACCTTGAGGCCAGGATCCACCAATTCGGTTTTCCCCTATGGTGGTTTCGACAATTGAACCAGTTGGATCAGTTGGATCACCGACCGCGGACATGTAGAATGTACATGGAATGACTTGTCTTGGAAGAACGGCAGCATTTGTTGCGGCTGTAAGAGCGAGCGCGGAAAGAAAGTACTTCATATTGAAATCTTCAAGAGTTGTAGATAATTTAGGAGTTTAGGATCGAGATTGAGGTTGAAGATTGAAGATTTAAAAATGAGTACGAGTAATAAGAGGGAGGATGAGTTTGAGGAGGTTGATATTGAGGAAATGGGAGATGGGGGTTGATGTTATGTATATGTTGAGGTGAGGTGAGGTGATGGGGGGCTGTGAGGGCTGTGATACGGGTGGTTCGATTCAAGCTTCGGATGATGAACTGGAAATCCGAGCCGTTGAGTAAAATAAGCAATGGCTGGTGGTTATTGTTCCTGCTGTTGAGAATTCAAGTGAAATACGAGTCAAGCACGAAGAAGAAGAATATAAAAGTTAGAAATGAAGAAGGAAGGAAGAAGTACTTCACTATATACCCTGATAGCCCCGGCATGAACAGGAAAGTATCATCATATGCGGTGAGCCAACTACCTAGTACACATTGCTTGCATATTCTTGCACATCATGTTGATCATTACTTCTTTGCCTCCGCGCTAGGTAGATGAATCTTTCGATCTCAATTTATTTGTTTGTTTTGTTTGTTTTGTTTGTTCATCATCATCACCTGCGAGTATGGAGTACAAGTAGCACAGACCATTGTACAACATGCTACATCCGATGGGGAAAGTTAAAACCCTTGTAATCCTTCGTATTCAAGAATCCCAATCCTTCTTTGGGAATCGGATTACTTTGAGAAGAATCTTGATTGGAAGATCTCTAACCAATAGGAGTCCATCTCGGTATGGGAAAGCATGTCAAAGTAACAGATAGACAGAATATCCCGCCTCATGGTGACATCAAAGTTCACGAAGCATATGTATTTCCAAAAGGATTTGGGATAATGAACAAAGTCCGTCCCCAGCCATACTCTGTAAAAATTGAATGTCTTCCTAACTAATGCATAAAATCTCTACCCCGTAAGGTTATCAAAGTGGCTGGAAATGGGGCTGATGAACACTCCGACCCCTGGCTTAACGGGCATGTGCTGATGATGTTTAGGGATCTACATTAGAGTTAGGCTACATTAGAGTTGGGTTCAGGTTACATTTCTACCCGTTAGTACGGTAAACGCCCGGAAAAAGGTACCTAGCACCCTTAACCTTAAGTCTTACATATTTCGTCATCGATGATGATTTGTGACTTTGCTTTTGGCGTTGCTTGTATAATCGAGTATGTACTTTTGGGATGAGGATATTGATGGCAAGTCTTAGGAAGGACGGTATTGATTCGAGGCGAGAGATTAATCTTTATCCTCTTTATCCTCTTTACCCGGTTATTCGTATTAATATTCATGAGATATCTTTTGATCGCAGAATTGTCAATAGCAACAACAGCAACACCCACCACAATAAAGACCATGAAGAAACGTTGCACAACATTGAATACTGCATTTGCATATACGTAAAATACAATAACTAGTTCTGCATATATATATCAATCTCGTATCTTCTATCCTACACCTCTCGCATATATACCAAATATAGAATTGCCACTCGTAGTACTTCGACGATTCATGCCATTGATTTTGATTCCATTCGGATCCATCGAGATTATTCTATTCTATTCTATTCTTTCTTTCACAGGCTTCTATACATAAGTTTAACATTCCTTCATTAAATGATCACTTGTGCTCTGAAGATCTTCAGGTTAACCAGTTTTCCGCTTGTTTGATCGTTGGTTTCGTATACTATATACTGTATGCTGCATATACAACTGTACGATGGAAAATGCGAGATGATACCACAGATATTCCAGATCGACTTCATATTCCCATTCACACTTGGAAAATCCATTCATTGCCCCCTTACACAAAGAATATGCATGTCGTCAATGCAACACTTTGTACACCTCTAGGTAGATTTTATACGAGAAGATCTCCGCAATACCACATCTAAGTCCACCTCCATCGCACATTACACATCGCAACCCTCAATCCAAAAGTGGAGATACAGACGGATACGCCTAGATGATCCCCCAACTTTAAGGAGTATCTACATCACCAGCGCTTAATTAAACAATCTTATCTTAGTCTTGATCTAATGATGATGATAATCTTTAATCCAACATCAATTATCAATATTGATTCCTCATTTCCATTCTTCATCAACTATTTACGCGGTTAATTCATTTATCCATATCCATATCCATATCCATATCCATATCCATATCTACTCCATATCTACCTACTGTACCTAACCCACAAACCTTCACCTCACTACTCTACCTCCTCTAAACCACCAACTAACTCCCCCCTCACCTCAAAAATAACCGCACCCAAATCCTCGTAATCCTCGTGATCCAACCCAATATTAAGATGATCTCCTCTCTTTCTTTTTAACTTTACCCAGCAAACGATGAAACTAGTAAGACTTAGCAACATCCCAATCTCAATCTCATCTCAATCCCCACCTTCTTCCTTCCTCCTTCCTCCTTCCTCCTTCCTCCTTCATCCTCCCTCCTCGCTCCCTCCCTCCCTCATCCCCAATCACAAATATCACATCACATCACATCACATCACATACCCATAACACACCATAACTACACCCCAATCCCCCCACCCAGCCAAAAGAATCTTCCAAATACCTAGATAGATAGATAGATAGAATAATCCGATACAAATTCAATAATAATCTAATCTAATCCGATCTAATCTTTCAAATCAAATCGAATCTAATCCAGTGGTATCATTGATAAGATCTTATGAGTGTGAAAAATGATAATTATAAATTATAAATTGGTTGAGTTAGTTGGATTTATTCAAGCAAGGTAAGATGGCTGAGATACTCAGATACTTAGAATCATTTGATGGTTTATATAAGATTAAGCTTAATAGGTAGGTAGTGTGAGTGTAAGTGTGAGTGTGAATGTGAGTGTGAACGTGTCAAATGAATGTTCTGTATTGGATTACGAGAAGTTTTGATATCTTTATGTTTCTTCATGCTTAATGCTTAATGCTTTTATTTTTATCTTACTCCGCCTTTTTTCTTCATGTTTATTTTCCTCATCCTTTTCTCTTCATCCTCTGGCCCCTCATTCTTATTTTATTATCTCCATTATCCCCCTCTCCATTATTATCCTCCTCCATTATCCCCTCCATTATCCCCCTCCATTATCCCCTCCTCATTATTTTCCTCCTCACCACCTTCCTGTTCCCTCGGCTCCTGTTTAATCCCCGTAACCCTTTCAATAAACCACCACACAAGTATAGTCCCCATTGCCCCCCTAAATAACCATGTTTTAAAGGGACATATTTGCACCTCGATATCCATCAAAGGAAAATCCGACGTTAGAAAAATCTCCGCGAGAGTCTGGATCATCTGGCGTCCGATGGCGGGCGGAACCACATTATCATCCCTAGCATACTCCAAAAAAATTGGTGTCTGCCATCCATCGAAGATCATCGATCCATCGCCATCCTCACACTTCGTATAATAGAAGTATTTCTTGAAATTACTCAATGCGGTTGCCTTCCGCTGCCTGGGTGTTTCACATATTGGTATGAGATCCGTACAAAATGGAAGCCAGCCAGATATTCCTATGAAACCTCCTAGTTTATGGAGTCCTTGAAACAAAGCTAATATTCCAACGGCGCACCCCATACCATGTCCACCAAGAATGACATGTTGATACGAATCTACAAGTTCCGCCTTTTGTGTTGTTAGCAGTCGTACGAGGAAGATAAAAGTTTAAACTGAAACTGGATGTTGGGAAGTGTCAATATATGTGAGGAAAGAAAGCGAAATACCTCTTTATCTATAAGAACCAATATATGTTCAAAACTTTCGTTCAACCCTTCTTCCTGAATCTCTTCCATATCATATGGAGAACTTATACTCCATATATCAAACCACTGATATAAAAGGCAGTCAAAACGTTCTGAATACCGCTCCGGAGCCTGAGGAAATACCCATTTGATAGAAGGGAATAGTTGGGTCAATGTAAGTCGTCCGACTCCAAGTCGACCATCCAGGAGAAGTGGAGCGCAATCTGAAGCTAATTTGTGGCGATCGTGGAGGAAAATCACGGTATGTGTATGATGAGTGGTGGGAGCAATTATGTAGTCCTGCATGATACAGTGGATATTTGTATATGAATTAATACTAGTAGAGTCAGTAGAAATAGCACTGAATGGATATTTAGTAAAGCTGCAAATTGTTAGGACTAATCTTCAATGATCGATTCAAACTGCTCAATATCATACCGATGTTGTCTGTATTGTACCGTATTAAAATCTCGAGAGGATATTATGTATATGTGTAAATTCAAGAAGGGGTGTTTTTTTGTTGATAAAGAGGTAGTTGTGAAGTTGGAGTTGAAGATCAAAGTAAGAAGGAGGATAGTATTGGCAAGATGCGCGTGGAAATAGCAAGAGCTATCGACAGAGGGCCTGGTTCGATTCTACCAAATTGAGACCCTGGCTCTCTCCCATCCTTTCAGATAGAAAGTATATTTCTCGAATGCCCAAAACCCGAATAAAACTCCATTGTATGATGAGATCAGACAGCAGGAATATATCTACTTCAGTGTTAGATTAGAGCAACGTTTGAATGAATGCCACAATATCATCTACACCCTGAGGTTCATTAATCCAATGACCTCCATCTTCATATATCTTTCTCGTGACTTTCATCCCAAGTTCACGAAGCCCTCTGTACAGCACATCCCCATTAGATTCAGGAACCACATCATCATCCTTTGAATGAGATAAGAACACCGGCGTGGTAAGTATTGGTGTAGTCTCCCTGTTCAACGTAGCGTCCGGGGATAGCTTCATTTGAATTACTTTGAACGATCTCATGCCTTCCTCATCTCCCATTTTCAAGCTTGCTGCAAGAGACATAGTTTCTTCCTCGAACGGTAGCCAGCTTGATAAGCCTATGAATCCTGCTAGACGCATAGGATTCAAGAGAAGGGTAAGAATGGCCGTGACACAACCTTGACTGATTCCCGCCAGAAAGATGCGCTCCTTAGGAATGTGATCAGCTTCGTTATCGATGACATTAACAACTTGTTCGATACTTTCAATGAGACCATTGATTTGTAATTCCTTGCGTTGTTGTGGTTCTTGGACACACCATATATCGAACCATTGAGACATTTCAGTTTCAAATCGAGCAGACAATCTCATTTTAGATGAAGGAAATACCCATTTAAAGCCAGGAAGTATTTCTGGGAATGTGCGACCGTCTGAAGCTTGACTCTCAAAAAATTCCGAGGCAAACTCCTCTGCTTTGCTATCACGGCCATGGAGGAAGATGACGGTGTGGGTATGATCACTTGTTGGCATAATCGTGTAATTGTGATCCATTTGGGTACCGGCCATAATGAGTGGTCTGTGTCTGTGAATCAGAGGATATGCTCTTGAATTGTAGTCGCCAATGATGTTGCCTTATGTTTTATTAATAGTGTAGGATAACATTGACAATAATGTGCGGTTCGTTCGTCATATAGAGAAGAGCGGGTGAGCGGGAGCTAACTTGCTAAAGGTAATTGATGGAAATTATTCTATTCAACTTTGAATAAACATATAATTGGTCATGTGAAGCTAGTATTTCATGTCTAGTATCAATGCAGCTACTAGCTTAATTCTGTATGGATGTGAATAATAATTTTGGAGGTTCAACACAATGAACAACAACATTTGAATCCTTCCGATTGCCCACTTGACGATGTCATGGAAGAAAATTAAAGTTTGAAGATACAATGGGACAAATTTTTGAGTGGATATAAGCACATGAACTTCATGCTTTGAATGATTGAAAGTGTAGAGATCTCATTACTACTGCATATATTATCAAATACTTTCAAACATGTGGCCGTTTGAATCAAGAACCCTTGTCTGAATCAGAAAGATTACATCGTCGTCGTCAATTGTCCAAGACGTGTTTGGGATTGCTAAACTTGGTCACGCTCGGCTGAAATGCCAAACTCTCAGAAACGCCATTCCGTCCCACTTATAAAGTCATCATAATCATCACCATCATTTACCTCCATTATCAATTAAGCATAACGACACACACATTTAACCATCCGTCAGCATAACTTGCTTCCCTCATTAAATCCTCCAATACCGCTTTGAAAGGAACTGTTGCCCCGTGTAAGATTACCTCTGCTAAAATAGCATCTCTTTTACTGGGGAACAATGTCGGAAGGACGCTATTAAGAGCCCCTCCTAATGTTTGAGGTTCTCGAGACGCGGTTTGCGGTTGTATGAGAGTTTGTATTGTTTTGAAGGCGAAGAGTGGTGAAGGTGGAGAAGAGGTATCCGGAGCTTTTGATGAACTCGAAGAACCTGGGTGAGGGGTTGAAGACGGGGTGGAGGACGAGGGAAGATATATACGTAACGGGATGTGCTTCAGGGGAGTAGCAGGATTAAGGAGGATAGTGGAGATCTTGTGGTAGGTGGAGAAATCATCTAGAGGTGTCAAAGATCAGCTCATGGTCATTATGCATGAAAATTGATGGGCAAGGAACCATACTATCTTGCACCGAGTTCCACAATTGTGTCGAATGTTCTTTTGACATGCTCATTATTCCCTTTGCATTTCCATTGCGCATGAAATCGGCCTAAGAGTCTAACGTTAGTATAACGAGATTGAGACTGTTATGACCTTGGGTGTAGTATGCACTTCTTTAACGCTATTGATAAAGGTATCATGGATATCAAATAAAGGACCATCCCCTAACTCTATCCTCCATGGTAATTCCGGTTGATACAAATCGCAAAGTAAACCAACTGGGAGATTCTTCAGTAGAATCCCTTCATAAGAGAAACTGCTAACATTTTCCCCAAAGAAGGATGTTAATCGTGGAAAAAGAAGCGCCAAGTAAGAGACTCGAGGTACATTTATCAAGTAAGGTATTGTAGAAGAAGAATGTGTAATATACAATGGTATAGTAGAGGCCCAAATGAGAGATTGCATAACGAAGGTTAGTCTTCAATACTCCTGCAATTAATAATTGTCGAAGTGAAAGCGGGACAATCGGGAAGGCTGTGAATGAGGATGAGGCTGCGAAATTCGTTTCAAAGCGACTCACAGACTCACACGCCACTCGTTAAAGGTTTAGCGCAGAACCAAGATTGTGTTTTCCATCCCGCGAGGCTGAGCATTGGGATCTGCAACGGTATTGCCCATACTTGGGTGATCGGGCTTCAACCCATCTACTGTACTGATAGCACATATCGTTCCAAACATCTGCCCGCCCTCCTTGAACGTCATACTCATGCTCTGCCTACGGAATACAGTTGTATCGTAGTGGTTGGTGATGCAGCCGCGATAAAAAAACTCAAAATCATCATAGGAAACATCAAGAAGAGCTGTTTGAACGTGGCGAAGTATGTTTCTCCGCATTGGTAGCTCACTCACCGGTAAGCTTGCGGTCCCGAAGATATCCTCATTTCAAATCCAACCTTTTTTTTTATCTTTAGACTGTTACCTGATGGCAGATTCTCATCTCAAGCCGACTTCAATCCGATTTGAGCTTTTCAGCTACTTGAAATATCAACACGGCGCTGCAAAGCGGAACCTACAAGTAAGTTCACAGAATAACGGAACATGCCCATGGCTCAGTCTATTGAACAAGCACACTGTGGATATCTTCCCGCTCAAACAGGGTCGTCCCAACCTCAGAGATTCGTGTTGCGGCTCGCAAGAGTCGCGCCATTCATTACGTTCATTACGTAAATTTCCGAAATGGTTGTTGTTTTATTAGTGTTCAGGCATTTCTAACCCGAGCTGAACTATTTAGGCCTTTCCTAGATAAATATACCCTACTCGCCGGTACCAATGAGCCAACAAAAGATCTTCCTTGATCTCTTCGCGTATCTTCTCCACCATGAAAATTCATGGCATCGTGCGGCCAGAAAGTATGCAACTCCGGAGCTAGAAGCACGTTCCATAAGATGGTAAACTATAAGAGGAATAATCTAATTTATTTAGCCTCGGAGTTTCACGTAGGTCTTTGTAAACTTGGCCGTGAAGATAATTTGGGAAAGATATCCACTCGCCAGATAGGATTTATAACTCAATATTGAAACAACAGAATATGATGCTTACATTTCGCCTGACGCGCCATAAGTACTCGTCACGAGAGCTCCATTCGGGCAAATTTTGGGCTTCTCGAAATGGAGTAAGGCCTTGACATTATTGTGTCCTGGCGCGCTTGGCCAGTCAAATCTCTAAGAAGCCCAAACAAGACAAGAGGGAGACTAGGCCAGTTTACAAGTGTTGCTGTGCGAGAGGAAGTCAATATGTCTCGCAGTGGTATCTGAGCTAATTACAAACTACCTAGGTACTAAAGGTGGACATTATTTAGCATGCATAACTCACAAGCATTAACAAGAAGGTTGTTCCCAATTGCTTATCCAATACACTTTATGCATGACTAAAGATAAGTATACATACACTGCCAACTGTGTTTTATATAGTTCGATGGCAAAGTTATGCTTGATAAGAAACCAGCAACACGGAGCTTCTTTCCCAAAACCTATATCGAACGTAAGCTAATTCGTATCTTATCCGTCCTCTTCGGCTGGTGATGAATCGAGAGCACTTTTAACGTTGCAACCATTTGTGACACACGGACTTACAGCCAGGCAACTGTCTTCTACTCCATGATAGTATCTTTCATCACAGTTACCGACATTAGCAAGGAACTATTGTGGAAGTCTGAAATACCTGTACGGAGTTTCTTCAAACTTACGCACAGAAGAATTCGTGACATTGGCTCACTAAGTAAGAGTAAGGCGTCATTGGAAGAACCATCTGAGCAAGTGCCATCTTTCAAACACATCAGATTTCGATGGTGATCGAGACTCGGCGGTTTACTCGTTTCCTTACACCTACCCGAATCCCTACTTAGTAGATAATCTATTCATCCTTTCGGTAAAGGTTGCGGCTGGTAGATTACGGTGTCTCCTTAGCTCTTCTAAGCTCTGGTAGCCCAATTCCCCATCTCCTTCGTTTCCTTTTCATGTTCATGGTATTCCACAGTCCCACTCCATCTTCGTGCCATCCTTGTTCCTCACGTTTTTCTAGACAGAACATGGGATGCTTTAGTGATCCCCGAGATGATGAGATCCTTGGTGACCAGGATAAAGGAGTTACAAATAAGTAATATTTGACCCCAAGAGCTGGGATCTTCGATGCGGAAGAAAGGAAAATATTGGGACGAATAAACCCCATGTCTTCTTCTTGGAGAAGTGAACTCGCAGGGATTATAAAGTTTTGTTCATCTTTTGGCCTGGAGATGTTGTACTACAACTGTTACACAATTTTACGCGGGCCATATTTAAGGTCCAGAACTCTCGAGTAAGGCATGCTTTCTGTTCCGTTTGATCTTTTTTCTTTTTTTCTTCCGGCACCAATAGATTATTGCCTGAATATTCTATAGGCATGAATTTGCCTGCATGTTGACTTAAATGCAAGTCGTAATATCACTACCCTTCTAGAAGTACTGAATGGGCACCGGGATTCCGCAAGAGGCCATAGGTGCCTCTGCTGCCGTCCTGTCATACTCATTCCTATGCCTCATCTTGGTCACCTTACTCATATGTATGCTTTGGACCTATGGTGAACGATGGACATGTAAGTTTACTTTCCCAAGTTTACGCTGATGTATCTAACAAGGATAGATGTAACATTTCTTGCCGAGTTCTCTGCATTGAGCACACTTGGTTCCATCGCACAGCAGATACATTTCAATCGTGATTGGCTCATTGTTAAGCAAGATGATTATGAGACGGCATTAAAAGCTGTAGACTTGCCAGCTTTGGGTCTTTCGGGTGTAGGGAATGAAGTCGATCTCACACTATTCACAATTCGTATGTTCCCTTCCCAATCTTGCCAATTTGATGAATGCTAATCTCTTGACACAGAATTTTATTCTTATAATGTTATGGCTCTGATGGTGCTCTTTTGGTAAGTCGGTTCGAATTCAAATAATTAAGCCCTTGGAATCTAACAATAACCAGGGCTGTTAAACTCTTCTGTGGTTCCTGGGAAATCCGCGCCAACTTCCTTGGTAGCTGGATGCGAGAAAACATATCCCTCATTTCCAAGATATTTGCGGTCATCATGCCGGGCATTCTTGTAGGCGTTGGAAAGGCCCCAGCTGTGCTGAAAAGCCCCGGAGCAACTTTTATTCTAACTAACCTTACAAGTAAGTTATTTTTAGCCAATCATTTTATGATGGTGGAAGGCATGTTTTCGGAACTTGAGCTGACTTCGCGATTTAGTGCTCGTAAGCTTGTCGATTGGCAGTATCCTCATGATTCTCATTCTCTACAAATATATCAAAACACGGCGACTTCTATTTGCACACGATAAACGTAACGGTTGGTGGGGTTCGAGTGGTGCAGCGACAGCGACTGATACGACGGGCACCTGCGCTGTAAATGGAAGTGGTATTACCAATGATAATTCCAAAGCAAGCCGCCGTTCTCTTTACGATCGTGCACTTATCACCCGGTTCACCATTGGTTTCGTTATTCTTCTGTGAGTTTCTTGGTGGCTCAATATTGGAGTGATTAAGAAAGCTGATAAGTCTTTAAAAGGGTCCTTGAAGTCGCATTAATCATTTTTTCCTTATACTCCGCAAAAAACTTTCAAAAACTTGCGAAATCATCATCTCCCGACTTCGCCGTCTCTAGCTGCATCATTGATATTGTCCTCTTCATACCTGGAGTTTCGACATCATTCTTAGTATTTCTCGTGTTCGGGACCAACAAATCTCCCAAACAGTACAAAGATTTAGTCGTTAGCGTATGTGGTCGTCGTACGAAATTTCCCAAAAGCAAAAGAAGAGGAGTGATGGCATCCGGAGACGAGGAACAGGGCACCGAATTTCAAAGATTGCCTAGCGTGTGCACCAAAGTCCTCACGCTCACGCCGCAAGAACCAGCAGTAGTAGAAGCAAAAACGCGAGGCATGTTATTTGACCAACGAACATCTATCGGGACACAATATACGACATACACGACGCAGACCGGGAAAAGTAGACCAGGGTCATCAGTACACACTCATACACGCACTTTGAGTCCCACAACCAGTAGTTTCAATTTCAGTCATCCAGCATCAGCTAAAAACGAATTCCGATCCGTGATCTCCAAGGAGGAACGTGATGCAGGGGAGGCTTGGGCGAGACAGAACGATTTGGAAATCGGATTGGCGTTGGAACAAAAGTGGACCGGTCATGCATTTGCAAGGGACAGGGATTCAGTTGGAAATTTAACTGCCGGGAATGCCATGTCTCATGGAGATCTCGGTTCCATGCCACCTCGGAATTTTCTCTTGGATGATAGTGATGAGCATGAGGGATGGACGAGATAAATGGGTAGAAGGAAGAGAGTTCTAATGATTTTACGATTGATACCCTTGGTAACGGAGCGATTTTTGCATCGGCATCGGCGGTCTTTGTATAAAAATGGGGCAATGTATACTTATGGGATATAGGTGGGATGGAAAAATGTATAAATGCATTAGGGATTTCGAACCTTCCGAATTGGGTACTAGTAAGGTTTACAAAGCATTCGGTAGGGAACTTGGGAGGAAACTTTCACGTGTATAGAATTACCACATCTAGAACATTTAGCGAATATCAAAAGAAATTAAAATGCCTAGGTAGCGGTAGCATCTATCTACAACTTACCGACATCATGTACAGTAATCTTACATTAGTATACCTATATAGAAGTACATATAGAAGTACTGCACGGATTACTCGAATACTCGAATACTCGAACCAAAATCTACCGAGGACCCTGTAAATCAAAAGAAGCGATTTTACTACCCACCTACCGGTAGCAAAATCGACGATCTGATCTGCACAAACTTCGGAAATATACCTAATAAGCTGATTTACCAGAGTATTGGTGCGGGCGCTGACCCTAACTAACATCTTTAACCATTCAGCTGGGCAGCACTACTAGAGGATCAGACCAGCATATAGTACCCGGAAAAGCTTGGCTGGATTTCTGGAAAATCCGGAAAATCTGGAAAATCCCTAAAAATACAAGGGTCGGAAATTAGGTCGGGAATTGTTCTTGAAGGAAATGTAGGATCTTATTATTTCCTTTTCTTTTAGGAGGGGGTTTTGGCCTTTCCTTTTTCTTTTTTTGTTGAGATCACTGGGGGTGCGGGCATGTTTATAGGTCGGATGTATGGTTTCTCCGTGCCTCGGTTGCTAGGTAGGTTGTGGGTTAATGTTCGATAATTTATTTGGTACTGTACAGATTTGAGATTTGGACTTTTATTATTTACTTGACTACTTACTTTCTTTTCTGCGTGTGGTGTATTTGTGCAATTTTCGTTCGGGTTCTTCTTCTTATCTGGATAACTGATCATCTCATCAAATAGATTTGCCAATTTGTGAAGCTGCAGACTCGCAAGTTCGGAATCTCACCTCCTTAATAATGGCTTCCGCTACTCGTCTCCCTCTCAAATCTATCATTTTTACTACGGCTGTCGTGGCGGCTGCGGGCATCTCTCATGTTAATATACATAAATTACTTGTCGATACGTTTACCGGTCCAGGGAGTTATTCGAGGATCGCTGCTACGGTGGTTGTATTAGCCAATTTGAAAAGTTTGCCGGGAGTTTGGCATGTATGTTTTTCTTTCTTTTACCTTTTCTTTCCGCTCCTCTCAACTATCTATAAACAGCAAGACACGAAAACTAACAACAGTCCAGTTCAGAGTCTGGAACGCAATCCTCAAACACCTCATTTTGACCACCCCCAACATCCCCTCCAATCTCGGCCCGGCATCACTCTTTCTCCCCGTAATAACCACTTCCCATGCTCCCCTCTGGGAATGCGACTACAACCTCCACAAATCTAACAGTACATATTTCTCGGACCTCGACGTCACTCGATCTCATATCATCTGCTGTCTTCTAGAACCCGGTATCCATGCCCTCCAAAAAAACACCTCCAATAAACTCGTACTCGACAAAGAAGGAAATGCAGTCAAAGGTCGTTGGGGCATTATGCTCGGTGGCGTAATGTGTAATTTCAAACGCGAGATAGGCATTTATCAACAATATGAAATGTGGAGTCGAGTTCTGTGTTGGGATCGAAAGTGGATTTATGTTGTTACGCATTTTGTGAAGCAGGGGACGGTTAGACCGAGAGGTTTTGTTTTAAGTGATGGATCGTGGTTTGGAGGCCGGAATGCGAGGTTTGAGGAAGTTGAAGGCGAGGGAAAGGCGGATCAGAACGATATTGAGTTGGATGAGAAGGCTATTTTCGCGAGCGCGGTTAGCAAGTATGTGATGAAATTGGGAAGATTAACCGTTCATCCCGAGGTGGTGTTGAATGCCAGTGGGTTGCTGCCTGAGAGGCCGGGCGGTTGGCATAATATGGATAATTCCGGGGCATCGACACCGGAAATGGAGGAGAGTTTTGTGGATGCTAAGGTTGAGGAGGAGGAGGTCGAGGAAGTGGAGAAAGAGGCGAATGAATGGGATTGGAGGAGGGTTGAGAGCGAAAATAAGAGAGGATTACAATTTGCCGAACATTTTGCTGCGATGGAGGGATTGCATCAGGAGTTTTCTGGAAGTCAGGCACCCGCGTTGGGGAAATATAGGGATTTGTTGTAATGCTTTTTTGAGGGGCTTGTGAGAAGTGGGGAAATTAGACTACGTTGGTATATAATTGGGAAATAGAATAGATTTGATTAGACTAGATTAGAATAGAATAGAATAGGATATATGGATGGGCTATATAGACGGCACAGAATTATAGAGGCTAATAGGTACTCATATAGATAGAATCTCAAGACAAATTTTAATTTTGCAATCCAGAATAAATGCAACGCATATCCCCTACCCTACCCTGCCCCCTTTCCTCAAACTTCTCTAGCGAGATATATCTCCACTAAAACCCAAATACTCCAAATACTTTATATTATAATATACTATATTATAAGAAAATAAGAGAAGAGAAGAGAAGAGAGTTCATATATACGGCCTGTTAAAAAAGTAAAAGTAAAAAGTGAAAGTAGAAGTAGAAGTAGAAGTAAAGGTTTACAGATAGAGTATATAGACTTATATGGACTTATATAGACTCATATAGATTTATATAGACTTACTTATATTTATTGTATCAAGAACTCAGTTGGATTAGGGGATAAAGATGTAGAAGGAGGAGAAGAATGGGGGTAGTTGTGTGAGGGTAGTAGGGAGAAGAAGGAGAAGAAGGAGAAGGAGGAGGAGAATAGGGTAAGTGTGTGAACTTAGTAGGGAGAGGAAGACGATGAGGATGGGAATATTTGATATTGTAGATTGTAAGGGGGTGTGCGGGGGTGTGTTTGGATTTCTATTAAAGCATGTTGCTGTTCGGGAATAAGGATTGATGGATGTAATTACTAGATACTAGGTACGTAGATAGTCTTTTCTTTATGTTAGGTTTTGTATTTTGGCTCGTTTGTTATTTAAAGGCTGATAGATGATGGTTGGTTTTGTTGGAGCGGAGGGGGGTGAGGATGATGTTGGGAGGCAAAAGGAGGGGAGAGGAATGTTTTCCTTATGTTTCGTTATGTTGCTGTGGGAATGGAGAGATATATTTGGTAAGAGAGATAGATCTTTACTTTTCTTCTCCTAGATTCTTATATTGTATCTTTTTTGAGCTGTAACTTTTGGTGGAAGTAGTTCTCTACGCACAAATACTTTGATATTGTGGTGTACTTGTGGATTTTGGCGTGTTGGTGTTTGGTTGGTGAGTGAGAGGGAGGTTCTTTGGTTTAAGTGGGTGTGCGGGTTATGTGAGAGGGTCAGGGAGAAAATGGGGAGGAAAATGGAGAAGGAAGTGAGTGGAAAGGACGAAAGGGAAGCGAATGTAAGTTCGTTGGAACGTCGGAAAATATGATGGAACACATTAGTTAACAAGTCGAAATGTCGTTGTCCAATTCAACGATTTGAGTTGGCAGTACAACCTTTGAATTTGAGATTGAGAAAATGAAAGACCGTTTAGCTAGATTTAGATAGTAGATATATTTGGGTCTGTGGCGAAGATGTTAGAATAAACGACAACACTCAAACTTCAATCTTGATCGCCAATGACACTCCCTCGCTGTATCAACGATGGTGATATGAAAGCTTTTTGTCATCAATTTCAGAGTTTTCAAATACAATATTTCAAATGAATAAATACCGCACAACTACCCACTCTTTATCGTACAACGGACTCCATTGAAAATTTGGCCAAAAGCATTTCTGGTGTTGGGCTGGAGAAGAGTCTAGGACGAAGAAGTGTCGTTTATATATTCGTATCTGAGCATTGCGAATGGGTAATAACTGGGAAATAAGTTGCGCGTTAAATTGAAGGAGAAGAGGGGTATTGTGAAATAGAGATGAGTGAATAATATATTTGTAAGTAACACTTGATTAGATCTATTTGGCTGGTGAATCAAGAGGGGTTCCTGGGCGGAGCAGTAAGTAAGATTTGACATGAAAGTTTTAAGCAAAAAGGAAAATATAGAGAGGGGGGTATAAAAAGAATAGAATGAATAATTTGAAGGATGTAAGTGCAAGTACAGTCGCCGCATTCGAGCAATTGGTAGATGATGCTAGAAAGGTGAAAGGAAAGGATAAGGGTGGAAACAAAAAAGGGGGGGCGGGAAAGTCGGGATGATACTTAAGAAACGTGAATAGGAAAATTGTTTCCAATAAAGAAATTAATATAAGAGAGAATATAAATAAAGATTTATTATAAGATTTATTATAAAATTTATTATATATAAAACAATAATTAATATAAAGATATAAAAACTAAAAAAATAAATTTTATTATTATATATAATATTATTTTAAATAATAATAAAGTTTTTATATTTGTTGATATCACTTCGGTGATACGATGCAATGCATAGTATTATGTTCTTGTATTTGTTCATGAATGATTGTCATCTATCTAGGGGAAAAAGACCTATTTATATTGAAAGGGGTACGGGCTAGAATGCACTAGTCGTACAGCTCCCTTTGTGTACGGCCTCCCTTTCGAGGTTGATCACATGATGTACCGACACTTCTATATATATACATTTGAACTTATATATAACCTCAATTCCAAAACTATTATGAATTCTGTTTTTTTAATTACTGATATATTACAATATGATCTAATTAGCTTTCTCTTGAAATTCCTCTTCACAATGTATTATCAGGACGCACGTATCTCGACCTACCACTTTTACAATACTATTACCTTCTCGTCACTTCCCGTGTCATCATTCCCTGTAAACTTCCCGTCGCTAAGGTTGCACCACATGTATAATGTTACATCTAGGCTACACAGTAATACGTGTACATCCAGCCCTACTTTACATCATCCAATAATAATAAGCGGGGTGAAAACTTTCGGAAATGTAACACTAACCCCCGCATTTATTCTAGCCACTAATATCGCGCCGCCGCCTTGAGAAAGTATGCAATGAGACAACTTATCCCATCGATCCTTTTACTTCCATATCATCCAGATTACTTTCGAAGCAGGTTGATGGTTCTGATCTTTTACTACAGATTCTGGAATTTCATATAACCTCTATCTAATCTTCTGATCAACACCCTTATTCAAGAAGTGTAGGCCTCCGAAAGGAACCCTTAACGTTGAGAATATCTACTTCTTGATACTCCCAAAATACGTTCGAAAAAACAACAAAATGACAGCATCCAACCTAGCAACATGTAGAGTCCGTCTACCACCCCTCAACGAAAAGAAAAACGAGGATCCCAATCTCAATCTCAATTCCCTATCCGACCACGAGCTCCACACAAAATGGGCAAACGCAATTCAAAAACTATTCTCCCCAGATGCAAATCCAGATACCAAGTCATCACCTCATACCCAAATCCGCTATTTCGATATCCTCCTCCACAAAGACGGATCCGCAGAAAACCTAATCAAAAACCAACAAACCTCCCAGAAGTCTAAACCAGAAACACAGCCGTATCGATATCCACCACGTTATCAACTTCCAGATGCCATTTCAGCCCGACTAACTACAAACGAGGAGAAAATTTCCCGCGCGGAGTGTTTCGCTCTGGGTAGTATTTTGTATGAGATTTCTTCGGGCCATCCACTTTTTCATGATGTAGATGAGGCAGGTGAGAGTGGAAACAGTGGGTTCGGGAGCGGAATCCAGGATCGCATTCTTATTGGGAAATTTCCTGAGGATCTTTGGGATTCATCTCTTCTATCTAGGATTTTGGTATGTTGGTGCCCGGAATTTTTAAAGGAAATGGTGAGTTTGAGTGAGAAAGAGAAAGGAAATGAGAAAGGTAATGAGAAAGAAAATGAGGGAGGAAATGAGAATAGGAATGAAGAGGACACAGGTTCGTAGTTTACGTCTATCAATCCCATTGAGTTATTCATCAACCCCATACTACCCTCCCTCTATTCCCTCTCCCTCCCCCTCAAGAATCCTCACATTCTCTCCTCAAAACCAAACATCTAACCACCCCCCCCAACCAGGCATAACAAACTACATCAAAACCCACCCCTACCGCTTCACATTCCAAGTAGTAGGAGGCCTCCTAACCGCCGCTTCTATCGCCGCGGTCCCAGTTCTCGGCGCAATTGGTTTTTCCGCTGCAGGACCAGTTGCCGGCTCCGCAGCTGCGGCATGGCAATCGGGTGTAGGTCTTGTGGAGGCAGGAAGCATTTTTGCCTGGTGTCAGAGTGTGGCTATGGGTGGTGCGGCTGTGAGTGGAATTATTGGGGCGGGGGTGGGTGGTGCGGGGCTTTGGCTGGGGCGACGGGCTTAGGGGTTTTGGATGGGGTGAGGGTTAATGGGGTGGTATTGAGGGAGAGGTTTTTGAGGGCTTGGGGGAGGGAGGTGAGGGGTGAGTAGGGTATGGGATGTGTGATTTATAATTTATGATGTAGAACGGCTATGGGTGAAATAGGCGAACGGAAGGAGGGGATGGGGTTAATCCATCAAATCTTAGACTTAAGATATCGATAAGGTTAATGGTTATTTTAATGAGTTTATATTGAGATGGTAATCTACCTTAATAAGATTACAAAGTGTATAGAGCAAATAAATAATTGATTATCTCATCAAAATCCTATATCGAACTAAGATTATGTAATACTGGTCTACAATTATTTATTAATTATATTTATTATATTAAAACTCATTCACTTTAAAAAATCATCAAGACTTTGTTTAATAATAAAATATTATTCAAAGTCAAGATATCAAATATTTCAATTTAAAATAATAATTAAAATTTTGAATTTGATTTTTATTATTTTTTTAAATTATATAATTAAATTTTTTTAAAAACCCAAAAAATTTAAATAATTATTATTCAATAAATAAAATTTTTAAATATTAAAACTTATTATATATAATCTTTTTATAAAATTTATTAATAAAAAAATTTAATTATTAGTTTTTATTATATTAAAACTTTAAATAAAAATTATATATTATATTTATTTTAATATTATAAACACTTTTAAAATATAAATTAAAAACTAATAATTATTATATATAAATATTATATAAAAAAGAATTAATTAATTTTAAAATAATACTAAAGCTTTTCATTGTTTTTTTTTTTTAAATAAGTCATTTTTTTGTATAAATAATCATGTCACAGGCCATCTCTGGGAGTATTCAATAGCTTTACCGCTGAGCTAAACAACTCAAAAGACTAGAAGGTAGAACTAGAATGTTCTACCTTACTCTCACATATATAACAAGAACAGGAACAGGATCAGGATGTTACGAGGGATGCGATCTAGATCATGTGGAAGTGGCCTGGATCCTCGAATGATTTGTAACTAGGTGTTAAGTAGGGGTTTAAAGTAATATCAATGGTTACAATTCATAACTAATAATAAAATATACTAAATGATTGATCTTGAGCACAAAGCTCTATAAAAGGAATCCTTTTCTAATTATATAGACCTCCATATCAATTGGATTCTTTAGATCTAGTGGACCTAAAATCTAATATACTAGCTCCTTTAAATCCTTAAGATCCATTATGTAATTAGGATGCTGAGGGTAAAGAGACCTCATAAATCAATATACAATTTTGTATACAAATCGCCTTGCTTTTCAATAAGGTCCAAGCTTATATAGACAGGTTGACTGTTACCTTTGTAACACAGGATCAGGATCAGGAAAGGGCTATCACCTTGTAACAAATCAAAGAAATAATTTCAAATTAAATATAATCCAATATATTAACATCAATAAAAGATTTTTATAAAGTTTTATAGATTGATAATTTAATATTTTATTACTTATATATTAATATTATAAATATAAAACTATTATTTATAATAATTATAAATTTTTAATTTATATTTTAAAAATATTAATAATAAATTATATTTAAAATAAATTAAAAGAATTAAAAAATCAAGATTTAATTTTTTATTTTTAATATAATTTAAAAGTCTTAATATATTTTATAATATTATACAACTTTTATAATATTATTATAATATATATTAATTTTAATCATTATTGAATTCAAAGAAAATTATTATATTAAAAAAATTTATATAATATATTAAAATTATATATTTTAATATATAAAATAAATTTAAAAATAAAAAAATTTATATTTTTAATAAATATTTAATATTTTTATAAAATTTGAAATATATTTATTTATTTATTTATTTATTGAATTTATAGAAATTTTTAAAATAAATAATCTTTAATATAAAAATATATTTCATTAAGCCCCTGACTCTCTTTAAAGACTAACCCGAGTACTCATCTTTATATACTCAATTCTACTCGTCACTATCATAGTCTTCTCTTGCATCAATCAGTCATTATAAACCATCACATCATCACATTACTACATCACCTCATATCACAACAAGATATCTGAGGGGAGAGATCTTTCAATTTAAAATGATCACTTCTTTACTTGACAGATTATTCCTTCCTAATAGCAAAGCACCACCTTAACCACTACCACAACCACTAATCAATCACTGTGTGAAATCTTCCATAATGAAAAATGTCCTCACATATGATTAAAAGTAGTAAAAGAAAAACCAAAAAAAGCCCAAAGGAAAAAAACATTAAAAAGCAACGAGTGAGATAGATCCATTTCCTTTCTGACAAAATAAGTCAAGTAAAAAAAACCCCAAAGCTCCACCCAATTCCTTTGATCCATCCGCTATCCAGAGCTTATTTGTGTGTCAATCTTACGCCTACCTTATTCGTGATAATCCATCCCCATTCCCATCCCCATATTCATCCACGTCCTCTTCATTTACTAATGTAATGATCTTCACCCTAATACAATTTCCTGGGTCATTCATTTATTTCTTAGATACCGACTCCTGCTCGGCGAGATATTCCTCATCACTAGCATCAAGGATATCATACTCCTCATCAGTCATGAATCCATCATCGGCCTCGTCCTCTTCAAAGTTTTGATTAAACTCCTCAAAGTCATCATTGAAGATTTCCTCAGAAGCTGGAACACGTTCTGCTGCTTGTTGAGCCTCCTCGTGAACGCTTGAGATTGGAGATTCCTTATCGAGCTTAGGGAAGATCATTTGACTACCCTCAGCCTTGCTTGAGACAGCGTCATCATAAAATTCGGCTTCGAATTCAGCAACTGCAATTTTGGCAGCTTCAACCTGGGCGACTTCATTCTTGGCGGCTTCAACCTCGACGGCCTGAATCTTAGCGGCCCTCTCATCCTCAATATGCTGAACCATATCGTTGACTTCAGAGAGTGTAAAAACTTCCTTTTCTTCCTCCTCTGGCTCTTCCTTGACGATTGGGGTTGGCTCATTGACAGTAATGTCACACCAAAGTCTGTGACCAAATTTCTCACCAGTGGGAGTAGTAAGACGCCAGTATGAGATGAAGTTACCAGCACGGTTAGGAGTTCTCATCAAGACAGTGAAACCGTATTCTTGACCTGGAGCAACTTCAGTATAACAAGTTGTGCTCTCAGCAGCGCTGACAAGTTCATGTACACTGGCTGGGTGTTCAGGATCAACCGCACACATGTTATCACCACCAACGAATCGAACGCTGCATCCTGCAGGCCAGGATGTCTTACCACCATTTCGAAGATACCAGGTTTGTTCAAAGACAGAGTTTGGTGTCATGATGGTGCCGTCAGCAACTGCATCACGAACGAAGTGTGCAATCAATTCCTCTTCAACAGGTGCTGGAAGTTCCTTAGCAGTCTCCTCAACTACAGCAGTCTCCTCGGCCTTGATTGGCTCCTCAGACTTGACTTCGATAGGCTTGACCTCAGCAACTGTTTGAACTTGTGTGGCAGCATTGGTGGATTGAGCTGGCGTGGTCTCGGTTGCCTTGGAAATGGTTTGATCTTCAGGGCGGCGATCACCCATTGGTGCCATAGGTCTACCACTTGGATGATCACCAAGGGTAGTAACGCTAACATTGCGAACAGGTGTCTTGAATTTGATAAGAGGATGAGTCTTATTGTGTGGATTGGATGGACTGGCTTCGCAGCAAGCACAGAAATCGGTATCGTGGCAGACGGCACACTTGTAACGATCACCAGTGATATAAGCGTTCGTGGAGCTACCATTGCGATTGCAGAGAGGTCCATCACAGAAGATTCCATGGTGACGAGCCTTGACAACTTGTTGTCGAGCACCAGTGCTGCTGTTAGATTCGTAGAGAGGTACAAATCTGTGACGTGGGTGAATGAAGCTAGCATTTGCAATACATGAATCGCAGTAATCCCAATCTGGGCAATCGAGGCACTTGTGACGAACACCAAAGATATATTTGTCACATCCATCACAAACGGCGGCATGAGCAGCGTTTCTGCCCGGGGCGAGAAGGGCATGAGCGATAGGGCTGTGGGTAGCATCCTCATCCACGAAGGCGAAGGCGTGCTTAGGATTGTGACCATGCTTTAAGGAAAGATGGCATTGGATACACAAGTCGAAATCATCACAATCAGTGCAAGTGACGAATCTGTCCTCGGACAATTCCACGATGCAGCTGTTGCAAGTACGAGTAGGAACAGGTACTTTCTCTTCGACTGCAGGTGCGACCAAGGTAGTTTGAGAGGCGGAGTACTGGGGGAACTTAGGTACGACAGGTCTGTAAGCCGAAAATTGTTTAGGGGCAAGTTTCTCGGTTGTGCTGTGAATGTATTTGCCCTTGTCAACAATGCGTTTGATCAACCAGTGATCACCATTGCAAGTGACTCCATTATCATTGCAATCTGGGCATAAGTCGAAATCACCATCATCACAGGTGCTGCAATGGTAGTGGATATCTGGAATAGGTGCATTACAGCCGTTACAGTAGACGGCGAAACTGCCGATAACAGGAGGTGGTGACTTGGAACGTGCTGCAGGCTTGGGAAGAGAAGCCTTGGAGTCGTCTACTTGGTTATTTTTTTCTTCCCGAGAGACTCTGTCCGTGGAGAGTGGACCATATACACTCTCGGCGAGTGCTAGCTGTGATTTGTAGGCGCAAAGAGCGGCATCACCAGCAGTCTTTTGCATGGTATCAACACTATCGTGAAAGGATTGTCTTCCTCTTTCTAACTCCTCTACATTAGCCACTTCCCTGGTCTTGGAAGATTCAGAGTATCCTGATGCAGGCATTGCTGATTCGGAGGTGTGCATATCTTTTGCTTCAACAATCTTAGCAGGAGTTGGCACTTCATCCTCGACGGTTGCTGGCTTTGGCATGACAGGCACTTTGTCCTTGATGGTAACCTTGAGCCTAAGCTTAAGCTTAGCCTTGGCAGCACGGTACAACTGTTTGTAAACTGAAGGATTGGTCGAATCGAGGACGATGAAAGCAGCAGCGCTATCGGAGTATCTCTCGAAAATAGCCTCGGAAGTTGGAGGGATGGCAAGAAGATAACGAAGCTATGTAGATGATGATGATTAGTTACATAGTGCAATGATTATCACGATCCCTCGTGATTAAACAGTATAGGATGTTTGAAGAATCGTGGAGGCTGGTTGATAGATAGATTGTTGTTATCACATACCTTATCGGGGAGAGTACTAGCACCCAGATCACGAAGTGGGAGCTTGAATCTTCTATTGCTACCCTCAATATTAATCTTGAGGGTAACCAGAGTATCTGGAGTTGGTGCAGTAATCGACGCCATGATTGAATTTATCACGACTATTGAAAAGGATGGTTGTCAGTAGATATTCCACGATAAATGACGATATTGTAGAGAGCGGTGACGTGCAAGGGAGAGAGAGAGAGTGGACTTACTTAACTATCTTGGAATGGAAATCAAATTACTTTGGATAGGTAATTTATCTTCGAAGAATCGAAGTATTAATAATTGAAGAACCGATCACAGAAGAAAGGAATATCCTCTCGATCTATTATGAAAAGTTGTCTATCGCAGGAAGGGTGATGGTGGATAAAGTTGATGTGTTTTGATTGTTTTTATGTTGATGGGTAGATGGTGGATGGGTTGATGAATGTGTGTAGGAGGAATAGATAGAGGAGAGGAGGATGAATGTGGAGAGGGGATGTCATGTAAGTAGTACAATGGAGGTTAGCTTACGAGAAGCACCAGTGTACTAGTGTTTCCAGGCAGTCCAATCGCCAAATCAATAAGCAAGGCTACCGTAGGAGGTACGTGGAAACGCCTGTAGAGTTGGAGACCCTTGGGTGAATAAGTGAATGAATGAATGGATGGATGGGTGTCCGGCCGATCGGTGCTTGATTCAAGGAAATCAACAAACACTATAAAAGCTAGAATGAAGTAGAAAGAGGCCAAAGTAATTGGGTAAGAATTAGAAGAAAAGAAGAGTAAGTAGAAGAATGGAAGAGTCTTCTCCTTCTTCTTCAACCTGGCCGCTTTCAAATCCTCTCAATAAGGTTACTCTGTGAATGGAGGCAAGCAGATAGGGTAAATTATCGGTATCGAGGACCGACCTACGACCAACAATTGACGTGACGCCTTACTTTTTGATGTGTTTCGATATCAAAATGAGGGGAAACTCACGTAGGCAACTTACTAGGTAGCTAGTAGCTATCTCATAAGCTTTCCCACTAGTACCTACACACAGAGGATTTCCGTACGAGTAAGCACAATCGGTGATAAATGACGAAGACTCTCTAGACTCTCGACTGTCGACGATGTAAGATCTTACATTCTTTACTTCCGTGGCCGTCGGCAGCTCACAGAGGAAGGACTAATAAGTAGAGTTACATGCATGGAAATATCGTATCTACATTTTCATCACGAGGACACTCGATTTCAAACAATTCCAAATAATCCCGCTGAGTGAATCTCGGAAGTAGGACGAGGTTATTGGATCTATTCTCACTCTGCGCAGCTCTATACAAGAAAAGTGACCGAGTAGAATATAACATAGTAACTTATAAATATACCGACCGTGGTCGTACAAGTATTTACCCTAGATTCAGTTCCTATCTAGGTACCTCACGTCCTCTTGGCCGATAATCACAACATATACCCACCCAAACATCCAGCATCTCACCTCTTATTTCAATATCCTGACCTCTTATATAAAACATAACTCTAAGAATTATAAAAAATAACCAAATCCATAAATAACATCTATCTACCCATCTATCAATTAGTTTATATAACCCATGTGAAATCTATATATATCTGATACCATCCATTTCGTTCATTTCATATATCCATATATCCATATATCCCATAAGATATCTCCATCCTCACTTCCATCTAAATATCTAAATATCCATATACCTACAAGATATCCCATTTCATCCTCATCCACACCTATCCATCCATCCATACATACATACATACTCGTAAGATACATAAACAATTCGCCTCTCTCCCTCCACTTCTTCCTTTCTTCCTTTCCTTTCTTCCTTTCCTTCCTTCCTTCCTTCATTCTCGCCACACGTCACGACAGCAATCAACTTTTGATTTCTACTGCTTACGAAGAGGGAATACAAACAAAGCCAAGTCCCCCCGCCTCATTGAGGCTTTGCTTCACCATGGGATCGTACATCCGGAGATGTACTCCGGGCCCAGGTAGGTCTAGATTATTTCACCAAGAATTTAAACATTTAGTGTATGCCTAATCATTCATATTTTGACAATTTATGTTGAGTTGAAAAGGTAATCAATCCCATGCCCTATTCATATCATATTAAATGAAACCCCAGAGAGAAATTCCAACCAACAAAAGTGCTTGCTACCATCCCCTTCCTCAAACTTCCCATGAAATGATGATGAAAACCATGTACTACGCCACAAATCCCGACAAGTAAACAGCTTATGTTTGCAGAAAAGTGCCTGTACGACTGTACGCCCGTACGCCTTTAAATAATATATCCACCTAGCACTCTTATTTGTCTTCCCTCTAATCCCTCAATCCACCAATTACTTTTTAAACTTCTAATCCCATCAATAACCATTTATCACTCGTGGTATCCAATTGAGACGACCACATGTCTAAGGTTGTCAATTCGAATCCAACCCAACGAAGATTTTTGAGAAACGCCGACCTATCTCCATCAGGAATCGATCGATCAACACAAACAACCACTTGCGAGACGGCGAATACTTCATCCGCGAGTTCAATAAGTGCCATGAGTCTATAGCCATTAGTAAAATAGATCGTGGTTACAAAAAGGATAATCCTTACCCATGTTTTAAATCCCTTCCAATGACCGAACTATCAAAGAATGCAAAAAGTGTTTTCTCATCTCCATTTCCGCCAACAAATCCTCGAAAACTGCATCCACCAGTATAATCCCAGATCTCGAACCAAGCATCCATCGCATGGCCCGATTTGACGTTACCAAAGTAATTGTTATGCGTATCCACATCATCGTCAAGACTTGAATACGTGTCCGCACCCATCAGGTTTGAGTCATTACTAGCACTTCCTTCTTCACCAAGGAAAATGGTTTTCATGTTCTCGCAAAAGAGTCTCTCACACTCTTCCCGGATGGCGTACGCTGCCCCCTCTTTGCGGCTTGTAGTTCTACCTCGCGCATCTCGTTTCTTTGATAAGTTATTGAGTAATGCGAATTCGTTGGCAGATCTCAAGGCCGCAAGAGGGGGACTTGATGGAGGGGAAGTTGACCCTGAGCGGACCTCAGGGATACCACTTTGCCCTATTGAAAACAATATTAGTATTTTATGTTGGTTTGGAAAATGTTGAAAATTATTCGAGCGGAAAAAGGGGAACCTCACCCGCCGGCGCCGGTAGTGGAGTAATGGAATCCAGAAAGACTAGCGGAAGAATCAACGATGTAGCAACTGGCGAGGACGTTGGCTTGAGAGCTAACTACCTCGCCGCCACAATTACTACTACTATGACTGTTTTTCATACTTGGAGCCATTGTTCTCGGATATTGCCAGTTTTGCGGTGTGAAGGGTTTTGGATAATTTGAGATTTGGAGTCGAAATTTGATGATTTGATTTGCGATAGTTACTTTGTTCAGATGACACGATGATGCGAAGACGTGATGCTTCGATAGTTGTAGGGATCTCTGTTGGGATTTTTGTTGTGAGATAATTCTTTTTAGGGGATCTCGGAGTTGTAACTTTGAGGGTCGGTAACTGGAGGAAGAACCTCTTTTTCTTTCAAATGTGGGCTTAACAAAGCGAAAACTAATTTCCCCGCCCGAGAAATGGGGCACGTGATCTGATTAACCAATCAGAATGGACGATGAAGCAACATAACCACCATCGCATCATATAACTAGAAATTTCGAGAGGATTCAGTCTTGTTTTAAGTGAACGTTGATTAATAGTATAAGTAATACGAGTATTGAGATTATACTAGTAATGAATGAACTTTATTTGTATACTCCTGAAGATCAAATCATCTTTTATTCTCTGTTACAAGGCTTATCCTTCATCCTTCATCCTTCTTGATGCATGTACGGAGTAGATATATATTGCGTTATATAAGCAAAAGTGTAGAACTGTGCATACACCGAATTGCTAATTGAACATCTTTATGGTATTTTGTTTCAGAACCAAAGCACAACAAGACGGCTTTGGATGCTGTTATATTTCATTCCATCAAGAGCAACATATACAACATAATCTATCTATGTTTACTCGAATGCAATTATGATTCGTCTGCTTACACACTCATTCGATATATCAAACAAAAGCGTCTAGACGTACATTAGCACGATAACGGGGGCAGCTGATTTCTAAAGACACGGCATAAAAGCGTTTGAAGGGATAATAAGCTTTCCTGTAACACCAACGGTATGTTCTTTTTGGTATGTATTCTAGTAGATCATGCAAAACATTTAGAGGAGTATAAGCCAATCCCTGCATATAGTCAAAAAGAATATATATATATACTCCCGTGTGCAGTATACAATCAACGCTCAAAAAATTCCCAAAGATCTACACAGCCTCCTCCATGAACCCCATCCATCTACCAGCAACAAGATGACAAAAAGTTTCTCCGATAAGCAGCTTATCGATAAGCCAGATGGTTCCTATTACCATCACTGTCACGCAAAGCGGATGCATAAAACGGTGTACAAGCCAACACATCTATCTCTACTGGCTTCTTTCTACACGGGATAGATTAATTCCAAAGGAAAGTGGGAGAAACGGGCAAGAGTCAAAGATCTCCCTCGTACTCAATCAAGTAAGTCAGTGTCGGTGTCGGTGTCGGTGTCGGTAGGTGTCTAGACTACAGTAGCATTTCACTTCACATGTCAATGTGTTACACTTACCTTCTTGTCCTACGACATCGGGGAAACTACTTTTTGCTTACGATATTCATGAACCATCGTATCTATCCACCCACTATGTCAAGAATCCATGAATTGAACTTTGTCCTTGGAAATACCGCCTTTTTACCCCTCGATTCTTGTTCCTCTCGAGTTTTTGCAGACCGTTGATCCCCCTATCTGTCTATCTGTCATCTGATATACTCCAATATCTACCAAGTGATAATCTCAAATCGATTTCACAAATATACCAAATACCAATAATATCTAATAGCAAGGTCTTTGGTGCATAATAGTAAGTGATCATATCATCCATCCATTTCCGCTGCGCAAAGAGTCTTACCTTTGACGCTTTCAAGAACTTGTCGCACGCGACTCTTTGTGTTCAATGTTTTAGCTCTATTCACTTAACTTCTTCATTCCCCCTCCTGTTCGCCTTCATGACATTTATGAAATTCCATTTCTCTAATATCAATTTTCAGATAATAGTCAATAATACTACGTGGAAGCTCAATACACCGTACACCTAGCTGGCAACTCAGATCTTACATGTGAAAAACTACATTATATGAAAAATAGCTCGCGGGTCAAGCATCACAAATATGTCAAACGATCGTCTTACTTTTCCAACTTATCTCCTCCCTTCATTCGCATTCCCCTTTCGTCGTCGCAAACACTCCTCTTCTACTCCTACTTCCAGCGCCGCGCCATCAGTCAATACAAATACGCGCAGTTCGATTCCAGGTTCAAGCTACTCACCTGCAAGTAGTTATAGCAATACCCCCGCCGCATCCCCTACATCCGAAACTTTTCTTGAGCGCACAATCTCTTCCTCTTCCGCCGGGGCCGAGAATGAAATCAGGAATAATGAATCAACCTACTCCCCTCAAACTCTTACCTCGCCCACATCTCCTCAATCCCATCTCACTCGTGCCCACCCCTCTACAATTCGCTGTCTAACCTGCTCTACCCATCTCTCCTACGCTTCGCAAGTCGTCTCTAAAGGTTTCACTGGGCGCCACGGACGCGCCTATCTCGTCGCACCGCCTCCATCCGTCCCGGTTCCAGTAATTCCCCCTTTTCCCCCCACCGCACACGACCGCTCAAAAAACCTCGCAAATATACGAGTCGGAAGACCTGTCAATAGAGAACTCTTAACAGGTCATCATGTAGTCGCAGATGTGAATTGTATGGTTTGTAACACATTACTTGGGTGGAAATATGTGGATGCCAGAGAACTAGGCCAAAAATACAAAATCGGAAAATTCATCTTGGAGACGAAGAGATGTGGAATTTTTAATACGTATGAAGATGATGATACGACACCGCATTCCTTGGAGTATAGTTGTGAGGATGAGGATGTGAAGGATGAGATGGTGATTGAGATGACTGGGAAATTGGGAAATTGGAATAATGGAGGCAAGGGAGAAAATGGTAGGATTGGTAAAGATGGAGAATTAGCAGCAGTACAAGAACAAAGGAAGAAGAAGAGGTAAAGGATGGGGTAATTTGATTCAGAGGGATGATGAATGGAGGAACTTTTGAGGGATTTGGGATGGAGATTGCAGAAAGGAGGATTAGGAGGGTGGATAGGAGGAAGAGGAAATGGAGGGAAGGGTGGATAGTGAGGGGGGGATGGATGGTGGATGGAATGGAATGGATGGATGGATGGATGGATTATGGAATGGATGGAGGGAGGAAGAATTTGCTGGCTTAGGTCGTTCAGACACGGTATATGAATCGATGTACTATATTTTTCAGGTGTATGGTAGTCATTCTATCTATATTCTTCAGGCTATTCATACTACTCATCGTACTCTTCTCATCCATCATCCATCATCAATCATCAATCATCCATAAAACCACACTCACACAATTCCAAGTCAGAAAGTAGAGAACCTTACTTACCTCTCTCTGGTTTTGCTTTTTGATCTGCAGCAAGCAAGATATCAATCGCACTGACAGCGCCTTACTGTATAGATTATCAAACCGTTTATAATGAAGCATCTAGGCCCATGCCTACCTACTATGTATAGATAGCACTGCTAACCATAAAGATAATTTAATTCCCATAGTCAAATTACGATTATACTCCTCCTCGAAGCTTAATAGTAAGTAGTAAGTATATTTATTGCATCTCGAGACGATAGATATGCAAGAACAGATTCGCGATTATAAATGCCACATCTTGGATTTTAGGATTACTGAGCTAAGGATGTTCATTTTATAATACTTAGTTAGGATGGTTTTGCAGTTTGATTATGTTATTGTGTATGGGATTAGATGAAGAAAATATCTTGTGGAGATGTTACGGGTTCTTCGCTCTAGGAGAGGAGAGGAGAGGAGAAAAGAAATGCAGTTAGTTATAGTGGCTTGAAAACGTCTTGCTGGTATAGATTATTATATTAATCTTAGCATGGTATTTTATTATTGGTCTGGAAAAATAGAACTTGTATTTCCTGTAGTTGTTTTGGCGTACACTAACTATCGTGATATAAGTATAAGTGAGCTTTTCTCATGTGGAGAATTTGGGAGCGTCGTCGCCGTCTAGTTTTCAATAATATTTCTGCCATTTTTATTGAAACACTGATCATCAATACCCCGTTTGCAGATGCATCGTTTTGTTTATATCGTCAAAACAACCTTCAATATATATACCGAAGTATCGGTAGAGATTTAGAATCTTTTAAGGTACATCCTCGTAATTTTTCCAACATCTGAAGTCATCATGATGTTTTTGCCAGCTCTACTTGCATTTATGTCCAACTAGTTCTAAGATCTGAACCCCCTCCGCATTAACGTGCCATGTGGAAACCATCTCTAGACAATAACCTACCATGTTTAATTCTCGGTCCTGGAGTTCCATTATAACTTCAAAATATACACTTAATTTTACCACAGACTTCTATTAGTTGTTGAGTCGGCGGCTGAAGATAGATAAAGTAATCTTACAAAGAGTGTTGGAATTTTCACAAAATGATATTTTGTGGAATTTGAGGCCGGAGTGAGGGTGATGGGGATATTTTAATAGCTTTAGGGGGTGCTTGTCTTTGTATATGGACCTTTGTATTTCTAAGTTCCTACGAATATGAAATCGAAAGTAAGTTATCTTTTTATATGAATTTTCTTCATTTGAATAAAATCATAAGTCCTTATTCCAAAAATCATATAATTTATATAAAAAAAATCAAAAATTCAAAGCTTCTTTTTTCTCTTTTGGAATATAATCAATCTATTGTAATTATCAAAATATTATATTTTCAATTAAGAAATTTAATAATATAATCAATTAATCAAATCTACATTTATACAAATCAATTTTGGATCGATTTGTAATTTATTGATATTAATTTATTCAAATTGAAGATTTTTTTTGGATGAATTATTCAATTATTGAAATCATAACGTTTTAAAAGAATCAATTATAAATTTGAAGCTATTCGGATAATCGATCGGATTGTATATATTCCTTTGGAAAACCAATGAATATGAAGTTATCATATGATGTTTAGTAATAAATGTATATGAAGGGAGTATGGAGCGAATAAGGAGATAGGAATATAAAGGGTCCATATATGAAGGTAAGCACCCCCTTAGCCTCAATTGGCACCCTTGAGGGCTTGGACAAAAGTCGAGATAATGATGTGTTAAGAGCGTAACCTTAAAACGGAGTTCTTGGTGCATTTCAACTATAGAATGTCCGCATCTAGCCTCCACAGTTGAGTTTCCTCTCGACTTGGTACTTTCATTTCTAATCTGTGACGATATAGTAGCACAGGGATGGTGCGAAGAAGAATTTTTAGTGGTAGATTCCGAGGTATCTTTGCTCAAAAGATTATTGAAGGATATCTGAACTTGGAGAAGAAGTTGCCCGAGAGGCTGCTATGGCCAACATTTGAATTGAAATGGAATTGAAATGATGCGCTCTCTGTTCCGAAAGATAGTATTCGGAGAAATAGATAGCAAACGTCTTGACAATCGAGTTCTACTTCATATATCAATGATTGAGAGACCCAGAAGAGAAGATCACATATGCGACACCTAACCTTTTTGGATTCGATTTGCTCTCCTCCGGAAGAGGACCTTAGCGAAGCAGAGAAAAGAATTCAAAAGGCTAGCATGCCAAAATCGTCAAAAGAACTCGTATCACACCCAAGTAATACGCTATTCGCTCCCCAACCTCCAGTAGCTCTATCTTAGTATCATCAACTCATATGCCTCTCAAGCTCGCCCATTGTTGAGAACACCAATGACATCTGGCGTCACTTGACCTGCTGTGTCAAGCAGCCATATTGTTTTGATCACTCGGAATAATAGTGCATAAGATAAGGCTTCCAATAAACACGGAGAACGGCAGATTGCCTTCTACTGGTATAGCTAGTCCTAGCCACAAGCATCAAGAAGGAGAAGGAAAAACAGGACAACCTAGATCTTAGAAACGATATGGCACGTGCTTGTGTAGAGGCTGTCCTAGGACACTTGTTATCTACGATGCTAAGTGGAATTGGGAGATCAATATGCTGCTGTGTTGTACGAAATCAGTGGAGACAAGATCCCGAATTTTTTTATGAAGCGTGCCAAAGAGATTTGGACGTTGGTTCTGCGCTTCACTTAACCATTTCAAAACCTCCTTCCATGGTGCGTATTGTGGATGTATAGGTTGAAAGAAGTTAGCCGTGAATGCTTTGGTGTGCAAGAATTAGTTGGCAGGGCCGATGGACAACGGTGAGCGATTTTTGTTGTGAGGAATATCATGGATACGCTAGGCCAGAAAGAAAAGGTTTAATTGTGCAGACAAAGAATGTGACAAGCGATGATGACGTGCGCCGCTATTCCTTCAATTGCTTTCCCTGGTATGTTTATAGCAGATGGTTTGCTAACGGAAAAAACGACAGCTATCAGAGATACAATGAACTTAACAGCGAGAACAGGTGAGAGAATTTGGGCGGGACTAGCTTCGTTTACATCTTTCTAAAAATTTACCAGACCTCGGGCTCATTGTAATGATAGTTTCTCTCTAATAATAGCACAGCTCTAGGAATACAGTATGATTGCGGTGATTATGAAGACGCTAGAGGTTATAATTACCAAGAACATGACCAGACATGCTGTGATGAGAGGAGGAACGTGTGTAGCGGCTGAGAAGGGAAAGGAAGAGAGTTGAGAATAGACGAGTCCAGCAAGACATTGGTAGTCCACTCCATGTTGATAAACCTTGACTCCCTTCGAGGAGAAGACTATCCTCAATTGAAGGATGGGTGTGTGATTGGTATTGTTGCTGAGATTTTGACAGCCGAGTCAATTTTAGAATGAATGTGTAATTTTGGGTTGAAATGAATGAAAACTTCCATTCCTCTTGAGCGCTTCGACATGCATCTAAGGGCGGTGGATTTTGGAAATTTTTGGTCATTTTTATCGCAACATAACCTCGGGCTAGTGCTGTTACTCTTGGATGGATATTTTCAAGCATTTGTTTTGAAAAAGGCAGCATTATCAAATCACTTACAACGTTCCGCGCAATCCCTGGAAGCTTGAGCGAGTGTCCAACAAGTTGACCTGTTCCACTACTATTCCCAAAAACGACGAAAGCCCTCGAGAGTCGAGACTTTCCTTTGTAGAATCGTGGGTACTAACACACATACCGAGTTTTGAGAAATAATGGACTGCAAGAAGCGATAGTCGCAACGTAAATCAGATCCGAAAAATTTGGCCTTTGGGAATAAGCTGTTGGACTCTAATCATTGCGGAGAAGCGATTTCAGGTTCTGTAGCAGCTAGTCGGAGTTTGGAATTTTCAAAGCCAAGAGTAATTATCCTTGCGCGACATCCATTTTGTGAGCCAGAGCAATGTGGAAATATTCAACTGTTTAATATTCTTGCAGCTGCAAGATCAAGCTGATAAGATCCTGCATTGAGGATGCTAAATCCACTGAAGTGAGAGAGATGGCAAGGCGATGTGTGCTTAGTCCAGAGCGAAGACTTTACAGGTATGGTGTGTGAACCAGAACACAAAAATGACTGCGCCAAGCTCTGTATCGACTGTAGAGAGAGAGGAGAAGAGTCATGAGAGAGGCGGCGCTAGGCATCGTAGAATAGAAGAATAGATAGAATTGGAGTTGGTGGAAAAAGTGGAAGGTGGATCAAAGACAGTAGCAGAGAGAAAGGCAGTGAGGATGAAGAGAAGATATACGACCTTGGTAAGTCTGGGACAGCCGGCTAGGGTTTATCCTAGGGCTCCACAGCCATTTTCTCCATTTGAGAATGGATATCTTTTAATTGAAGGTTATGGGCTTGTCCCTGATTGATGAAATTTCATGGATGAAGTGTGGGGAAGTTGGTGAAAGTGAGGAGTAGAAGTAGAAATATTCGAAGGGCCAAAGCCGAACAGAATGAGCCGCCTGTCTCACCTAGGACATGTCTCTTTTCTTTTCGTCAATTCCGCATCATGTTATTTCTGATACGGATGTCTTACCAGTAATGCCGAGCATCCTGCCCTCGTTGCAAAAATAAATTCACCATGTTATTGTTGTGGTCATCGAAACGGCTCTGCAACCAACAGAGTAGAGCCCTCGAGGATTCCGTAGTATCTTTGGGCCCAAAAGAATGGCAGAAACCTTGACAGTAAGCAACTAGCTCTTCTGTATGATAAATCTCTCCTTCGTTTGAAATATGAAGCAAATTGTTCCTTCTAAACTCAAAGGATGATCTCTTTTGGCGGCGACAGCTCTTGTAGATTGGTTGCGCTCCTTGCACGTCTTATAAAATCATATTATCATCGTGGCAACCAGATACAGGAATAATGGAAATCAGATTGGCAAAAGTAAGAGCAGACTTCTGATATGCTTTCGCACGAGATAGTACACTTGAGTACTCTCTCCGTTCCTTCTCTGGCCAAATCAAGCAAACCGTGAGGATGAAATCATTGATACTTTAGGAAGTGCAGGTGACGGCTTTGTCACGTGATTATTCGAGCTACCAAAGTTCGCTTAGCTTATCAACACTTTTTTTAAGATGAGGTAAGCCGCATTCATACTAGCGCCTCTACGATAATTAGTGTCAAAGTCATTCAGGTCAACACAAAGAGTTTGTCACCTTCCTTCGCCGCCCCAAACTCTTTCTCTCCATTTCATCTTCAATCCATCAACAACTTTTCTTCCATCACAAATACGCCACACGCAATTGACATAACCACACCTTTTCAACTCCGTGGTTTCGCATCAAAAGAATATCACGATCGGAAGAAGATAATACTGTTGGGAAAGAAGCTGTGGAAGGAAATATTCATTTGGAGGAAAAGAATCATACAAAGAGAGAAAAGAGTGGATCTTCTTGGTGGTACAATTGTTTGGTCTTGTGGAGGAAAGCGGCAGTCTTCAAAGAAAGAGACAAAGAAGAAGAACATCACAATAGCAGTATTACTGCAATCTTGTACTATCATTTCCTTTTGAGAGAGCCTTTTTCTGTGTCACCAGAGTTATCTCCAGTGATCGCAATCAGATTTGATTTCACCTCGTTTCCCTGAACGAAGAAAAAAAAAGAGAAGAATCTTGATATTGCATCGGTCGCATTCACGAAACATCCCTTCTACCCTTACCCGTTCCATCATATTTACTAATCCTCAAGCATTTGCTTGATATATTGAGTGCATCAGAAGAGTAGTTTGTTTTTCTGTACACACCGACGCAATCGGAAATTGTCAACTCAAGGATCAACAACTTCCTTAGCAACTTCAACTTTGATCAACTTGACCAACAGCAATCATGTCGTCCTCAGTGTTCTTCAAATTCAGATCCCAAAAGGAGCCCTCTAGAGTTGAATTTGATGGTACTGGTATCTCTGTATTTGAGCTCAAGCGTGATATTATCATCAAGAGTGGATTAGGTGACGGAACCGATTTTGATCTCGTCATTTACAATGAAGCAGACAACGAAGGTAAGAATTTTGTGTATCCCAGCTAGATAATGATTCTGACCAATGTAGAATATGACGACGATACTACCGTTATTCCCCGATCAACTTCGATTATCGCTCGTCGATTACCTTCACTCAAGCCGGGAGCAGGAAGAGCCGCAAGATACATGTCAGGGCAGATGCCGATAAAGCAGAAGACTTCTTCGCGAAAAGAACAAGGGAAGCAGGCAAATGCGAAGGCTGTTGCATCTACACAAGGGCTGGCACAAATGGATAGTGCGATGACCGAGGAGCAGAAGATGGAAGCTATGTTTCAGGCTCAAAGTGATCAATGGACAGCACAGCAGGAAGATATGGCAAAGTAAGTTATTCGTGTCTTTAACCTAGCTACATTTTCTAACAAGTTCATAGTCAAACACCAGTCTTCCGACCAGGCGGTAAGAAAGGTCAACCTCCACCAAACGTCCCGGATCATGAACCACCAACTGGTTACATTTGTTATCGATGTGGAGAGAAAGGACACTGGATTCAGGTTTGCCCTACGAACGATGATCCAAATTTCGATAATAAGGCACGAATTAAGCGTACAACTGGTATTCCAAGGTCTTTCCTGAAAACCGTAGAGAAGCCGGTGCAGTTGAGCAATGATGGTACATTGGATGATACAAAGACACCATCTGGTGTGATGGTAAATGCTGAGGGAGAATTTGTCGTTGCTGAGCCTGATAAAGCGTCTTGGGAACAATTTCAAGCTAAAACCAAGTCGTCTGCTGCTGCCCAGAAAGCTGCTGCTTTAGGAGATAAAGTGTTGAGAGATAGAGGATTGGAATGCGCGCTCGACATGAGAATATTCATAGATCCAATGAAGACGCCCTGTTGTGAGAAGACGTACTGCAATGACTGCATTACTAATGCTCTTATCGAAAGCGATTTCACATGCCCTGGATGTCAGACTGATGGAGTATTGATTGATGATCTGAAGCCTGATGATGAGATGACCGCCAAGATCAAGACTTACTTGGAAGAGAAAGATGCAGCCGCAAAGAAAGAAAAAGAAGAACAGAGAGCTAAAAGTCCTAGTGTAAAGTCCGATACTGTCACTACACCACCAATCAAAGCATCAAAACCCATAGGAAAGGCTAAATCGCCAACGCCGAAACCATCACCTAAATCAAAATCACCTGAAGTGTCAAAGGTCTTGAAACGTAGTCCCACACAAGGAAAATCAGCTACACCCGTCGTTGGTGTTCCAGGTGCACCTTCAGGCCCTCAAGGTAAAAAGCGACCTTCGGATGAATTACTAGAGAACCCTAAGATTCCCAAAGGACCAAAAGCTATGCGACAAAAAGAAGCTGCCCTGATTCCTCAACAACAAAACATGATGAATGGTATGAACGGCTTTCCAAACATGAACAACATGCAACCGCAATTCTACGGTAATGCAAACGGCTTCAACACCGGCATGCCCAACATGAACATGATGAACAACTTTGGCATGGGCGGCATGAATCCAATGATGGGCATGAACCCCATGATGGGTATGAACTTCCCTAGTATGAATAACATGCCCATGTTCAACAACGGAAACGCATTTGGTAATATGAATCCAATGATGAGTGGAAATATGCCTCCAATGAATGGAATGGGTAGAGGAATGAATATGTCAAATGGTGCGGCAGGCGGATTTCCTAATCAGCAAAAGACAATTTTTGCGGAACCGCTACCGAATGAAGAGGACAATGCGTATTTCAGAAAACCGGTTAATCCACATAGACATGTGGGAAGACAAAGAAGGGCAAGACCAAGTGATTATCGGGAACTTTAAGGGTTACGGTACTAGGCGTCATTTTTCTCCTATCGACTTTTAGGCTTCTTGGCTCCTCGCTTCGGATCGAGATCCCAATTATACAGCATCCATTAATCGCCACCTTCATCTTCTCACGGAACCGGATCATTTCAAAGCTGGCATTTTACTTTTCGCCTTCCACTGGCAAAACTCGACTCAAAAGAACCTGCATCGTCGCAAGATTTTGCTCAGCGGGCAGTATTCTTTTGCTTTCTCTTCTCTTATTCCTTTCTCGTTTAAATTATACGCACGCGACGAAACTCACTAGAAGCGGATGGGCATGGTACGGGCATGGCATCATAGGTGCACGGGAGGCATACTATTTTGTTACTTGCCTGCGTAAAATTTTAAGGAACACAGCATTTTACGGAGTTTAGGTGAATTTGATCTTAACATACATTGGGATTCGGGTCGCCATGTTGTTTTATTGCTTGGGTTCGCCAAAGGTTGGCTTTTTTTGTTGCATTTACATTTGCGTTTGAGCATGGATGTATGCATGCACTATACGATGGATGAATATGAGAATGGGGTGGTATTCTTGTGTGTTTGTTTGTTGGCTTGCTTGCTTGCTTGCTTGCGCGGATAAGGTGGGTGGATTTTTGAGATGTTTTCACTTTTTTGTAGGGGGAGAGGGCGGGAGAAAGGTAACGAGCAAATGGAGAAGTACATAACATGAACTCGGGTACATATTACAGATGAGAAACCTTTTAGCGAGTTAAAGCAACTGAATGAATGGAGATGTTATTTGAATAGCTTTTGGAGTTGGATTTGATATGATTTGATGTGATGTGACATGATGTGATGTGATTTCTTTTTCTTCGAGTGGTAAGATCTTAATACCAATCAATTCTGAACCAATTAATACATCTCTTTATATTTATAAATATCTGATACTCTACCTCAGTACCTATCTATCGACCCTCAAATTTTTGTCTTCAATCTCTTTGCCCTGCTCGCTCTATAATCTTACTATTCATCTCATGATTCTCATCCCTTCTCACCCTATCTACCTAGTAATTAAGTATTTCCTTTCCTTCATTTTATCCACCCCATCCCAATACAAAACCAAATACTCAATATCTAATCCAAATTCAACACACGTTGAATCCCTTTCCCCTGCCCCTTCGCCTCTAGTATCTAGGATAATTAAGGTGTTGACGGGGAATGTGTATATATATGTACTTAGTATTTGTAGAATATTCTAAAAGTTCTAGATGTTGTTTGAGTAGGTAGGTAGGTATTATTAGTCATTTTGGATGGATGTTAAGTAAGTGGTTTGAGTATGAATGAGTGTGAATGTGAGTATCTAGGTAGTAAGATGAGGAGTTTGGAGTTTGAGATGTGAGTTTATATAGGAAATAAAGATAACAAAACTTATTTTCATTATTTATATATATGATTACCACCCCTTAAGGTGAATATCTAGATGAATATTTCGATAGATTATTTAGTAGGGAGGTTGGAGGTTTGGTGGAAAATAGAGCGGGATATCGGGGGGAGGAAAGGGAGGTGGATCGGGGAAGGGCTCGGAGTAGGAAGGGAGTAGAAGGTGGGAATAGAGAAATGAGAGAATCGGGCGAATTATCTGGAGTATTATATTGTGAGAAAGTTGGAATTATAGGTCAAATACATAAAGGTTTTTAACTAGTCAATCACATAATCTCCTGTAATTAGATATAAAAGAAGAGCATTTTGCCTCTTCTTTTCACAATAACCAACCTTCTACATATATACATTTGAACCTATATAACATCAACCTCAAAACCATTATGAACCCCGTTTTACCTATAAGTAACATATTACAATGTAATCTAATTCAGCTTTCTCTTCCAATTCCCTCCTCACAGCGTGCTATCGGGATGCACGTATCTCGACCTACCACTTTTACAATATAAACGAATATTATACAAGGTAATAAAATCTCAATTTCAGAGATAAATTCTGAGTGTATGATTGAGTGAATGAAAAGAGGGGTAAACGGAAATTTAATCTGGAGGAATATCTATATGTTAGATATTTAAAGAATCTTTTTGTCTGATGACAAAAGATTATTAATATATATAAGCGAGGATCAGTTTTGTCGATGTTTGTTGGTATCAAAAGGCTCTGTATAGGTTTAGTGTTGTGATGACGTATAAAAATTGAAATAGGACGGGTAAGGGATTAGAATTTAATAGAAAGCGGTCTAGTTTGATGATAATATAATGATTCTATAGATGATAATCGAGGGATAGGTTATAGCGATGATATGTGATACTTTTCAGGAAATGACTACAAAAACATTCAAAATATCGATTCGGAAATCCGAGACAAAAATGTTTAAAAATTCTTTATGTAATTTTCCCTCTATGTATTCATAGATATCATATAAACTTTAACAACGAGCTAAGATCTTATAAAGAACTTTCTCATATACTCAAAGATGTTCTATACATCATAGTCTTATTATAGAAAAAAGAGAGGTAGAGAATAAAGATTTATATACTTTTATAATCTTTTCTATAAGTGTTTGAAAGAACCAAGCTGTAGGAGGGCAATTTAGATAATATTGATTTATTATCTTTCTTTAATACTTCATATTTGAGAATTTCATTCGGCTTCAATTCACTAATCCCTCGCTTAATTCTGATTGCCTTGTTGAAATTCATGTTTTTTTTAATATAAATTTGATCACTTTATACTTTGAGAGAAGGAAAATGTGCCAGAGCAGCGATCAGAGGTGACTTCCATCTGCTAGTTCTAAATATTGCAAGGTGATTATTTTTTGGTTTTTGAGGAGACAATAAAATATATAGACTACAAAGTTTGAAGAAAAGAATCAGATAATATAATATAAGAGATGAAGAAAAAAAAAAGACATTATTATTATTTTGTAATGATGAGAATAAATAAAAATAATGTAAATTCTAAATGATAATAATTATAAAAATGTTTAATGGCAACAGGAAAGAAAGATAAAAGGAGATAGGATGAGATACATTAGATGAAATGCTTCCCAAACCCTAAACCTCATCCACATTCAATCTATATTGCTCAGCTTTATGGCCTAAATTCCCGAAATCTCCATTCAGATAGGGCAGGGCTATAGTAGCTTTTGTCATGGATCTGCATGAATGATGGTCTAAGCTGGAATTGTCACATTTGAGGGTTCAAATAAAAGGGGAGTATGCGCTCTTTTATAATACTTCCTGGAAATGGAATAGATGATTCTGAGTTGTGTGATGTCATTGCAAGGCTAGGTAATATGAGAAAAGGAAGGACTGAGTGAATTGCGGATGAAGTGAATGGAAGGAATAGATAAGATTAAGAATAGCAGGAGGGTATGGCATTAGTGAGTGCGAGTAGTATATAAACATCACTTAAGTCCCCTACCCCACATTCCGACCACCCCCCCATTCCGATCACCTCAAAAAAATCAATATATTATTTTTAAACTTTAATAATTCAATAACTATTCAACTTCAATAAAATCATCTGTATCATCAATTTCTAAAATAGTATTAGAATCATCTTTTTCAATTTCATGATCTTCAATCTCAATTTAAGTATCCCTAATAGCTTTAATCTTTACAAACCTTGAATTTGGACTTGTCTTTACTATATACTTTTTTTAGATATAATTATATTTAATTTATATTTCTAAAATGTATAATCCTTCAAATCAAATTTTTGAAATCTTACAAAATAATAATCTTTGTATAGAAAGATCAATTTCTTTTCTTGAGTTATTATATAAATATAATTTTGAAGATCAAATACTTTTTGAGAAGTTTTCTATAAAATAAAATATGATTTTATATTCTATTAAAATTCAAAATTATTATTTGAAAGAGGATTGAATTGTATAACTTTTTGATTATTGTTTTCAATTAAAAATTGATTAAGAAATAATTTTGTTATATTTTTAGATCAAAGATTATATAACAATCTGATCGAGGCAGCGGCTGCCTCAGGTTTTTGTATAGTTGGTAATTGTAGGTTAAGATTAATAATCACTGATTATTTATTCGAAGATGAATATATTACAAAATCAATTGAAATATAGATAAACTAATTGATAACTAAATTGAATATAAAACTTTTAAATTATAAAATTATTCTAATTATATATTAATAAATATAAAGGAACTTTATAAAGTTCTAAAACTCCAAAAAGCTTTTGAAGCTCTAGGAGCTTTTGAAGTTCTCAAAATTCTTTATTATATAATTAGAATTAGATTATATATCCAAGTTTGTTAAAAATAAAGAGATTATATAAAACGATTATTATACAAATTTGTATACAAATCATTTTGTTTTTCGATAAGATTTAAACTTATATAAATATATTGATTGTTTTTTTTTAATATATTCTTATTTTAATTATAAATCGTAATACTATTCCCTTTTAATTAAATATTATCTTAATTATTTATAATTTTCCAGATTTCATTTAATAATTAATGTTTTTCTTTTTTATATTTTATTTATCTTTCTTCTTTGTTATAAACAATTCTAATTCTTTTAATAATTTAATTCAAAAAAAAAAAAAATATATATATTTAATTATAATTATCGATTCTATTGATGTTGAGATGATTCTTTATTTTTATTATCGATAAAAGAATTATTGTTATATTAAGGATCTTTTTGATAAATATTATTTGTATTGTTCAGAATATATATGAAATTCTGTTTTATATAATATTGAGTTTCGTTTGGAAAATGATTAGGATTGTGAAATTCCTTAGGAATATAATTAGAAGAATCTTGATTGATAAATCGATAAATTAAATATTGAAATTGCTAAATCTTTTATTAAGATTGTTTATTTTATTAAATAAAAGATATAATTCAAAAAACAATGTAATGAAATGTTATATTGTAGATTCAAATATCTTAATGAATTTGATACCTTCAAAGAAAAAACGAAAAAAAGAATAAAGAAATTCCTATAATTCTTCTATTATCTTTTAATCAATTTAATCAATTTGATTAATTTAATCAATTTGATTAATTTAATTAATTAACCTTTAATCGATTTGATCAATTATCAATTGATTTTATCAATCTCAATGAAATTCCTATAAACAAATTCGATTCTTTCGATTCTTTTATAAGAAATAATAAATTCTTTTTCTTTTAAATAAATCCGGATTCTGTTAACAAAACTCCTGGAACTTTTCAAATATTTAATCTTTTTTCAAATTCCTATATATTTTCGAAATCAAAATAATCTTCTTATTTTACTAAATATTTGATCTTATTTTTAATATATTTATAATCTAATATCTTTTCATTTTATATTCGATATCTTAGTTTGTGGATATAATTTCTATTTCAGAAATTTTAAATACTTTTGGGAATATTAATTTGAATAAGAATATATAGAATATTGGATATATATTTATACTTTTTGATAATATCAATTTATAATTCAAAAATCTTTTATCTTTTTTGATTTTGAATAATCTAAATTTTTTGTAATCCAATTTTGTATTAAATCTTTTTATTTCGATATTTTTTTGAAATAAATAGATTTTATTTTATTTTTTTAATATTAACTTTTGATTATATTTTCAATTATAATAATGTATATTTCTTTTAACAACGAATTTCAATTATAATAATGTATATTTCTTTTGGTAACGAATTTCAATTTTATTATCATTTCTTTATAAACTTCTTTGAATCTTTCTGTTTATATTATTATAAATTGATTCTTTATTTCTATAATCCTTAATTTGTAGTATACAATTAATTTA